TCTTGGAGAACATGCGGATTTTGGAGACTTTTCGCATTTGGGCGTTCAACTGCGGATTTTGACCCGGAGGCCAGAAATTGAGCTCGTTCTGAGCCGGTATGTGGAAGCCAAAAGCTTCCAAGCAGCCCAGTGTCACCCAGGCAAACCCAAAGGGCACATCACCCCTTTTCAGTTCCTTTTTTTTTTTGGTGTGGGAAGGTATTGGTGAGTTCAACATTTGCCTGGCCTTCACCCTCAAAATGATGGTCGACCTGAGGTTGACCATCGTTTGTATCAACCCTTGTTGTTTTGGCTCTCTGTCAACTCCCACTGTTTCAATGATGGACATGTCACTTCTTGTTTTTGGGTCGTGCGCCGGTCCGCGGGCCCTCCTCCATTTCTCGGCCACGGGGCTCGGTGGCTCGCCGCTCACGAGGGATCGCCTCAGGTGGACCGGCAGTTCGGGCGCGTTGCGCTGGCGCGGGCCTTGGAGTTCGTGCCCGCGGCGCCGCCCAAGGCCCGGGTCGGCTCGGGGCGCGGGGATTGCTCTGAGGGCTCGGTGGCTCGGTGGGGGTGCGTGGAAATGTGCGTAGAAACCGAGAATGGGGCTCCACATAGAATACAAGAAGAAGCCCCTCCCCCGAAATGGGTGAGATGCTTCCCATTAAATTGACTGGAAACGTTTTGGGACATGACGACCTTCGCCAAGTTGTGTGTTCATTTTCCAGGCACTTTTCCCGAAACGCAGTCACAGTTGATGGGTACAAGCAGCTAAGCAGCTAAGCAACTGGCAATCCGCGTGGTTTCCTTCTCGGTCCCCTGAAAGCAAGCCCAGGTTAGTACCGAGCCTCAAAAAGATACCACTCTGGGAAATGAGGGAGGTGCTGTGCATGGAGCAAAGCCGCATCAGCGGCATCAGTGAGGGTTGAAGCCGCCAACTGGTGGCTGGGGTGGATCGATCTGGTCCAATAGAAATGACAACTTGGAACAAAAGATCCTCAGCCCCGCCTTCCCCCCCCCGAACCTGCCAATACCAATCACAGCAATAACAACTAGACCAGAAGGGCAAAGAAGCAGACACCTCCTGAATCGAGAGCCGAGCTGCGAATGCTTTCTCGTTCCAGCTGTGACTGTTTGTTGTTGGGTTTTTTTCCCAGTGTCTGGGAAAAACACCAAGCTGACTACCAGGACCAACCAGCCAACCCACCCAATCAACCAATCAACCAATCAACCAAACCAAGCCACCAACCCACCAACCCCCCCCCCACCCACCCACCCACTCAACCAACCCACCAAGCCACCAACCCGCCTCGGACGGAACTCCGCGCCGTCGCCGGCCTGTTCTCCGGGATCCCGCCCCGCCCCGTCCAGGAGAAGGGCGCGGTGGGCGGCCCCGCCTCCTTCGGCGACGCCTTCGAGGCGGAGAAGGTGCTGGAGGACTTCCTGGAGGCGCGAGTCGCGAGTCGCCGGCCGCCCGGAGCGGGGACGTGGGGGGCGAGCGAGTCGGAGCCAGTGCCGAGGATGAAAAAAATAGGTGTTGCTTTTTTTTTTGAGGGGGGAGGGGGGTGTTATGATGGAGACTTGGAGTCTATTTTTTGCAACTGTTTTGTTTGGGGTAATGTGGGTTTAGGGGTTGAGTCTGCAAAATCGACTGTAAGTGCCCATGGCTTTGGCTAGGGAAACCTTTCCTCGAGGCATGGCAACCTGGAAACGGGTGTCAAAAGGACCCTGGCGGCTTGCGCTTCAGGGGATGTTGGAAGTAACGGGCCCCAAACTGAACCATCCTAGGTCCATGCAAGGAAGTTTCGGTAGCTGGAACCCAGCAATTCCTCGGATCGAAGTGAACCCTCGTTGGATCCGGTGGATTCCGGCTTCCCACCAGGGTGTACCCGGAAGTGGAACGATGTTGATCTCCTTTGGTTTTTCAACGTATTGCTGTCAACTGTGTAAGCACAATGCATTTGTAAATCATATGACTTACTTGTTTAATATGTTATTGTTATGATTATTATTATGTTGTTATCACCTTTATGTCCTTTTAGGTTCTCCCAACAGGTTTTGTCCACGTCCAAGTTTCCATGCTTTCAGAAACGCTAGTCTCTCCATATTTCAAGCTTTTAGTGGTCATAGAACAATGAATGACAAGGCCAACTGTTGATGGACACGTTTGTCCCAATGAAAAAATAAGATAAACACAACAAACACTCAAAAAACAGAAAACAAAAACCATGGTTGACTACAAAGCACACATTTTGATCTTTGCTTTTCATTGCGGTCCCTGAAACGTAGCCTTTTTTGCGATTCCTCAGCCCCAAGCCCACAGAAGTCCTTTCATTGCCAGCTATCGTTTTCTCGCCACAGTGCGGTGGTTTTTGCCTACATGCACAAGTAAAGGCACGTAACAAGGAACTCATGGCTTATACTACCGGTCAAAAGGCACATTTGCTCCGAAAAGAACCAGAATACATAGTCCCCAATCTATTCAAATGTCGTAAGCTGTTCTATCCAAAGAGCTCTTGCTCAGAGTCTACCAATTCTTCGAAGAATGGGTATAGCACACCTGTTTGCATGGCTCCATTTCATGATATGTGGTTGTATTGCTTGATGGCGCTCATACGCCAAGTGGCTCTGTAAGGGACCAGGGGGGCAAGCCGCGGCAGAGTTGGTCAAATGTAAGCAGCCTGCCCTTGAGTTTGTTGGGGTAGTTCGTTTGGGTATAGCCACCAGGAAAAAGGGAAGACAGCCAACGGCTTGGGGCTTATCCACAAAAATGGAATTGGCCATGGAAAACACCCAACAGTAATCCAAAGGTTTTGCCCAAGAATAGCCATACTTTGTCCGTTGCGGGCAGTTACCCCTTTGTGGAGGTAAACCCGAAACTCACGGTATTAAGCCAAGGTTTTGCCCAGCCCGTTTCTTTTTTACCCCCGGGCCGAAAGGAAGACTCATACAACTGTATAGCTTTTGTTGGGTTGTCGATGGACACCAGAACCGCCACTTGCAGAAGCAATAGCTACGGGCCATGGTGGAAACCATTTAGTTTTTTGAACCCAGGTTCCCCATAGGTTCTCTGTTAGCCGCTAGCCTTTGTTGGCACCCTTGCCCCCCCCCTTCACCCACAAATCATGAAGCAAGTCTTTCTGTTGAACCAACCCCAAAGGGGTTCCCAACCATTCGAAGCCATGACTCCTTCAACCCCCCGCGACGGTTGCCTTCTCGCTGCCCGCCCTCCTGGCCGGCTGGCAGGTGGTGGCCATGTTCGACGCGCCCGTGCAAGTGGGCGTCGGCTGCAAGGCGAGCAAGAGCGACGCCGCCGCCTGGCAGGCCCCCAGAAGCCGGCTGACGCTTTGCGCGGGGCGAAGGGTTCGCCCGATTTGTTTTTTTTGTTGGAGGTGTGATGAGAAGGAAGCATGAACAAAGCCGAACAGCGGGGAACATGCACAAAAGAGAGATTTCCGCGGCCGTTTCAAAAAGAAGGACACGAAGCCGCTGCCCAAACAAAGACTCTGTCTTTGGCACGCTCCTGTTCCTTAAGTTGCCGCAGGCTTGAAAGCCCAGGTGTCTCTCTTGGGAGAATCAACCACTTCTAGGCTTAAGTCTATCTGGCGTACGAAATCGAACCCTGGTTTTTGGTGTTTCCAAGAAGGAGTTGAGCTCATTTTCCTTTCGTATCCCTGCAAAAGTGCCAGTCAACCATTCTCAGAGCTAGAGCATGTACCACTTACTTTCCTCCGAAGCCAGTCGGGATTGGCGGTTTATCCCAATACTCATCGGGTTTCTTCCCAACTGCGAAGTGGAGGTTGCCACAGTTCCGGTGGGAAAAATATCTTTAGGGTTGGACACCTCTTTCAACCACCCAGTTGATTTGGGTTTGGTAATTCGTAGGATCTACCCCCCGTTTTTTTCCCCTACACGGTGTTGGCAATTGCCAGGATATGGCTGTGAATGTTGGGATCATCCTTTACCCACCAACTTCAGGGAATCAGTGAGCAAGCTGCAGCGGTACCAACGGGCATGTAGGGAAACCGGGCTTGTGTGTGTGTGTGTGTGTTTTTTGTTTGCGTTGGTACGCATTTCAGGTGAGTTTCAAGGGACACCACCAGGAAAACATCACAATTTTCGGAGTCCAAACTTCTACTTTTGGCACGTACCCATACTTTGAGCAAATTTTCGGTCGACACCCCTAGGAAAAATGACAATCTTCGGAGTCCAAATTCCGATTTTGGCACATTTAAAGGGAAAGACACAGGAAAAAACCCGGCGGTTTTTGTGACAAGGGACACGGAAGTTGTCCAAATTTTTATTTTGGCCCATACCCATGAGCCATTCACATGTCAAGGGAAACCACCAGGAAAAACACAATTGTTGGAATCCAGTTGCCTATATTGGCACATTCCCATGAACCCTTTGCGCAAGAATTCAAGGGAAACAACGACTTCTTACCCGGCGGTTGGCCTGGCCAGGACCTGGCCGTGAAACGCGCGGCTCTGATCCGGGACTACCTGGTGAGCCACGGGCGCCCGGAGGACTCCGTGACCGTCCTGGGCACTGCGCAGCCGGAGGTCTTCCTGCAGCTCCAGGAGTCGAACGCTTTTTTTTCGGTCGGGGAGTCGGAAATCAACCAGGGGTTTATGATTCCAGGGTGCCTATTACATATGTATCTATATACATATATATATATATCCATATATATATATATATATATGTCCTCCCTCCAACAAACATGGCATCTGTGGCAGCGTACCTGGAAGATGATTTTCCTTTGTCAGTTGCCATGTTGGGAGGGGGAGGGCATCCCAGATCCCCATCAGAGCCCGCAGGTTCACCACCCTCTTGACCAGAGCCCGGGTTTTGAGCGGCCATGTTTCCCTTAAACATCCTTGAGCCATGCTTCATGGGTTTGGGGGAGCTCAGGGGATCGCCAGCCTTGAATCTGAAGGTCATGGGTTTTGGGGACCCGGGGACCTGGCGAGCTGAAGCTGAATGGACGGCAAGCCTTGCAGGCCCTAGGGCGCCTAATCCGTTCAGCTGGCTACCTGCTAGGGAAAGGGATCCACAGGGTCAAAGCGGGTCCTACTGCGAATGGGGGTTCTGGGGGGGGGCGGGATTGCCGTCAAACCAGCATTTGGAGGTAAGTGTGATTCATTTTTGAAGTGTCCACAGCTTATAACGTGCCCGGTGCAACGGAAATTCAAGAGATTGTTCATCAGACTAAGCTCACAAGGGTTCGATTCGATTTGGGGGCTCCGTGCCCTGAATTTTCTTTCCCAAAGGCAAAAAGGGGTGCGGATGCCCACCAACCCACTCCCCCCCCCATTTTCTGGAAGTACCGGATCATCTTCCACCGATTTTTTTTGGGGCGACGCCAGGAGCCCAACCTCTTCCCCCCCAAGGCGGTGAAGGGCAAGGGCAAGGGCCGGTCCGCCTCTCCTAAGAGGTAGCCGATGCAGTGATTTCTTCATATTCTGAAGAGTCATCACATAAAAAGTCATAGAGATTAATTATTCGTCATGATTTATTCATAATATGATGTGTATATATATATAAATAAAAGTCATCACAATAAAAAGTCACAGATGTGGTTCCATTTTTTGAGTGTGCCCCTCTCACGTGGTTGCAAAGAAGAACCAAAAGGAAGCCAACAAGTCGTAGACCATGAGTCATAAACCATTCATACAAGTCGGAACTCCTGGAAGCGGGCCTCTTTTTCTGCGCTCACCCTTTGTGGGAGCTCGAACTTTCATAGTGCGCCCCGTTTCTGACGGGGTAAGCCTTTCTCTCCGGCGTGGCCGTCCGTTTCCCGGAACGACAAAGTCGGGCCATCCGGAGCGTGAGCGAGAAATATTCCGAGGCCATGCTCGTGAGACACCGTGGCTGAAGAGAACCAAAATGGCGCGGCCTGTCCCCAAAAGTGGGCAGGTTGCAAGCCTCAATGTCGGGTCATGGCGATCAATGGTCTGTGACAGCAACACTTCAAAGTTGGCAAAGTTGCATGGATCGCATGAATTGCATGGGACTTCTGCTCAAGGGCCAGGAGTGTCTCGGCAACTCGCAACCAATGCGTAGCCTCTGGGTTGTGGAGGCTGGAGGTTGCAACATGCGGACTTTTCCAGCAAACATGCATTGGGATCAGACATGATTGAACAAAACCACGGCCCCCAAGTTCCAGCTTGCTCTTTCCCGGAAGAAAAGGGGGTGGCTGTTGGACATGCCGAGAGAGAGGTGATCAAAACCCGGGTAGATGAAGGATAAGGGAGAATCCGCCCCCTTATTATTTCTTTACAGGTTTCTGGGTCCATTTTAGTACCAGGATTTGATCATGACTCCGCTGATCAGAGGAGGCACGCATTTTTTGAGTTTGGTGTGTTCACCAAAATGACGAACCCCCAAAACTGGGGTCCAAGACGATTTGTTTTGATTGCAACTCCTTTCGGAGATGGATGGCCCTCCGATCGCCATGCCCCCTGGCGCCGGATTCAGCGTTCTGCAGCTGCGTGATCGCGCAATTCCCGCAGCGGTGCCAGACATGCTTCCGCGGCATCAAGCTGAATTCTGGCCAGGGTTGTCTCATTTTTGTTTTTGCCCGAGGATGGAACTTTTTGAATTTTCCTTCCTTTGTTTTGAACCTGCTTGCCAGACTTATCTCAAATTTTGTTGCCCGATGATGCAACTTGTTCGGGAGTTTCTCTTCATCTTTTTTTCGGAACCGGCATATTTACCTTTTTTGGGCCTTTCTTCCTGTGTTGTTTTTTTGCACCAGCAAGACAGGTAGCTGTTTATGGCAGGAGCTTTTTGCCCAGGAATGACCACATCATCCGCCCGGGCAGCGGCTGGAGCCACGCGCTCTGCCCAGAGGCGGCGCGGGGGGTGCTGATGCCTGTGGAGCCCGTGGAGGATGATGGCGTGGGGCCAGGGGAGCACGCCCCAGGCCGGGGCTGGGGGCGGAAGGTTGGGGAAGATCCAGGTGGCTGTGGCTCAAAACACCGGAATTCCAAAATGGGTTGCCCGATCGGTAAGTGGAAACCTGGGTACCAAAACCTGCGGTTTGCCCCTCCGATCGTTTAATTTTGAGCCACACCCAGGTGACCAAAAGCACTCAGAGTTCACGGATTCATGGGTTGGGGTTTCGGAACAAGGGGCGTTTGACGGTCGGGGGGGTTCGGGCAAGAAAAAAGGGTCCAGGTGACCCCAACCGCTCAGATTCACGGGGGGTTTGGGACGGAAGCTTCGGAACAAAAACAAGTGGGGGGGGGGGGGGGGTCGGGAAGGTTCGGAAAAAAGGTTCCAGGTGAGCCACGTGCTCAAAACCCGGGCTCCCTTTTTTTTTCACCCTCCGAACTTGTTTTTGTTAACCCCTCCCTTTTTTTAAACCCTCAAACCCTGCTTGGGAACCGTCGGCGGGAACCTTGTTTCTCCAACCCTGAGAAATCCTTTCTTTTCAACCCCTCACCTTGTTTTTTTTCACCCTTTGCCTTGTTTTTGTTCACCCTCCGCCTTGTTTTTTCCACCCTCCGCCTTGTTTTTTCCACCCGCGAGCTTGCTTGTTTCACCCCGCAACCTTGTTTTTCTCACCCTAAACCTAAAACAACCTAAGCCTGCCCTGCACCCAACCCAACCCAAACCAACCCTAGGCCCGCCCTAAGCCAAACCTTGCGAACCCTCAGTATCTCTAAATCCATCTCAAACCAGCCAAACACGCCCAAACCCACCCCAAACCCACCCCAAACCCACCCTACACAACACCCCCTACACTGCAAGCAAGCCAGAAACGTCTTTTGTCCAACCCTAAACCCACCGCAAGCACCACAGACCTACTCGAAACCACCCTAAAGCATACATAACCCACCCCTAACCAATCCCAAACCGACCCTAAACCAACCCTAAATCAAGAAACTAAACCAACCCTAAACCAACAAGCCAGTCCTGCACCCACCCTAAACCCACCCTACACGAACTCTAAACCCACCCGAACCTTGATCCAACCATAATCCCACCCCACACCTTAAGCTTAGCCTATGCCAACAATACACCCACCCTAAACCCGCCTAAACCCCAATCCCACCCTAATCTAGCCTTAATGCAACCCGAAGCCCAACCTAAACCAACCCTGAACAGACCCACCGACCCAAAACCAACCCTCAACCCGAAAACGACCCTAAGCCAATCCCAACCCAATCCTAAACCCACTCTAAACCAGCTTTAACCAATCACGAACCACCCGGAAAACCAACCTTAAACTCAAGCCCAGCGAAAACCAACCCTAAACCAACCTTGCACCCACCCTAAACTCACCCAAAAACAACCCTAAATCCCCACCCTAACAACGCTAAACCCACACTAAACTCAAAACCAACCTAGCCCGACACCAACCCTAACCAACCCTGAGCCACTCCAAAGCAACCTTAAACCAACCATAAGCCCACCCTGTCCCAACCCTAAATCCAGTGAAGCCAACCCTAGGCCAGCCGCAAAACCAATCCACATCCAAGCCTAAACCAACCCCAAACCCCGCCCTAAACCATCCCAGACCAACCCTGAACCAACCTATATCCAACCCAAAACAAACGAACAACATACCCTTAAACACCCTAAGCCCACCTGAAATCAAGCCACCCCAAATCAACCCTAAGCCACCCTTGAGCGACCCCAAGCCTCCCCTAGCGCAACCCCAACTCCACCCTAGACATAGACAAACCGAAAACCCGCCCTGAACCAACCCTACACCAACCCTAAGCCAACCCTACAGCCACCACAGACCTACTCCAGACCACCTAAACCAAACACAAACCCACCGAAGTCCTGCTCTAAATCTACCTAATCCAACTCTACACCCGAAGCCGACCCCAAACCCACCTCAAACAGATTCTAAGCCAACACTAAATCCACCCTAAATCCACCCTGAAGCCTTTCGACAAACGCCCTAATCCCACCCTAAACTAACACCATGTAAATCCAACATGAATCCCAAGCCTGACCTCACCCTAAACCCATTCTAACCCCCCCTGAACCAACCCTAAATCCATCCTAAACCCGCTGTAGACCCATTCTCCAAGCCCAAAACCACCCTCATCCAACTTTAAACCCACCATATACCCAGCACAGACCTGCTCGAAACCAACCTTAAACTTAAACCGACCACAAACTTGCTCAACAAACCCTACCCCGCCTCTAAACCCTTAAATCCACCCTTCCCATCCGAAACCAACCCTAAACCCACCTACCCCCCCCGCCCGAACCCACCCTAAACAATCCCCAAATCCAAAGCCGCTCCTAAACCAACCCAACCCTGGACCGTTGCTTAGTGCAGTTGCCGCAAACTTCGGCCACAGGGTTGGCAAAAAAGAAATGGAGGGTTAAAAGGAAGAGGTGGAGGGTCAGAAAGAAAGGGGGGAGGGTTAAAAAAGAAGGGGGGAGGGTTTAAAAAAACGGGGGGGAGGGTTAAATAGAAAGGATGAAGGGTTGAAAAAACAGGGAAGGGTTGAAAAAAAGGTTTGGAGGGTGAGAAAAAAGGGTTCCCCGAAATACCCTGACGATCCCAACCATAAATAGCTGCGGCGCCTTCTTTATTCCTTACATGGTTTTGGGTAGACCATTTTGGTACCGGGTTTTGATTGTAACTCAGGTGACCAAGAACACTCAGATGCACGGACCCACGCTAAGGGGGGGGGGGGGGGGGGTCGGAAAAAACGCATTCGATTACGGCCCAAAAAGATACTCAGGTGGGCGGACCCTACCCGGAGGTTTGAAGATGGTTAAAGTGGTTGATTGCCATGGCTGCCATGCACTCTCAAGAAATGAGGATTTTGAGAAGCGACCGGCGTTTTTCTTGTTCCATGCACGTGCAGATAGCATCTGGACCGAGCAAGGCCAAACTGTCCAATCCAGAACCGATGCGCCCAAACCCTGAAAAACCATCCCGATCTGAGCCAAGGCAATGATGTTCCAACAGTGTTCTGCCATACGGGTGTCAAGGTGAGCGAGCCCATGATGCAGGTCACTAGGAACCCCTTCCTTTGTGGATTTAAGGTATCTTTGGATTACTTCTTGCTTTCCTTTCATGATTTTAGGATTCCTTTTTTCCCTTTCATGTAAGGTGTACTCCCAGAATACCATGCAACCCAAAACCCTCATGGTGTAGATGCATCTTCGTTTGGGGACTCCTTTTTGGGCTCTTTCCTTACTTCCCGCGGGCATGACCTTGAATCCCAAATCCCCACCTAAAAGATGTCGACTAAAACTCTAGGGGTACCTCCCCCATTCTTTCCAGGGATCCTTCTTTCTAGAAAACCTCCAGAAACCCAAAGAAAAAGGCTGGTTTTCAAAAAGAACGATGGTTGAAAAGAATGGACAAGGAAGCAACCCCTAGAAAAGCATTTCTCCCTATTTCCCACAGGCATGACCTTGAATTCCCCAAACGGTTTGTGGACATGAATCCCAAATCCCCGAGAAGATGTCGACTAAAACGATGTCCCCAACTAAAGGTCCGCTGGTGCCGAGCAAGCGCGTGCTCAGCTGGGAGCAGAAGGCGGTGGCGCCTTGGACATGAATCCGGGACAAGCTGTCTTTTTTCTCTGCTTTTTTTCTTCATTTTTTTCTCTTTTCCGGGGACACGCGCGGGTGAAATTTATCTAGGGACACTCTGGTGGACATCATCTAGGGGAGGCTTTATGCCCGCCAACCACTACTTTCCAAAGGAAAGCTCCATGGGGGCACCGAACTGGAGATTCCGAGGGAATGGCTACCTTCAGAAACCAGCGGGCCTGGTTTTGTATGTTCTCAAACTGCCCAGTTCCAGTTGCCACCGAACTGGTAGCCACTTGAAATCTTGATGGAGAATCCAGCTGGTTACATACCTGTAGCGGCTTGCCTGGGTTTGGGAACCAACGAGCCTCATGTTGGGATAATTAAAATAAACACATCACCCAAATACAAGCCACCCGGTTTGTTTTTCAATCTAGGCAACCCATAAAATGCTTCAACGCTTGGCCTTTTGTTTGATCAAGAGATCGCAATGTCAGCGCCGACGCCGCACCGACGCCGCACCCACTGAACCCGGGGCCGCACCCGACGCTTCGAGCTCGCGCGCGCCCCGCGCGCGCCCCGCGCGCGCATCCGAGGTGCACTACCCGCTGGCGAAGGGCTCCAAGCTGCGGGTCTCCGCGGTGGCGGGGGCGGGGAAGACCACCACCTGCGTGAAGCTCGCGGAGAGGATCTTGAAGGAAAGAGCCCACGGGCGGCGGGGGGTGGCGGGCGTGGGGGGAAGCCTTGTTGGGTTTTAAAAGGGGAAACCAAAAGGAAGACACCAGGGGTTCCCATAAGTTGCGCATTGCAACTTACAAGAACCCGTGTTTGTGGGATATGGTTGTGGAAAAAAATGCAGGTTCTAGGGCCAGTTTCTGGAGAAAGTCAGGAAATCCCGGGATCAATCACTTTGGTATCACAGGAAGCGTAACCATGAAGGACAGCCCCGACACGAAGATCTTGTACGTGGTCTTCAACGAGAAGGCGAAAGAGGAGGCGTCTTTTTTTTTGTGCGGGGGGGGGGACTTGTATTTTCTTGCTCTCATGAGTTTTGTTCCTTTTTGCGGGCCCAACATCTTGCGGTAAAAAACAGTGACGAGTACCCAGCAGAAAGGACCAAGCAAGGCAATTTTATTGCCAAACACAATGCAACTCAAATCTACCTATCCATGAGGTAAGGTTCCCGGCATGTTTTTTTGGTCGTTCGAAATACCATCTTTTGGAAAGGTGAGTTCCCTTTAAAAGGGGTTTGTCTCATGTATTCAACTTCCAGTTTACCTCTCACCAATCCTGGAAGTGCACTAGATCCCTGTTTGGTTTCCCTTTCGACAACTACGAGAAGGGTCTTCTCCAAAAGGATGTTCCATTTGAAAAAGTGGGCCTGTTCCAATTGAACCAGGAGCTGAAGTTTCCCAACTCAAAAACGGGACCCCCTATAAATCGCTCTTGGAAAAGAGGAACACCTCCGACCGAAAACCCCGAGGAACAAATGCAAGCGAAATCGCACACAACCTGGAAACACCTGGAAAAGCCCCAAAACAACCTCGGAACATCCTGGACCTGCACAACTAATCTTGGAACATCCTTCAAAAACTCCGGAAAACCCCGGAACAGCCGAAAGAACCCTTGGAGGGCGCCAGGGGATGGGGGGGGGTCCGCTCGGCGCCTCGTTTTTCCCCCGAGGCCGTGGCGCGGTTCCCGGCGCAGGTGGCGGTGAAGACCTCCCACGCGTTGAGCCGCAGCTGGGCGTGGCGCTGCCCCAAACACGTGGAGAAGGGGATCAAGCTGGACGAGGCGCCGACTTTTTTGTTTTTTGGCCCTTTTTGGCAAGGAAACAACTATAGAAAAAAAGGGGGTGTTTAAGCAAACCGGTCAAAACCACCTGCAAGAATTCAAGGTAAAGCAACGTTTTGGGGGACAATTTGTAAAGCTGGACGATTTCGGCTGGGACAACTTGCAAAGCCTTCTTGGGTGAAGTTGTGTGGGTTTGTGTGTCTGTGTGTCTGTGTGTATGGGTGTGTTTGTGTGTTTGTGTTCGTGTGTGCTTGAGGATACACTGTTCACCTATTTAGGGGGTCATTCTGAGGTGGCGACTTCAATGGATCCTTCTAGTCTCAACAACAAAATGGGCATGTTGTTTGTTTTCCTTGTTTGTCTTACAGAAACCATGCGCCGAAGTCTTGCCTCATGGATGTTTACTCTAGTATGTTGGTGTTACCGGGTGCCATTGTGTCAAAAAAAAGGATTTGTACCCTCATTAAATGGGCTATGCTAGTTCCTTTTCAATTTTGCTCAAAGTCAAACCCTCCCTTAACACAGCGCCTCAAGGATACGTTTGGAACGGTTCAACAATGACCATTCCCGAAGCTTACCCGCCATGTTAGAGGATTCCCTTACAAAACAGGGTGGTTTTTTGGATGTATCCTTTGAGGAACACTGCTAATGAAAGCGTTTTGGGTTCCCTGAAGCCAACATTGGACAGAGGTCGTGGAGCATTTCGAGCTGCTGAACCCCACGGAGGAGCGATCGAGAGGCTGTCTGACATCTCTCTGCGACCCGTTTTTGGCTTTCGTCGGCCGGGAAAATCGACCGTTTGACTGGCCTCATTATTTTACCATGATCAAAGTCACCCCCTAAGTGATGGGTTAAAGGGAAACAACCCCATTTTCTGACTTTGATAACCATTGGAAACGGTCAAAATAATGACCCCAGCTTGAAGGGAAACCAAGTTGAGAAGGACAGGACACCCATCAATTTTGAGGGATGTTCTAGGAGACAAACGGGTTTGTCCAAAGGTCGTTTCTCCATTCGTTTGAGAAACAACTGACATTGCTGGTCTCTTTTTGCACTTGTTTGAGAAGGATCCGTGGACAACTTGGCGTGCTTTTGGGACCTGGCAAAACGTGTCGCTTGTTTTAGAGGAAATGTGGGAACTGGGGGGGGGGGGGATTGTGGCGACCTTGCAAATGGTAATGGTTTGCGACCTAAAACGATCAAGGTTTCGTTTGATACGCGGTGCGTGGATTCTACAAGTTTGCTGGGTTTCGCGGAGGGTTCTTAGCGGATCTGGCTTTGCCAATGTCTGCGACAGCCATCAATACTCACCTTGAAATCTGACGGAGTCATAGGGATGGGAATCAACCACTTGGGCAGTACCCAGTGAGGTGACTTGCAACAATAATTTCCTCGCGCAGAAGCAATTTGGGTAAGCGAAAGGTTTGGGGGCAAGTCCCCACCACGAATAGGTGTTGTTTGATGGGGAACCCTTTTTCGGCGTTGTTTGTCAAGGGAAACAAACCGGGGGGGGGGGGGGGGATTTTGAGGATCTCCTATTTGGAGACAATTTCTGCGGGATTTTCCCTTTTTTGGTTTCCCTTAAGCTGGCCCTTTTCATGAATGGATCGTCATTGTTTCTGCTGCCAATCGCCAGTTACCAAATCATGACGTTTAGTTGGCCGTCAATTCCCTCCGTGGACAACAGACGTCGGTGAGACCAGCGACCCCCCCCCCCCACGGTGGATGTGGCCCCTCCCCCCCCCCACCTCTCGCCAATCCACCGCCGCCCCCCCCCCCCCCCGCGTCAGGAGCGCTGGGGCCTCTTGGCCTCCGCGGATTCTTCCGCGGCCAAGAGGAAGGCGAAGCGGGAGCTGCAGAAGCGCGCGCGCACGGAGGCGCGCTTCGTGGTGAAGACGCGCCGCGGCTCCACCGGAGAGCGCTCGTGGAGGGGAACCCGATGGAACAAGCAGCTTGCTTTGCTGCGACCAAAAACGAACACGGGCGGTGGAATTTTCGAGGGCGCCATTTTTTTTTGGGTGGGGTGGGTTCAAAGGGGAAGGCTAGTTTAGGACGCACCCAGGACTTAGCGTGCAAAATGAAGAGTTTTCTTTGGCGTCGCCACACAACTAAAAAGCAAACGGAAAAAAGCACCCAGACCCACAAAGTAGCCGGGACAAATTTGGTTTTACAGGGAAGCCAAAAGGAAATCTAGCAGTTTTCCTTGCCAGACTTGGCTTTTTTTGCCAGCCGCTTTGGATGCCGAATCTGTGTGGATTTCCTTTCGACCTGAATCAACCCAACTACATGGCCTGAAACTAGTCCTAAACAAGAATGGCACCTACTCACAATGCTTACGCAATATCAGACTTTGTCAGCGTAATTCGAGGATGCAGGGAACCGCTTTGCATCCTTTTGCATCCTTTTGCATCCTTTTGGCGTTCACTCATTTTGTTTCCTTTCTCGCCCCCTTGAAGAAGGGCCTGTTTTTTCTTCATTTCCCAAGCCAGCGACAAGTTGGAACTTTTGCAGGTCGGACTGGCTAAGGTTGGAGAACTTCCTGTGGTCGGATGCCGAAAAGGTCCAGGACGAGGGGGGGTTGGGGCAATCTTGTTTTTGGCGATCCAGGTGATATTTTAGGGTTTTAGAATTATTTGGGCCACTCTGAGTGGCCCTTGTGGAATGGAAGATGCCGAATTTTCCGGCAATTGCAGATTTCATAGCTTTTTTTGTTTTGCACTTGAGCCTGTGTCGAAATAGGGCAACCCCCCCCAAATGTTTGTTTTTCCTTGTGGTGTCCCGCAAAACCAGGCTCAAAATGGCACCGACACCAACAAACGCACCCAGATTGGCTTCGTTCCAACTTCAAGCTCATGCCTGGCGGCCTTTTTCCACCTTTGTTCAATACCCTTGAGGCCCTTGAGCCTTGAGCCACGGGAAAAGGACCACCTTTACCAGCTGAGGCAGGCACAGGTGTCCTTTTTGGTTGTTTTGGTTAGATGGCGATTCCTGGTGTACCTGGTGCTTGAATCATCTACCAGGGCAATCCATCTATCTCCCCCGAATTCGGATTCGCCTCTGGAGCCTTTGGTGTTTTTCTCCCAGCAAAAGCACGCCCGCGCCCTTAGCGCAAACGAACAAATGCCCGCGCCTCGATTCCAATCGAGCGCCGAAGCGCCGAACGGGTCAGGACGAGCACATCTTCTGGAAGGCACGGGTGGCTGCCACTTCCAAGAAGCAGGCGACTTTCGAGGTGCCGCCTTTGGCCCCGGAGTTCTACCGCCAGAAGGCGCAGCGGATCTACGACCAGATGCAGGAGGGGGCAACTGGATAGGTGATATGGAGGCGTCCTTTGTATGGTTGGCCCCTGTAAATGAAATCCAGCAACAAAAAGCGGGTGCCCTTCAAAAAGCAGACACACACACACACACATCTGTAAGGGGGATGACAACGCGGCACAAGAGCCCCAAAATGCCATTAGGGCAAGAGGACTCACCAAAATCCAATGTCAGTTGGGCACACAATGATCAATGATGGTGACGCTGGCTCATACCAGGTTCAGTTTGTGTTCTTGAGCGTAGCCTGTGCACCTGTTAAAAGGGAAACCAACATAACCGTACCAGCAATCATATTTATCGTCATTTAGGATGGCATGGGGCACACGAGCCGCAAGTGACCATGAGAAAATTGGGGTTCACTCACCCAAATTCCTATGTCGGGGACATCAGTTTATGGCCCAGTTGGGAAGGACATGGTAAATGCCCCCCCACCTTTGTCTCTTTTTGGGTTTGTTGGAACATGGAATGTTGCGGTTCCCTATTTCTACATGGCTTGAGCAATCATATTCGTCATTTGGGATGGCATGGGGCACAGTGGAAGGCTTTGGACAACACTCGGAGGACGAGGAGGCCCCGTTCCCACAGACCCACGACGGCTACATGAAGCGCTTCCAGCTCATGCGGCCGGACTTAGGCCGACCGAAGCCGAAGAATCCTCGGTCGGGCTTGTGGGTGCTAAAGGGTGCGGCGATTTTTGTCGGGTCCGAGACCGGGTCTACCCAAAATCCTTGTGTTTTTTGGTTCTTTTTTTTTGTTGGTCATATAGAGTCTCTCAAACTGGCCCGGATCGCTGGTTGCGAGGTGTTTTTTCTTTTCCCCATCAACCCGTGACTGATGTTTAGAGTTGAAGCTGACCGTGTCTGGAAATCAGCCAACGCAATGTTGGTTGGCCATTTTGGACTGCTTTTGTGCCTGGAACCGGACAAAATGGGTTCAAATTGGCAATCTTGGAGTGGTTTGCGCGAACTGGACAAAAACCGGTTCAAACTGGTCAAACATTTTGCCTCGGCCATCGCAACATGGCCTCAAGCGAGAGGCGCCCCGCCGTGTGGCACGCCCGGCTGCGCAGAGCGGGGCGCAGCCATGCGGCCGCGGAGCGGGCGCTTCGGGCGGTTCTGGAAGTGCCAGGCGCCGGGAAAAGAAAATCGAAGGGTAGGCCCAGGGCTTAGGGTTTAGGGTTCAGGGTTCAGTTTTTTTTAGTTTTAGGGCTTCGGTTTGGGGTTTTCCGTTTGGGGCCTTTTTTTAGAGCACCGAAAAGGGGTAGGTTGTTGCAGCACCGAAAAAGGGGTAATGTTCTTTATGCATTAAAAAGACAAAGGACAAGATTATGAAAAGATAATTAGAATGAAAAGACAAAAGAAATCCATCATATCATTCCCTTTGTGGCATCTGGATGACACGGGAAGATCCGGAGACGGGAGATAACAGCCCTCATATGAATGCGACCTCTCTCCTCAGCCCTCACCAATATAACGGTTGCATCTGGGGCTGAGTTAAGATGTCTTGAGTTACCTTCCGGCTTAAAGACCAGTCCAGGCGCTGCATTCATCCAATATGATTTATGGTAAACTTTAGATTCTTGGAAATTCATATGTTTTATACTCTACAACTTTATTATTGGCATTTTATAGAAATCTTATGGTTATTGATTTTTCTAGTTTTTTCTTACTTATTCCTTTCTTTCTTTATTGATTGTTTGTAGAGCTTGGAGTTCTTCTAATTAAGACCTCTCCAAATAGTGGATGTACACCATAAAACCTTTCCAATGTAACCTCCAGAAATCCCTGTCAGCAAACCGTGTAAATGCACTATCCACGGTGTATCATCTGGAATTAATTCTGTATCTTCTGGTCGGACTCTGGTCAAGGACCTAGATTGAGAGGTAAAAGGTACAGAAGATAAAGAAAGAGATGTTCCAAGAGATACATTCCTAATACAAAAGGATCTTGACCAATTAATATCAGGTCGTTTTCATTTCATCCACATATTAACTTCTGGCTTTTACGTAAGGAATCTTCACCAATTAATAGTTACCTTTGGTGTGTGTTAGAGGATCCGGATAGTAAAGGGACAGGCATAAATAGGTGCAGGAAAGGGATAGAAGTTACAAACATTATATCATCCACTTTGCGTTTATTGGATGGCTTTCTCTTTACCATTCTCCTCCTTCGTTCTCATCCATTGGCTGCAAACGAGAGGAAGGGAAGTAACTAAGATGAAATGGTTCTACAGCAAAGACAAGTTACTTCCCTCTCTCATTCTCTCTGTCCCCCAATGATGGTTGTCCGTTTGGTGGCTTTTTTGGGTATCCCTCAAAAACAGACACCAAAAAAGTGTGTCTCCAAACGGGGCTCCGCTTTTTTTGGAAAACAGACCAAAGAACACCAACTTCCTGAAGGGGTCCCTAGCTTTAAAGCTAGGGAACACCCAAGTAAACATGGAACCGAGCAATACGTCGCTTTTCGCGCTGTGGCTGTCCGATTTTGGCCAGCGTTTGACATTTGGCTTGCAGCTACACATATTGCTTTGCGCGCGGCCGACCTCTCTGTGTGCACCCACTGGAAAGGTTAAAACTCGGCGACCTTGGGTGCTGCTGTCGAGTGGGCACAGCGGTATGCCAGGCGAGGATCGTTTTTTCTTGTCTCCGCAGCAGTGAAGCGCGCGTGCCGAGGCGGGCACCAGACAGTACCACGCTCCAGAGATTGCGCTCCTGCAGGCTGGCACTGGTTCCGTGCGCAGAATGCCAGTAGGCGATCCCCTGGGTTCTGACACGCGGGTGCTTAGCATTCATTAAGTTTAAGCAATTGGATTCAATACCTCGGTACATGAACTTGAAGACAGGTGGCGTTTTCCCGCGTATGGAAGCAACATGTTTTCCCGCGTGAGCAAAGCGACAGACACACTGGTTGCACAGGCTCTTTGCGCAACAACTACGTGACATCTCTCTGCACAATTTCCAATCAGAGGTTCCATCTCTTGCAGCAGTCTCTCTGTAATACCTCTTAGTGCAATCTCTCTGAGCAATGTCACGGACAGACTCTTTGAGCAGTCTCTTGACATCTCTCCGCACAATCTGCCCGAGCGATCTCATGTGCAATCCCTCTTAACAATCCCTCTGACCAACCCCTCCATTCCATGATTGACCCAAAAGAGATTGCCTGAAAGATTCCTGAAAGATTGCACAAGAGATTGCGCAGAGATATCATCAGGATTCACAGAGTGATTGCTCAACGAAATGTCTCAAAGAAATTGCGCCGAGAGCTTTCTCTCCGGCGATCTCGCCGAATAAACATGTGCTTTCGCGGAAAGACAAAGACGTTCTGCTAAAAGTTTGCTTCTTAGCTACTAGAAGCTATTTGGGGATCTCCTAAGCCAGGAGGAGACAACGCAGGCAGTGGATGTGTGGGCCTCCGGGCTTACCGCCCACTGCTTGTTCATCGGCCCAGCTCTTGGTACTGATTAGCCCTATACTAATTCACCAAAGTGTAAAAGGCTAAGGAGATATTTTCCTTTAGGGTTTGCACTTTCAACTACCAACTGAGCAAGCAAACAATATTGATCCTTGCCCGGGTCTCCTGTATTGCACTTTACAGTTTGCCAAGTTACAATTTAGGCGCGTTTCAAGGGATGAGTGTAGTTGCTGGTAAGGAAGCCCATCTGACCCCTAATCCCCCTTGTTTATTATTGGGGGGCAGAGGCTGCCCAGGGTACAGCCAGTCGAGCCTGCAGCCTTTGTTTCACCGACCGAACAAAAGAAAACTCGTGCGGGTTCGCGCCTTTTGTGTGAATCTTTTGTTGGTTTTCCGTTGGTCTGTTTCGCTCCCTTAACTGGGCCCCGTCCAATGAGCCTGTGATAACACCTGTGCCAACACGCAGCCACTTGCATCACGCATTGGCTTCCTGTTCCTGACCATGTCTTGGCACAGCACCAAGGCTGGCCAGCGTGTCTTGCTGACCAACATGCCTTGTCACGAAGACCAGCCTGGCCAGCATGTTTTGGCATGAGCACCAGGCTGGCCAGCATTGTGTTGGCACGAGAACTCACACTCAGCGTGTTGTGGCGCGAACACCATTCTGGACACGAGCAGCGTGTCTTAGCACGGGCCAGCATGTCTTGGCACGAACACCAGGCTGGCATGTCTTGGCGCCAGATATCTTGGCGCGAGCCCGGAGCGATGTTTATAAATAGGGTGCGTGATTGAACAAGGTGTGTCCATGCCTCCTTGTTCTGCCGACTTCGTGATTGACGTGTGTGGCTTCTGTTTGTGCTTTACAGCAGTGATAACAGGCCGTCAGCGGAACCTAAGAACCATCAGGTGTGCTTCGGACATGTATCGAAATCACCCATTGGCAAGTTCTGTAATACATTTGTTTGTGTTTCTTCATGCGGGGCGGAGGAAAAGGCATTCCACTTTGGGATATTTATTGGACCGGACTGTGAAAGGTATAGGTTCATCTGGTTGAATTGACTTGACTGGGAGCAGCTCCTCAAACAATTTCCCAGTATTGGGGTCCCTCATTCTGGTGGATCCTGATTTTCACACCCATGATGTTTTTCTGGGATGCCTGTTGCCAGTTTGGCAATCTGCTTGATCTTTGCTCGTGCTTCCCCTAGTATCCTGCATCTGCGCTCCAGTTTCTGAGTAGCAAAGAACTAGGGAAACACCAAGGGGATAATAAGGGAATACCAAGGGAATCAAAGGAGGAAATGCTAGAAGAAAACTAGGGGAATACTGGGAAATAATACTACGAATAAACAAAGAAAATACTAAGGAATGCTGGGGTTACTGGGGGGAATTTTAAGGGAATGCGAGGAGTATGCCAAGAAAATACAAAGGAATACTAGGGCAATACTGGGATCTCAGAGAATAGTGGGGAATGCTATATAATGGAACGCTGAGAGAACACGAAAGAACTAAAAGGAAAACACTGAGGGGACAATACGGGAAGTGCAAAAACCTCGAGGTCCCGTTTTTCCTTTTGGTCTTCTTGGTATACCCCTTAATCTTCTCTCAGTGTTCAAGTTTTCCCCTAATATTGCTTCAACATTCCCCTCAGCAGCTTCTTGGCAATTTCCTAACGGACCCCCTGCATTCCCCTCAATATTCCCCTACTATTGCTCGAGTATTCTCTTGGTGTACCTCTAGTATTTCCTCAGCATTTTCCAAGACTCCCTTAACATTCCCTAAGTCCGTATTCTTTCATAGTATTCGCTTGTGTTCCCTTACTGTTCCCTTAGCATTCCCCTTGCTATTCCTCGAATAGTACTCTATTGCTAGTTGTATTCCTATTCCCTAGTATTCCCCTCATAGTCCCCTATTTCTGTAGCATTCCCTTACCTCTAGAGTTGTGTCCTTTGTACTTCCCCTAGTATCCTGCAATGCTGGGGTTCCTGGACGGAATATTGGGGGAATGCTGGGAGTATGCCAAGAAAATACTAAGGAACACTAGGCCAATACTGGGGGAATACTAGGAGCATACAACTACCAGGGGTAAGAGAATGCTAAAGGAATAAAGAATACTTGCAGAATATTAAGGGAGTATTAGGGACGTATTGTCACGAATACCAGTAGAGCCGGCGAAGCCGGTGGGCGGAAGTTTCAAAAGTATAAAAACTATAGTTCTCTTTCTCTTTCTCTTTCTTTTCTTGACTCTTTTTCTCCGTCATTCTTCATTTCTTGCTTTCTTTCCTTCCTTCCTCCCTTCTTTCCTTTCTTTTTTTCTTTCTTTCGTTTGCTTGTCTATCTATCTTTCTCTACCTATCTATACCTAACTACCTATCTATCTATCTCTCGTGTTATCTACTTATCTGCTTATCTATCTATCTATCTCTCTATCAATCTTCTCTATCTATCTCTCGATCTCTCTATCTATATACCTACCTATCTCTCTATCTCTCTATCTATCCATCTCTCTATATCTCTCCATCTCTGTCTCTCTCTCTTTCTCTATCTCTCTATCTCTCTATCTTTCTTTCTTTCTATCTATTTATCTCTCTATCTCTTTCTCTGTCTTTCTCTCTATCTATCTATCTCTATATCTCTCTATGTATCCCTCTGTCTACCTCTCTGTCTATCTCTCTCTCTGTCTGTCTTTCTTTAAATCTGTTTATCTATCTATCTATCTATTTATCTCTCTATCTCATTATCTCACGCTATCTATCTATCTATATGTCTAATTATCTATAGATCTACCTATCTATCCATCTCTCTATCTACCTCTCTATCTCATTCTCTCCACCTTTTTTATCTTTCTATCTATCTATCTATCTATCTACCTCTCTATCTATTTATCTATCTATCTATCTATCTATCTATCTATTTATTTCTCTATCTATCTACCTATCTATGTATTTCTCTCTATCTTTGTTTCTATCTATTTATCTATCTCTGTATGTATCCATCTATCTGTTTAACTATCTATCTGTCTGTTTATCGTTTATCTATCTATTTATTTATTTCTCTATGTATCTATCTTTCTATCTCTCTATCTATCTCTTTTTCTTTCTATTTATATATCTCTTTATCTCTCTATCTCTTTCTATCTTGACTTCGCGTACTACTTTCGTACTTAAAAGTTGCGATTTTCGAGCCCCAGCTGCGAAAGTGGACTTCACGTACTACTTTCGTACTTAAAAGTTGCGATTTTCAAGCCCCAGCTGCGAAAGTGGACTTCACGTACTACTTTCGCACTTAAAAGTTGCGATTCTTGAGCCCCAGCTGCGAAAGTTGACCTTGCAAAAGTGCTGCGCCTGCCATGAAATCTGTACTTGACCTTGCGAAAGTGCTGCGCCTGCCACGAAATCTGTACTTGACCTTGCGAAAGTGATGCGCCTTCCACGAATTTTGCACTTGACTTTGCGAAAGTGCTGCACCTGCCACGAATTGTGTACTTGACCTTGCGAAAATGATGCGCCTGCCACGAATTTAGCACTTGACCTTGCGAAAGTGCTGCACCTGCCACGAAATATGTACATGACCTTGTGAAAGTGCGGCGCCTGCCACGAAATCTGTGCTTGACCTTGCGAAAGTGCTGCACCTGCCACGAATTGTGTACTTGACCTTGCGAAAATGATGCGCCTGCCACGAATTTAGCACTTGACCTTGCGAAAGTGCTGCACCTGCCACGAAATATGTACATGACCTTGTGAAAGTGCTGCGCCTGCCACGCAGTTCAATCCTGGAGAAAGATTGACCTTGCGAAAGTGCTGCGTCTGCCACGAAATCTGCACCCGACCTCACCAAAATGCTGCGCCTGCCACGCAATTCAAACCTTGCGAAACCTCTGCGTTGCCGTGCCAATGGTCCCGGCGCCGCCCCCGTCCCGAGACCGTCCCGAGCCCGTCCCGCACCCGTCGTCCGTCAGACGCCGCGACTGAGGTAGCTTGTTTTCTCTCGCGCGCCTTTCATTCTTTCTTCTTCCTTCCCTGCACCATCTAGCTTTCAATTAGTTTCCGTAACTCGGAAGTTTCCTTCTAAACTTCCTTTGATTAGGAACATACTAGGGGAACAAGTGCAAGGCTGATCTGAGGGCAAAGAAGCCATATGCGTGGGGCAAGTGACCGGCTTAGATTACTTGAGTTTGTCCTATTGCTATAGGAGTTTTGTGGTTTGTACTCCAGAAGTGAGTAGCTTAGAGGTGGTGCATACTTGAGAAGAATGATATGCGCATGAAAAACGTGTTTTTACGTAGTTATCAGCCCTGTTTTGCCAGAAAACACCGCAAAACACAGTGTTTTGTAGCATTTTCATGTTAAAATCACATCCCCACCAACACCCGGTCTTTAGAACCTATTTTAGTGGTTGGATTGGGATGTTCACTGGGGCTACGATTTGGGTTTTGACCCATGGCCATATGGCCCTTGCTCGTTGACCGTTGAGCGAGGGGGGGGGTTGTCGAAGTCAGTCTCCCTTTAACCTGCCACTTCCGGCGTGGCTTTGGTAGAAAGAAAGACATTGAGGCCGGCGATGGGAGGAACAAGTAATGAATCCGCTGCGGAAACAAGGGGATGCGTATCTTCTTGACTGATCCACGAGTCAACATAATTGGGGTGTTTTTCCCCAAAAACGATGCTCTCGAAAAAATGCCACGCCCGCATTCTGGAATTCGGATACAGTTTGTTGCCCATTGGTTTGACACCCTGCGATCGTTTGTTTTTCACCTGAAAGCTATGGGGAGTGGTCGGAGGATACTTCACCTCTGATTGCTCTTCAGTTCCTATTTCCAATTGCCCAATTGCCCAGCCTTTACCAGTGGTCGGCAGGCCGGGAACTCGAAGTTGGGGTCTGGCGCCCGAGTTCTCGGGTGCTGGTTTGGTTTGAAGGGGAACCAGAGAATGGCCATGGGGCAGAGGATCTTTCTTGTGACGCACCCACAAGAGCAAATTCTGTTGGCCCCCTATAGGGTTCCAAGCGGACCCCAAACGATTTGGGTGTGCGCGAAAATAAGGGGAACTGAACCTGGCGGGTGGATATATGAACTCGTCATAGCCGGGTTCATAGCCGGGTCTTGGCTGGCTGGTTGAGATTGGTTGGGACCGTCATGTGCCACCCGAAAAGGAGCCTATTTGTTAGAACCCAAGAGTCCAAAGTTAGGGTTAGGGTATCCCACCCTTGATTAAACGTTTTTATCAACCAACCAACCTGAATCGAATGAACCACGGTGCCACTCGGATCGGTTCCAAGTACCCAGCAAAACCAGGGGCTTGGGGCCAGCATGGAGAACGTCCTTGAGATGGTTTCTTAGAAAGTCGCCAGGGGCCCATGGTTTAAACCAACAACCAACAACCAACAACCAACAACCAACAACAAACAGCCAACATCCAACAACCAACAACGAACAGCCAACAGCCTACAACCAACAAACAAGAAACAACAACCAACAACCAAGAAACAATAACCAACAAACAACAAACAACAAACAACAACCAACAACACCAGCAACCAACACAACCAACAACCAACAACCAACAAAGCTGGGGGATATTTGGATTTGGCAGCTCGGGGGTTTGGGGCCCCACCCACCCCACCCCACCCCACCCCACCCCACCCCACCCCACCCCACCCCACCCCACCCCACCCCACCCCACCCCACCCCACCCCACCCCACCCCACCCTACCCCACCCCACCCCACCCCACCCCCCCCACCCCACCCCACCCCCACCCCACCCCACCCCACCCCACCCCACCCCACCCCACCCCACCCCACCCCACCCCCACCCCCACCCCCACCCCCACCCCCACCCCCCCCCCCACCCCCACCCCCACCCCCACCCCACCGCTTCTTCCGACACATCGCGCCAGGGCTGCGGTGCCACGGGCAGCGGCTACGACGTGGTCATCATCGACGAGGCCCAGGACTTCACCCCCTGCCAGGCGCGAGGAGCGGGGGGAGCGGGGGGGGGGGGTTGGGGGGAGGGAACCATGGAGACCTGGAGCCGATTTTTGCAACACCAAGAACCCCAAAATAGGAAAAACACAAAATATTGTGGGGGGGGGGGCAAAATAGACCCCAAGTGTCCACCATACGGGAGAGGGGGAGGGGGGTGAAATTTTGAGGTGGTAGCCGTTCAGTTGTGGTTCTTCAAGGGAAGAAGGACACATGTGGGGGAAGAGATGCCTTTTTTCAAGGGAAAAGGGAAACCTTCCGTGTGGGGAGAAGAGAAGGGCGTGTTTGTTGAGTTTCCCTTTTGAGAGCAAACTGAAAGGAAAGCCGGGTCACTTGATTTTGAGACATACCCAGAGGGGCAGGATGTTTTGGCAGCTTACCCATTTTTGGCTTTGGGAAGGCGACCCTCTGGTTTCGGGCTTCTTGTTGCACACATTTGAGCTGGCTGAAAGCCCGAAGCAACTCTCAACTGCCTCCAGATCCAAGTATGACGCTGGGTGTTGCCTCACAAGGTGCTTTGTCATTCTGGCGACCCAAAGGCACATAGCAGTCTGAAAGCGGCCTCGACCAGCCTGCGCAACCCTCTCAAGCACCCTCTCGTAGCCACCCTCTCTCACACACCGTCTCCCAACCACCCACTCTCAACTCAGCTATCGCACACCTGATGGATTTCGGACGGGTATTGTCGAACCCAAATGATCTTGAACCACTCTCGATTTAGACACGTTGATCCATCAAGACCTGCAAGCTCAACAATTCTCGGGTCGCTGTTTTGGCAGTGCTTCCAAAAATCAGAGGCCCAAAACTGTTTGTTTCCTTCAATTGTCCCATAGTCAGCAAAAGCAAACAGTCCCCCGATTTCCGCATATATTCCCTTTTGCTAGGTTCGCCCATTCCTAGACATCCGTTTTTTGCTAGACCCGCTTTATTTTTCCTCAGCGACTTTGCCTTTCGACTCCTCACGCTCGCTTGGAGAAAGCCGCGGGGCCAGGCCGCCGCGTTCTGGCAGCAGGATGCGGCGGTGTACCTGGTGGGCGACGCGCGGCAGCGCATCTACCGCTGGCGCGGGGCCAGCGAGGACTTCGAGCGATGCGCTTTGGGCGAACAAAATTCCTTTTCTCACTCGCCCAGGGCGTGTTTTTTTTCTTCTTCTTTTGACCTTTTGGTCTCCCTGACTTGGTTCATTTCTGGCAGTGGCACCAAAAAGCGATCACTTTCCGATTTCCGGGGCCTGTGCGCAACTGAGTTTTGGCTGTGAATTTGAACAAGGGAACTCTTTGATGGACATCAGACACACAGGGGATGTATATTCATCGGCCATTTTGGAGGGCGGAGTTGCATATTGAAGTTCGTAGGGCCCTCTTGCCTCGGAGCTTGTTTCAAGGGTCCCCGTGCGCAGCAACAGGAGTTACCCCTGCAACAGGTCACCCGAATGAGGGTTGGGGTATCCCACCCCCTGTTTGAACCTCAAGACTCAACACTAAATCAATGTTCAGCCACAAAGCCAACTCGCAAGAGGAGGCATTGCAGCCTAGTGACTACGGCTAGGTCCCCCGGCTAGGTGCCCTTTTACCCTTTCTTGGTTGGGAGGGTTCCACCACTAAAATAGGCTACAGAAAAAGAATCGGGTACCCTAATTCTAACCTCTCTACTGGAGGATCTAGACTAGTGACTTTTAGGGCCATTGGTCCGTGCCAAGTGCGACCTTCCCATGGCTTTCCCTCGTGGCTCCATTCGGCTGGTTGGAGTTTTGGCTTCGAAGGGTTTCCCTTTCGAGGCCGTGTTTTTTTGAGGGTACCGTTTTGGGGGTGAAGCACAGTCAAGGGAGCAACCACCTCATTTTTGCAGTTGATGTTTTGATCTCAGACTTTGCAGTGGTCTGTGAAATCATATTATTTCGGGTTTCGGACGTTTTGGTATCTTTCTTGGATTTGTTTTCCTTGTTGTTGCTTTCCCCCCCGATTTCTTTCTGCTTTCTTTTCCCGTTGACTCCCCCCGTCGCCTTGGTTCGATGGTTCTTGGCTTTTCTCTGATTGGATCCACGCCTTCCATTTTGAAGACGCCCAGGCAGCGTGGAGAAGGAGCTGACCCTTTGCGAGACATGGCGCTTTGGTCCGGTGACACGGCAACAAACAACCGCATTTTTAGGGCTCTCTATTTAATTTGTGTGCTTTTTGATGGTGCTTGGGTTTAAATTTTAAAGGGAAACCGAAAGGAGAACCGCCAGTTGCGGGGTCGCCTATTTGGCACATACCTATGCTTCCATCACCCTTGGTTTACCCAATATATGTCCGTTATGTATTATCCCCTTTCTTTTGGGTCAATCTAAAAGGGAGCTTCCTTTGTAGAGCGATGCTCCAGTAGCGGGGAAGCCGGTTGTCGGATGTTTCAAAAAATACAAGAACTACAGTTCTGTTTCTCTTTCTCTTTCTGTATTTCTTTCTCGTTATCTTTTTCTTTCCCTGTGTCTTTCTCTTTTTTCTTTCTTTCTCTTTTTCAATCTATCTACAGTATCTATCTATCTATCTATCTATCTATCTATCTATCTATCTCTCTCATCTAGTCTCTAACCTAATCTAATCTCTAATCTACTCTGATCTAATCTATCTATCTATCTATCTATCTATCTATCTATCTATCTATCTATCTATCTATCTATCGGTCTGTCTATCTATCTACCCATCCATCTATCTATCTATCTATCTATCTATCTATCTATCTATCCATCTAGTCTATCTAGTCTATCTAGTCATTCTAATCTATCTATCTATCTAATCTACCTACCTACCTACCTGCCTATCTATCTATCTAGCTATCCATCTATCTACCTATCTATCTATCTATCTATCCATCTATCTATCTATCTATCTATCTATCTATCTATCCATCCATCTAGTCTATCTAGTCATTCTATTTTATTTAATTATCTAACCTACCTACCTACCTATCTATCTAGCTAGCTATCTATCTATCTATTTATCTATCTATCTATTTATCTATCTATCTATCTATCTATCTATCTATCTATTCCGAGACAGCTCCAAGGCCGTTTCCGGTTGGCGGAGACGCCAAAACCCGCAGAGGGTCACCCCCCTCTCGCGATTTCGTTCCCCCTCCCCCCCAGCCCCCCCCACGCCCCGCCCCCCACGCCAGCTCATGTTCTTTTTTTGCAGACCTTCATTCTTTCTTCCGTCAATTGGTGCCAGTAACACGGAAGTTCCTTCTAAACTTCCTTTGGTCCCGAGAGCCCGTGGCTTGGGTTTTTTCTGCTCGGGGGCACAGGGCCTCTGGGCTCGGTCTGGCAAGGCGATCGCGGAGGTGACGAACGCGGTGCTCAGCTGCTGCTCCGGGGATCAGACCGTCATCGGCCGCAACCCGGACCCCGGCGCCGTGCTCTGGCCCGGGCGGCCGGGAGCGCAAGCGGGCGAGGAGAGTCGAGCGCCGAAGGGCCCGAAGGTGGGGGCCGAAGGTCAAAATAAAGCCAGGAATTGGACCGTAGGTTTTTTTGTCTTTGGCAACCGTTCCATTTACCAGGGCAACCCATTTTGGTAACTGATTTGCCAGGGCAACCCATTTTTCGGTACGCGTGTTTGACAAGGTGATCATCACGAGGTCCAACAAGGGCATGCTGGATGAGCTGCAGGACCAGATCGCCGAGTCGGAGTCCGAGCCTCTCGGCGCTGAATAAGAAACACACGTCCTCAAGTGAATTTTCCCCAGAAAGCTTGGTGGCGAAGCCAGCCATCCGGTTCCTTGGCTTTTTGGATCCTTTTAGTGTTTAGTGGCAGTTTCCCTTTTAGCCCACGAAAAATGAGTCGCTTTTCGCGGGGGATCAGCCCAGGGAAGCCAAGTTGTTATTTGATGCTTTCTGCGGGTCTGGGATCCAGGTCTCTGCCCACCTGGGCCTTCATCGACGAGAAGATGGCGAGCCTGTCGCGGCCCAAGACCTACGAAACCTTTCTGAAGCTGAAGCAGGGGGAGCCGCTGACCTATCACGGCGAAGAGTTCGATACCTGGGAGGAGTTGAAGCAGCAGCTTGCCGGCGTGTGGCTCGTTGTTTTCTGGAAGAAACCCCGAAAGAAGTGGATTGGATTGGTGGCTTGGGGATTCGAGCCCTTGGATCCTTGTGGAGGTTTGATGGAAGCCCCCCCCCTAAAATCCAAACTTCCAATCAAAAGCACCAATTCGAGGGAAGCTGACTTTTCAGCTTGGTTTAAAGGGTAACCAAAAGAAGCTCCATCCAAAGACATTTGCTTCATCTACCATTTTTCCATGGATTTCCACGGATCGCCAGCGACTCTGACGTGCTTTTCAGGGCGACAAGCAAATGCAGCAACTTGACAATCTACAGGTCTTTTTAGGGTGAACCACTTCTTGTCAGGTTTGGGGCAAGGACCGTTTCACCTGAGCTGTAAACAAATGGCTCACTTTTGTTCGAGTCACGTCGCAGGTATGCGGAGGACGAGGGCGATACTCAGCTTGCCAACAAGATCGAGGTCATCGAGAAGTGGGGGGCCAGACTGCCGGATTTCCTGGCGCAGATCGAAGCTTCGCGCGTGGAGAGTTGGAAGGAGGCGGACCTGGGTTTGATCACTGCGCACAAGGCCAAGGGCCTGGAGTTCGCCTATGTCATCCTGGGAAGCGATTTCAAGCTCCCGATGGAGGACTCATCGGGCGTCCAACCTTTCGACCAAAATCAGCTTTTTCGGCTTTCCCGTCAGGCGAGTCTTTTGGTGCCAAAAGGCGTTTGTGACCTTTGACTTCTGGGTCCCTAGCGCAACCACTGAGAGGAGGAAGCGAACTTTGGCAACTGGAAGCTGTTACCGGAATATCGCCTGAGAAGACCGCATTGGCAAGAGGAGCTCAATGCGGCTTGGCAAGAGCTCATGTCCAAACTGGGCGTTTCACGAAGGTGCCTGAAAAGTGACGCAGCGTCTTTCATGAAAATTGCCCGACACAGGCGCCCCTTGACACAGGGTCCCGACTTTCGAACCGCGACGCCAACTGAGGTGGCTTTCAGGTCCTTGGCGATTGACTCACCAAACACCGCTGGTTTCGGGGGGGAAAAAGAAACGTACGGGGCTCCCAAAATTGAGGTTTTTTCCTTGGAGTCCATTCGGCACCACCAAAAAGGCAGAAACAAATCAAAACAAAGAACGGGCAATACCTCTTGGCCCACCAAACCAGCAGATAATTTCACGCGAACATGTGCTAATATCCTTGGCTTACAATGTGTCCGCTGCTCATGCCATGTGCAAGTGGCACTGCAAATAGCAGAACAGTCAAACAAAAAGGCAGCAAGGCAGAACAGAGGAGCACGGAACAATGAGCCATGATTCAGGGGACCCGTTCAACGGGTTCTAACAAAACTTGTTCCAATTGCTTGAAGCAGAGCTGTATTGGAGGGAACCATTCAACGAGTTGCCCAAATGAGAGGGTCACCCAGCCCGGCTCAGGGTTTTGATTCTCCCATCCAACGAGGCAATTTCCGCCCAGTTTGGGGGATTTTTTCCGACTTTCAAACATGGGGCCCCTTCTCTTGGCCACGTTTTCTTGCTGGCGGAGCCTCTAAAAACCATCCCACTGCGAATTTTTCCTTTCAGGGCACCCCAGGTTCATTCCCCGCCTATCGCAGCAGCAAGTTTTCGAAGACCCTTTTCCACGGCCAGGTGGGGTGAGAAACCGTCCCCCAATTGTTGGTTTCAAAGGGAATCGATTTCACTGGAGACATTTTTCATTTGCCACTGAACATCCATTTGCCACTAGATTTCACTGAGCCTCCATTTGCCTATGTTGATGTTAACCCACTATTTTTTTTTCAATCGGCGGCTCCTATGTTGATGTTAACCCACGGGCAAGAAATCAAATCGGCAGGTGCTCTACGTGGCCATCTCCCGGGCCCAGCGCTTCCTGCGCCTCAGCGTGGAGGCGGCGCAGTTCCTGGCGCTCCTCGGCCAACAGCCGCGGCCGCGGCGGACGTCCAGCGCGGCCAAGTCCTCGGAGGACGGGGGGGGGGTGGAATCTACGTGTCGGGGGGGTCCCCAGCAATTGGTGCCAGCTCTTTTTTCTCACTGCTTCTTTTTTGGTTGGGAGGGTGGTGCCGAAATTGTCTCTCCCCTTGGTTGGGAGGGTTCAACCCTACTAAAGGTAGACAAAAAAGTAGCCTCTCTACTGGAGGACCCAGTTGTTCAATCGGTTCATCAAACTTGGACCTAGTATTGTCATAACAGGCTTGAAATATGCTTATTGTATCAACACAAATGAAATGTGTTGTTTTGTTTTGTTTTGCCAATCTGACGTCTCAAGTTCAGAAATCTGCCATTGCTGAACGTTTTTTGGGGCGCTCCCTTCGGCGTTTTTCGCCCCCTACATCCAGGCCCCGTCTCGTTGGGCCCGCGGCCCGGAGGGGTTTCTTTGGAGGTGTTGCCGGTGGCCGCCCGGTTTTTGCCGCCGATCCGGGTCGGTGACGATCTGTAGCGGCAAGAGAGCAAGCACCAAGCGGCGCGGGGGGGTGCCCTGATCTTTGGAAGGATGGCGCGGGATTCGCGAGACGATGAGTTTTTTTTTTTTTTTTTTTTTTTTTTTTTATGAATACGGTCTTGTAGAGTTCGCATTTCCAATGCCACCACACCAAAAGACAGCGTAGGTGAGTTGTTCAAACCATCTCAAGTGCTTTTCGAAGCCACCTGGCTTCTGCAAACATTACCTTTTTTTGTGAAGAATCAATCTTGCATCCCCATTCTTTTCAACCATCGTTCTTTTCAAAAGCCAGCCGTTTTACCTGGGATTCTGCAGGAGGTGTTGCTCAGGAGGTGTTGCCCAGGAGGTGTTTTCCAGGAGGTGTTGGTCCCCAGAAGGTACCCTAGAATCAAGCAGAACCCCCCTCTCCCAGGCCCTAAAAAGCCAACGGGGCCATCCTCAACGGCCCGCGTGAGGATGGCGCGGAGCTGGCGGCGCTGCGCGCGGGGGACGAGGTGCGCTGGGCCAACTTCGAGCGGGAGGCGCTGCGCAAAGACTCGGAGCTAGTGGTGCAGGAGGCGGGTAGGCCTACATGGCCATGGGGAAGCTATGGCTCCGTTTTGGGGTGGATGAACATCCATTTGCCACCAATTTTTAATGTTCACCAGGGGTACAGGGTTTGGACCCACAGCCATATGTGTTTGTGTGTGATGTGTGTTTGTTTTTCGGAGTTGGTACGCTTGTTTGGTTGGTCTGTCTAAAGGAAACCAGCAAGGAAAGCCGTGAACATTTCCGGTTGCGCCCCCTTCTGGTTCTTTTGCCCTATTGCAAACCCTTGGAGGTAGGAAGACTAGGTCCCCCAATTTGTGGTGGCAAGACCTTCCGCCAACCAGTCCAAGCCACAAGTCAAGGATAACCTCAATTGCCGGGTGGCCAAGGATGAAAACTGGAAACAAGGCGCACATGGCAATAAGCCAGGGCCAATGCTCAGGGTTTGGGGCTGGATAAAAGCGAATCCCTGCTTTGTGGTTGCCAAACCAATGTGTTTAGGGTTTGGGGCATAGGTGTCCTTTTTGGTTGTTTTGGTCGAAAAATAGATGGCGATTCCTGGTTTACCTGGTGGTTTCATCATCTACCAGGGAAATCCATCTATTTACCCTAAAAGGACAGCTCCAAGAAGACCATTCCTTGATAAAGCTCAATTGCCAGGTGGCCAAGGATGAAAACGAACTCTAGTGGACACTTCCCCATTTTTTCCAGGGATTTTTCTTTCCAGAAAACCACCAAAAACCCTCGGGAAACAGCGATCGGTTATTGCAAAGAACGATGGTTGAAAAGCATGGACAAGGAATCAACCCCTAGATTGATTGCTGCGCAAGTAAAGGGTAATGTTTGCAGAAAAAAAGCCAAACATGTTTGATGGCTTCGAAAAGCACTTGAGATGGTTTGAACAACTCACCTCATCTATTTATATACCCTAAAAGGACGCCTATTGTTGGCGTTTCGGGCGGCACCTCCGAGGAGACCGTCCCCTGGCCCCGCGGCGGCGACGAGAACGTGCTGTCGCTGCACGAGGACTTGACGCAAGAGGAGGCGGCCTGTTCGGTTTGTTCTTCGGAAAGGTGGGCGGGTACACGTGGGTGTGGGTCAAAATTGAACCACCAGGAAAACCGCAGGTTTTTGGTTCTGAGAATTCACCATTCTTGAGCCTATTTTAGTGGTTGGATTGGGATGTTCAGTACGGGATTTTGACCCATGGCCAAATGGGTGTGGGTCAAAATTGAACCACCAGGGGACCGCAGGTTTTTGGTTCCATTTTAATTTTGACCCATACCCACTTTGAAATGAATTGTGGTTGTCAATACCGTTTTGGGATCCCATTTTGGTTGGTAGGTGAATTCACCACCCATTTTGAACCTATTTTAGTGGTTGGATTGGGATGTTCACTGGGGGTACGGGATTTTGACCCATGGCCAAATGGGTGTGGGTCAAAATTGAGCCACCAGGGGACCGCAGGTTTTTGGTTCCATTTTAATTTTGACCCATACCCACTTTGAAATGAATTGTGGTTGTCAATACCGTTTTGGGATCCCATTTTGGTTGGTAGGTGAATTCACCACCCGTTTTGAACCTATTTTAGTGGTTGGATTGGGATGTTCACTGGGGGTACGGGACTTTGACCCATGGCCAAATGGGTGTGGGTCAAAATTGAACCACCAGGGGACCGCAGGTTTTTGGTTCCATTTTCATTTTGACCCATACCCACTTTGAAATGAATTGTGGTTGTCAATACCGTTTTGGGATCCCATTTTGGTTGGTAGGTGAATTCACCACCCATTTTGAACCTATTTTAGTGGTTGGATTGGGATGTTTACTGGGTGTACGGGATTTTGACCCATGGCCAAATGGGTGTGGGTCAAAATTGAACCACCAGGGGACCGCAGGTTTTTTGTTCCATTTTAATTTTGACCCATACCCACTTTGAAATGAATTGTGGTTGTCAATACCGTTTTGGGATCCCATTTTGGTTGGTAGGTGAATTCACCACCCATGTTGAACCTATTTTAGTGGTTGGATTGGGATGTTCACTGGGTGTACGGGATTTTGACCCATGGCCAAATGGGTGTGGGTCAAAATTGAACCACCAGGGGACCGCAGGTTTTTGGTTCCATTTTAATTTTGACCCATACCCACTTTGAAATGAATTGTGGTTGTCAATACCGTTTTGGGATCCCATTTTGGTTGGTAGGTGAATTCACCACCCATTTTGAACCTATTTTAGTGGTTGGATTGGGATGTTCACTGGGGGTACGGGATTTTGACCCATGGCCAAATGGGTGTGGGTCAAAATTGAACCACCAGGGGACCGCAGGTTTTTGGTTCCATTTTAATTTTGACCCATACCCACTTTGAAATGAATTGTGGTTGTCAATACCGTTTTGGGATCCCATTTTGGTTGGTAGGTGAATTCACCACCCATTTTGAACCTATTTTAGTGGTTGGATTGGGATGTTTACTGGGTGTACGGGATTTTGACCCATGGCCAAATGGGTGTGGGTGTTGCAATTTGCGCATGCTTGGCGTGCTTTTGGTTTGCCTTTAAGCCAAGCCCCCGAACAAAGGGTCCCTCAAAAAAGACTGTGGGCCAGTCGAAGCCTCACCCAAATACCAGGTTTCGAGGATCCCACTGTGGCCTGGGTGGTCCTGGACCCGCATTGACAACACCTTTAAGCACAGTTGATACTGCCCCCAAAGAAGGTCAAAATCCCATACCCCCAGTGAACATCCCACTCCCCACTAAAATAGGTTCTAAAATGGGTGGTGCACCTACCCCAAAATGAAATCCCACTGATTTTGACCCGCAGCCACATGTCCACCTGTTTTTAAGAGTAGGTTGCGTCCAGGGTCAACTTTTGAGAGGCTCTCACACTTGCGCAAACGGGGCTGGCCCGGGGGGGGGGTTGTGATGTTCAGGATGTCAAAAGCTGACCCATCCCCATGCCAAGGTTGGCAACAAATCTCTTTAACCAACCGGCTTGGTTGTTTTTGAAGGGAAGCCCAAACCGAGGTTATTGAAGCCATTTTTTTTTGACACAATGGTTTTCTTTCCCCCTCGACTTCTTACCCCCAGACTCCAAGCCAGCCCAATTCTTATAAAAAAAAAGGGACGCCGCCGCCTCACCTCGCTCCAAACGGATAGAAAGCCATGGCGGAGGTGCAGCGGCTGCTGCAGCAGGCGCTGCTGCGCTTCCACCCCGACAAGTTTTCCGCGAATCCCAAGTGGCGCGCACGCATTCCGCAGCGCCAGCTGGAGGTGGGGGGGTGGGGAGGAGGGGGGGTTGAAAGGGTTCATTCGGGGTGGGGTGCGGTGGTGGGGTGGGGCGGGGTGGGGTGGGGTTGGGGGGTTGGCCATGGACACGTACGGTCCATGAGCTACAAAAAGTGAAACATGGGGCCCCATGGCCGAACAACAGCAACCGCGAAAACTGTAGTTATCACACAGGCTGGGGCAATATGGTTGAGACCACTTATTGTTGAACCAACTTAGGGTCTGGTTGTTTAAGTTTGCGTAACCCTGCAGGATTCCTGTAGTGGGAAGTGTCTCTCCCTTTTGGTTGGTTTAAAGGCAAGACCTCCAAACCCATCTTTGGTTGGATTAGTCTCGAAGGGGATGGTCAAAGAGGTTGATGAGAATTCGCTACGTGCCACACTAGGCTGTTTCTTGGGGCAGTGCTAAGTCACAACCATGGTCAGTGGGGTGACTGGGGTTCGTCCCAGGTCCCTTGGTCGTACCCTGATGCTGGCTGAGGTTGATGTTCATCCTGGACCTTGTAGGGCTTCTAACCATGCTGTGAGCTGAAACGCGGACATGCGCGTATTCTTTTTTAAGGTTGGGCCCCCCCATGGACTTCGGTTCTTACCTTTGGTTTCCCTTAAAGCCACGACCAACACATATCGGATTCTCCCCAACACCAGACGCACCCAAATGGGTGCTTTCCCTTACCGCCTTAAGAATGGGGTACCCTGAAAACAGACGGCCCCAACCGGACATCAATGTGCAAAAGGAACAACTCGAAACATGGGGGGGGGAGGTGTTGGAACCCTTTCGTGGGGTTCTTCAAAGGGAATCCTCCTCTTCTGTCCCTTTGGTTGGTTTCAACAAAGGAAAACACGAGGAAAATTCCGGGCCGCGTGTTGGGTCCGTTTTTGACCTTTGGGTATCCTCAAGGTGGCTGTTTGACATCAAGTAGCCTTCCGCGTGAAGATTGGGTGTTTTCGGGGTTCTCAACATTCCAGTTGCCCATCACGTTTTGACTTTGAGCCCAAAGCGAGCCGCGGTTTGGAAAGGGATGCGTTGCAAGCTGGAGATATGAGGTACTGGCAATACTCTCGTGCTTGCGGGATGTAAGAGTCGCGCACATTGTGTTGGACAATCACGAAGCCCGGTAAAACGATAAGGTGCAAAACAAAACGATAAGGTTTTTGGGTGTTTCCGTGTTGTTTGTGCTGGAAAACGATAATGTTTGGAGCATGGAATGCACGTATTGCTAGCATTTTGCTCAATCTTGGTTGCTCCCTTTCCGTCCTTCCTGTTCACAACCATGGCTTGGAGCATTGAGACCCGGGAGAGGCTTCCGAGACACGACGCTGAAAACGATAACAAAACGATAACAAAAACGATAACGCTTTTTGACAGAACCCATGCCCGTGAGGAGTTGCCCATTGAGAGGAACTTAGCCACTCTACCCTAGCTTTCCCCTTTGATGTCTCCCGGCCCTGGACAGCATACTTGTCTTTTACGTTGGAACATGTCTTGGACTCTACGTTGGAACACATTATTGCAGTTGATGAGCGCAGGCTAGCCAAACAAATTGAAGCAAGCAAGCGCAAACAAAAAACATGGAAGGAGCTTGCGGCTCGTGAGTCCGACGAAGAAAGCCTTTGAAGCCACCATGAGAGCTGATGCGCGCAGTTATCCAAAAATGCGCGAACCCCGGTAAAACGATAAGGTGCAAAAAAACGAGAAGGTTGAACATACATCTACTGTGTAAAACGATAAACTTTGACGCAAAACCGATAAGAAAACACATGTGCAGCCCAGTTCAATCGAGGCTTTTCCGCGGCCTCATATGGGACCCTGCGTTCGGCAACCTGGGCTGATGTCACTTCAACTTCCTCTTGAAACCAGCCAGTTTTTGCGGGCCCCACTTGGGAAGCATCCGTTTGCAAAAAGTCGGGGCCCGCCCGGATGCCGTTGCGAGATGAGAAGCCAGAAGGACTCCTGTCCAAACTCCGTGGGCGGCTGGAGCTGTTCCGTGCTTTTGGAGCCTCTCTGCTGGTCTGGTTGGTTGGCCTTCTAAACGTATTCGTTTGTTTCCAGCCGTTTGAGGTCTACCTTTGTTTGTTGGGGGGGGGGGGAGAAAGTGTGCAAAGAAAAAAGCAAGGGCGCACTCAATTCCCTGGGACAGCAGAGGTGTTCCATATTGTAAGGTTGGTGCTCCTGTCTTGAGTTGGTGGTATAACAAATTCTAGTTTTGGCTCCCCTTTTTTGTGGGGGGAAGGAAGGGGGGCGTAACAAAATCTAGTTGCGGTGGAGGATGGGTGGAGGACGGGTGTACGGTGGATGCCCCAACAAGTATTACAAATAGAGTCAACCACGCAACCATAATCAATGACGGTAAGCAAGAGAATCGGTTTCCTAGTTCCCGTACTTGAAATATGGGCATGTGTCAAAAAATCAGGGACTCCACTTTTTTTTAGTGGTTTCCTTTGTGTCCTTTCCGTGTGAACCAACCTGAACAGGGTATCCTCCAAAAAGCACCCGCCCTTCTTTTTGGGGGGATCCACCAAGGAAATCGACACGACCCAAGCCCAAGTGGTATTCCTAAGAGCCAGAACAAGGTGGAACCCGAGAGCATAACAAGCCGAAACGCAGCCGCTCCAAAACCAAGCCAAGCAACCATCCCCCTTCCCCCCGCCCCCCCGCCCCCCCCCCCCCCGGAAAAAGAAGAAGAAAAAAAGACAACACAGAGAATACTCAATTAAACCCCCACTCCCCACCCTCGCTCCCGGCAGCGGCTCCAAAACCAACAAGCTAGGGAACCATCCCCCTCTCCCCAAAAAACACACCCCCCCATCAAGAAGAAACCCCATCCTGCTCTACCAAGTGGCAGATGTGGCAGAACATGATCCAAAGTGAGACTAAAACTTAACACAACTTATTGTCATCGAGGACTCCTAGCGAGTTTCGGTGCCCAACAGACTCTGGGGCAGCTCAACTCGCAATCTCCCTGCGTTTCAGATCGGTTTGGACGAAATTTTCAGTTGCTGCAATAGACTCTGCAAGGGTCAGATGATTCCTTTCTCCAAGGAATGTAGTTGTTGGCTCAGTTGTTGGCGCCCATGCTTTCATTGCAGGAAAGAGTGGCGGATGAGGTTGAGGAGAAGAAGGAGGAGGAGGACTACGACCTTGGCGTTTACACCAATTTGTGCCATGTCTTGAGTTTCTCTTGTCTATACATGAGGCGAGGCGTTACTTACCACATGTTGAAGGCATGCAAGGATTCTGGTCTGCGTGTGCTGAAGCTATGTTACCACGTGGCAAATCCAATCACCGAACAAAGAGGTATGATGCGGCAGGTCTTCCCAAACCTCCGCTTGAAGCATGTTCTGCCCGTGCGCCCTGCCAGGATTGGTGGACGTGGCCTTGGGGGACTCTTCGCACAGGCATGGCTTGCGCATGCCTAGGGCCTATGCTTTGACAGGTTCGTAGGCTTACATTGATGCCCTCAGCTCTGCCTAAATGAGCAATCATTGCTGTCCGCAAATAACCCAAACCCACCCGGAATTGTGACGTAACAGGGGTAAAACTTTCTTCAGGTTCAGTGAATCATGTGCCTTTTCCACACCATGTTGGGCAGGAGCATCCTCTCTGAAGTTTTACTGTTGCTGGCGAAACCGAGAATGCGTTCCGCAGGATGAGGAGGACAAAGAGGTTGAGGAGGTCAGGGAGGTTGAGGAGGAAGAGGAGGAGGAGGTGGAGGAGGAGGAGGGCGAGGAGGAGGAGGGGATGAGGAGCAGCGGACCGAGGTTGTGGACTACTCCCAGATCCGTCCTCTAGGCCGTGCCGACGCTGCAGTGCCTTGACGTGCATTTGGAGTCGACCGCCTCAACATCCTTTAGCCTCCTTGCCCCTTTGCATCGATCTGGCAAGGACCGGCAATGAATTTCATCGGGAAACCCCGTCAAAAGCGGCTGGTGGACTTACCAACTCTCCACTTGAATCATGTTCGCTAACTCATGATATGATGTTGGAGTCGTGCGTGTTGAGTTGTCCCGAGGTCCGGGTTGAAATCAACCCAGCGGAGAAGGCCATCCAAAGAGGCACGCGGATTCGGGCTGTTTTCAGGCGTGTTTAGCCGCGCCACAGTAGTTGGCTGCACACAGACTTGCACATCCTGGATCCTTGTACTCCTAGGTTCGCCCAAATGCATGCTCGACAAAGATACGTGACGGCTTTGCCCCCCTTTTGTATGAACAGTTGGTGTGTTTTGTGCCGGGTATGTCGTGCCTTTGAAGGCCTTGCCACCTGTGTGGCGGCGACGGGTCTGGGGTAGTGCCGGAGAGCTACCTCAAGGCAGCTTGAAATTGCTCGAAGCCTCGGAAAGCGAAGATTGTCTTCTTTGAAGTGTTCAGAGTTCATTCCATGGTTGGCCGTTGCTCAAACATTGCCCCCAATCTTGGTGCCAGATGATAGTTCCCTTGTGTTTAGAAATTTGTCGCCTTCCTCTACCGCTTTACGTTTGCGGATAAGGGCTCCTTTTTCCCAATTTGTGAGTGTTTGGGAGAGTGGTTATTCTCCATCATTTTGACTCTACATGGCACTTGCAACGCGAAAGGCGCCCCTTCTTGCAGCAGGTCTATCGCAACGCATACCAATGAAACACTCGTGTAAGTAGGGCCCTTGCTTCTTTATGAAAGCATATTGGGCTGATGCCATTCCGATTTGCTATGACAATTTCAGCACCTGCGACTCATTGGCCCCATGTGGCCCCACAAAGGGCCAAAACATGTGCGACACAGCGAATTCGAAGTGGATCCCGCCAATTGATGCAGAATTCACCAAAGGGAGTCGGGCAAAAAGGATTGCTCTACCGCAAATGATGTCTGCTCTACGGCAAACTATGTCAGTCGTATGGCGCGTTGAATGGTTGTTTGCTGTGTGTCAACCCCCCCCCCCCCCCCGAGATTCAAAAGTGCCGCCCAACAAAAAAATACCCGCGACATGTCGAGGGTCTGGATTCATTATGCTTCATTGAGTCGCCCCTGGGTGCCCTAGTAAAATTGTTTGTAACAGAGCCAGCTCCACATCCAGCTCGGCATCGTGCTTTTACTTTGAAACGCGCACTGGCGCTTGGCGCCAAAGGGTGATTCACTACACGCCAAAATGAGAAAGAATGATAGATAGCGCAATAAGAAAATTAGACGCTCCCCTTGTGGATCCAATCGAAGCACGGAAGTCAACATTCATGACAATGATTAATTCGATTAATTCATGAGAGCGCCGTGGAAGATCTGTTCGCACAAGGTGGACTACGCCACCGAAACCCTGTTCATCGCCCGCCGTGGTTTCACGGTGGAGGTGATTCGCGATGGCCGGGGTCCTTGTGAACCAGCTCGGTTCACTTGACCGGTCCGGCGGTGGCACGGCCATGGCCGCACTGGTCCAATCCTGGGCAGAGGATCAGGAGGCATCGTTCTGCGACCTTTTGGCTTTAATGGCGTTGGGCACTGATTGAGCACTTGATGCTTTGCACCAGTATGCAAGGGTATTGGTTGGGAAAGCGAAAGTTAGGAAATGTGCCGTTTTTCCCGCGCAAAGGACAGAGATCAATATCTGGCCATTTTCAAAGTGCTGCCTTTGCAGTAGAAAAACAAAAAATTACCCCCCACCCCCACCCTCCCTCTCGCCAGAAAGTCCCCCATCCCTATCCTCCCGGCAGGAGCCCCCAGACCACCATCCCTCCCCCCACCCCTCCCCCCAAAACAACCCCCCCCCCAATCAAGAAATTAAACCATCCTGCTGGGGAAGCCCCAAAAACAAGAAGCGATCGATCGCCAGGCGGGGTCCCGGCTGCAACAGCGGCTGGCCTTGACCACCCGCGCGATCCTGCAGCTGAAGCGGGACTGGACGGCCCAGGAGGGCGAGGAGTGCGTGATCTGTTACGAGTTCCCGAGGCGGGTTGGGGCGGCGGGGGTGGTGGGGGTGGGGGTGGTGGGCGTGGTGGGGGTGGTGGGGGTGGTGGGGGTGGTGGCGGGTCTTCCAATTGCGTAAGAAGAATATTATTTTCCCCTGTTGGTTTGAAAGGGAACTGATTTCACTACTGGATTTATTTTTTATTTTTCCTGTGGACTTAAGCAAATGGAAGGGTTGGGGGGGGTCGGTCCCACCTGTTTGAGGATCCGGTGGCTTTCAGAGGCCCCGAATTTTGGGGTTTTAAGAACAAATCCCTGGCCCTGACTGAAGGGAAAGCTCCAATCGCCCATTTGGGGTAACAAAGGAAGCCTTTGCCTACTCTGATTGACGTGGAACAAATAAAGATGTCATGTCAAAGGCCGCTTCTTCTGAGAGGGGCCCCCTTGTCGGGTTCCAGGTGAGAGGGGAGTAAACAGTTGATTCGAGGACCAACTTGGAGTTGACATTTTTCCCCAGCCCGGTTGTCCAATGATCCCAGAAACCCTTGTATTTGGGGTTGATCCTTTTTTTTTCGTGGGGAACCCACCGAACCCCAAAAAAGGACTCAGCCCGCTTCAGCCGACCTAGGCGGAGCCTCCGGCTGACCACTTGCTGCGGGCAAGTGCTCTGCCGGCCCCATGCAAAGAATTTGGCGCGACCTGCGGCATCCTGTCCGATGTGCCGCGCGCAGCGACCCTCGGAGTTCTTTCGGCGGATTTGCTTTTCTCCATTTTTCGGCCTTGGTGAAAAGCCGTGGGGAGTGTCTCAATTTTTAAAAAGAGGTGGGGAGTTTCCGTTGCTTGTTTTTTTGTTTATTTGCCGCCTTTTTGCTTGCCATTCGTTTGCTCTATGCGATTGGGCCCTTTTGGTTTCCTGGAATATGCCTTAGCACGGCCAAGGCTACGTGGCAACGCCCCACCGGGGGCGGTCTCGCAGCCCGCGTCGTGCCATCGCATGAGCGGCAGATGGTCCCGGGCAGAAGTCCCGGGCCGTGCTTTGGATGTCTCGGTTTGAGCCACAAAAACGGACCCAGCGCTCCTTCGGAACGGCAAACTCGCTCGGGGTTGGGGACGGCAAGCACTCGGGGTTGGGGAACCGTTCCGCTGTCACGCAGCCTGGTGGGGTGTTTGAAGGCTCTTGGAACCCTGGGTAGCGAACCTTTTATTCGAGTTGGAAGAGCAGCCACGCATGCGCAACAATATGTGGTGAGGCTAGAAGACTTGCTGCAAGGACAGTCTCGATTGCCCCAACTATACAAGCTGAGCAGAAGCAGCATGAGAATCTGAGCATTTTGTGCAGGGCCGAGTCTTAGGGTTTTGGATAGTCTGGGCTTGACTGAGTGCTGCTGCAGCTGTTTTTTTCTGGCTCACCCAGCTGGTCCGCAAAGGCCCAATTGATAGAAAGCACTTATCCGCCCCCCGACGTAGATGAACATGCTATCCTTGCCACTCTCCGTGTAACCATCTTGAAAGCGAGTTGTATTTGTTGAGGTACCCCGTTTTGGGTTGATTGAAAGGGCCGCCAAAGGGAACAACATTCATTTTTTGGGGGTCCAAATTCCTATTTTGACACAGACCCAAGCGGCTCTAAGTTTTTTGCGCAAGCCATGGCTGACAGAGGCTCCGCCTACCGGTTCCATTTGTCCAAAAACCGGCAACACAACCCAGCGGTTCCTTCGAAGGAGCTTCAGGAGCGATTCTGGCAGTTAGAAGGAACCAACTGGACGCTAACCCCAGAATTCTGTGTTCATAAACGTGACATCCTCAAACTCCAGCAAGATCCCATTTGTCCAGGCAACCTTTTTGGGGCTTCGCAACAATTCCAGTGATCTCCCCGTGCCTTTCCCTCGTTCTCCTCAGAAACCGCCTCCGCGTTGTCTGGCCCATTTTGTGAAGAGAAGGGTCGGGAGAAACACGGCTGGAGCTTTGGGATCGACCGATTGACCGGAGCTTTGCGATTTGCACCTGGATTTGTCTCAAACATGATTGTGTCTTCGTCTCTGTGTGTGTGCGCGTGTGTCTGTGTTTGAGTTTTTGAGGCTTCCCACTTTTTGGGGTTGGGTATGTTTAAAGGGAAGGTACCAGGATTCCCATTTCTTTGGGTCCGAATCCCCATTTTGACACATCAAGTTGGTCTTCCTCAGGTCTCACCCATGGCTTCCAGGATTGACAGGGGCACGCTCAAAGACCAAATGGTTTCCCTCAAGTAGGGCTCCCGAGTCAAACTCAGGGGGGTTCGCATCAAGCAGAACAAAAGACGCACAGAATTCGGTGTTCCTCGCGTTTTTGGGACCCCTTTTACGGCCATTGGTTTCCTTGTGGTTTTCGTTTCTAGGTCCCGGGGGGAGTGTTCCCCTACTAAAATAGACAACAGGAAGAAACAAAATATCTACTGGAGGACCTAGTTACTGATGTTACATAAGTGCAGTCTTGACCGCCGAGGACCCCCTTGGGATCTTAGAATTCCGTTGGGGGTGCCATGCGGTTTTGGTTCCCTTTGAGATCCACCACATCCCTTTCAGGAGCTGCGGTGGAGCTGTGCCTCGGCCCGGCCCTCCAACGACAGCGGCGCGGTGGCGACGCACTGGGCCCGGCAGACCTGCGAGCTGGCGGAGCGCTACGTCCGAGAAGCCTTCCGGCAGGCGAGACTTGGGCGAAAAATCGGAGGGGGTCTCTTGGGCAAACTGCCCAAGTCCGTAATTTTGGCTTGCGGGGGAGGAAAAAACACCGCCCGAGTCGATTTGTTTCTTTTTAAATATTTTTGTTTTCCTTTTTGTTTCCCCGTTGTTTTTCTTCTTTTTTCCCCCTATTTTTTCTCGTTTTTTTCCCTGACTTTTTTTTCTTTTTGTTTTTTCTTCTTCTTTTTCTTCTTCTTCTGTTTTTTCGGCTTGCAGAAAATGAAGGGGACGCGCGAAGATCGGTCTGGTCTCAAACAGCCCAAGGCAGTTTTTTCGCCTTGCAGAACATGAAGGGGATGCGCGCGAAGATCGGTCTGGTCTCAAACAGCCCAAGGCAGTTTTTTTCGGCTTACAGAAAATGAAGGGGATGCGCGAAGATCGGTCTGGTCTCAAACAGCCCAAGGCAGTTTTTTCGCCTTGCGGAACATGAAGGGGATGCGCGAAGATCGGTCTGGTCTCAAACAGCCCAAGGCAGTTTTTTTCGGCTTACAGAAAATGAAGGGGATGCGCGAAGATCGGTCTGGTCTCAAACAGCCCAAGGCAGTTTTTTCGCCTTGCGGAACATGAAGGGGATGCGCGAAGATCGGTCTGGTCTCAAACAGCCCAAGGCAGTTTTTTTCGGCTTACAGAAAATGAAGGGGATGCGCGAAGATCGGTCTGGTCTCAAACAGCCCAAGGCTTGCCTTGAAAAATGAAGGGGATGCACGAAGATCGGTCTGGTCTCAAACAGCCCAAGGCAGCTTTTTTGGCTTGCGGAAAATGAAGGGGACACGCGAAGATCGGTCTGGTCTCAAACAGCCCCTTGCGAAAAATGAAGGGGATGCACGAAGATCGGTCTGGTCTCAAACAGCCCAAGGCAGCTTTTTTGGCTTGCGGAAAATGAAGGGGACATGCGAAAATCGGTCTGGTCTCAAACAGCCCAAGGCTGTTTTTCCGGCTTGCGGAATGAAGGGGACGCGCGAAGATCGGTCTGGTCTCAAACATCCCCAAGTCCTCCTTTTTCGGCTTGCGAAACATTTGGGGATGCCAAGATTTCCTATATGTGAGAAGAGGACAATTTTTGGTTTTCATGGATGGTTCAGTGTTTTGGTTTTGGACCGATAAAGGGGGGGGTCCTTGTTGGTGTTACCTCTTGAGATTCCCGCCAAGGGCAGGGTTGGTGAAAGGTGGACCGGTGTCCGAACGTTTTCCGTTTTAGTCGGTTCCAAACGGTTGTATTCCACCAAGGCCATAGTTGTAAGTCCTAAGAGGGTTAACTAGCGATGCCAATGCCAACCACTCTGTTTGACGTGTTTCTTCGTGAACAATCAATTTGCAACCTTCAATTTGTGATGTTGGTTTTTGAATATCAACGGTTCTAGCTTCTGCTCGTTTCGGTCTGACTTGGCAGGTTGCCTGACAAGGAACAAACCAATTTGGCCAGGTTTTTGTTGCTACGGCCAAAGCCACCGAAAACTAGGAAACTACGACCAACCTGAACGTGGGCGGGCAGAAAACGTGCAAAACGGCCCAAAAGCTAGGACCAAAAAGAAAAGAGCAACAACTGGGACCAACAAGAGCCGGCTAGCTTTATTCTAGGGGTACCTGCCCCATACTTTCTAGGGATCCTTCTTTCTAGCATTCCTCCGGACTCCCAGGGGAAACAGATCCGGTTTTTGAAAAGAACGATGCTTGAAAAGAATGGAGACGAAATCAACCCCTAGATTCATGCGGAGAAGATGTTGGTTTTAAAAAAGGATCTATCACTACTGGAAATGGTGTTATTTTTTCCAGGGGTCTTCGCCAAATGGAAGGCTATATTTATGGGGAGGGGGGGAGGGGCCCAGAAAATGCACCCGAAGGTCAAGCAGCTGGTGCCGTCCAGGTGCAGCCGCAGCGTGCCGCTGGTGCTGGGCGTCACGGGGCCCGACGCCGAGGACCACCAGGCGACCATGAAGCTGACGGAGGAGTTGTTCCGGGAGGAGATGCCGCAGGCGGGGCGGACCTGTCCTTTGCGGGAGAAGTTGTTGTGTGTTTTTGTTTGTTGTTTTTGGGGGGGAGGGGGGTTGGCTTAAACAACTTCTTTTTTGGCTTAAACTGCCGGTGGACATCCTCTTCACTTTTTTGGAACCTCCTGATGGGATCTGGACCCCTCTTTTGGGTTCTATGTGAAGGGGAGTGCACTCCCATGGTCACATTTTGGGACGTAAGGCAGGAACCTCGGTTACCCCAGTTGTAACCGTGGTGTTAGCCTACCCCCTTCCCCAAGAAACAATCCCCATCAACCTGTTTCCGCATCAACCGGTTTCCCCTATCAACCTGTTTCACCTTGGATATGGGCGTGTCTTTGTTGAGGGAACCCCCAGACTGGCTTTGGTTTTCCTCTTGTTTTTTTGTGAAAACCACCAACACAAGGTAAGCTAAAAAAAGACAGACCGAAAAAGCAACTCCTGTTGCCAAATGGACCCCCTTTTGGGTTCCATGTTAATGTGTTAGGGGAGTACACTCCGGTGGATTTCACCCAAGTTGGGTCATCCAAAAGTCGCACCATCGCATCCAATGTATGGATTTTGTTGGAGGTGTCGAGCGCCCTGATTTCGCCCTCGGATCTGCGGAGCTTGCCCTTCGCCAACCGGAAGATCTACGAGCCTCGGTCGGTTTTCGCACCGTATCGAAGCCGGTTATATCGCCTTTTGGGGGCGCGCGCGCGCTTTTGTCGTCTTTTTTTGGGAGTTTGTTTTTTTGGTGGCTTCAAAGAGGAGCCAAAAAGGAAACACCATCAAAAAAGACAAGCCCATTCAGAAACAAACTCTTCCCATTCACATGATGGTGTTCCCTCCAGAAGAGATGAAGTGATGACCCCCACTAAAAGGGGGACCCCCTATGACTCAATCAGGGGTGTATAAATCTGGGGTTCCCATTCGTCGACCAAGGGAACTGCGCAAAAAAACCGGGGCAACTGGTCGCCTATGGCCTGCCGAGGTTTTCTCATTTTCTGGCGATCGGTGCGAAAGCTGGGGAGTGTCAACGAGACCGGGTGGTTGAATGAACCGATTTTGGTTGGATTCCCGAGTACAGGACACCAACCATCTCGGGATGGTTTCATTATTTCGGGGTCATTCCATTTCTCATTTGCTGATGACCAGCAAGTTTTGAGTGGCCAAATGTGAATCTTTTGCTTCCAGTGCCGGCAAAGGAGAAGCTGAGCCGACTGGAGCCGGTCCAAATGGAACCAGAGGAGGGGGAGGAGGAAGAGGTGGCAGAGATGCCTTCTCTGAGCAACCCGATGTGCAAACCAGCGCCGATTTTATATCGATTCTTTTTCCTCCCTTTCATCTGTCATTACTTTGACTGTCTTGGGGGCGTTGTCAAAGTGAGAGAATGGGGTTATTTTTTGACCACTAAGACACCCCATGGAGCAACTCCAAAATTCTCCCGCGCCTGCCTTTCATTTCCCCAAGATCGGTGGTTTTGCCTGTGACTTCCCTTGAAAAGCAGCCCCACAAAAGGGTACCAACTCAAAAGCTGTACGGCCGAAATACTGGCCGGGTCCTCAAAAAGGACACTCCCAAGACACAACAGCCGCAACTGCTGGTTGGGCATGGACATATCACTTTCCAATGCCAGACTCAGCATGTAAACTTTTTGCCTTTTGAATTTCCATCATTTACCTTTCAGCCCGCAAAAGGCTTGACTTCTTGGGGTCTAGCTCCGGTCAACTTCTACTCCGGTCAAGTTTTGTGGGGGTTTCCGGGTGTTTGATGGCTTTCTGAACACCAGAGCCAGCCAACAAGCATAAATATACCCCTTGGCGTCAGCGGGTCTAAGTCTGGTCAAGTTTTGTGGATTGTTTCCACGCAAAGCGCTTGACTTCTTGCAGGGGGTCCAACTCCTGTCAAGTTTCGTGGAGGGGTCCTACTTTGAAATCAGGCCTATCAAAGTCTTTGGCATGGTAGTCCAAATTGCATTGTAGGCCCAAGACCATTGTGGGCCCAATTCATTGTACGCCCAAGACATTGTAGGCCCAAGACATTGTAGGCCCAAGACCATGTGGTCCATTGCTGGTGCCAAGTTAGTCTCTGAACAGATTGCAAACTTGGCGCCAGCCTAAGGCAAGCCGAGCGGCTCCGTGACGGTTCTCATCTTCCAGGGCGCGGACGCGGCCCCGAAGGACGTGCTGCGGGAGGTGCTCTGCTTCTGGCACGCCAGCTGCGCGGCCACGGGCACCCCGCTGCTGGTGCTGCTGGGGCCGCGCGGCTTTTGAGTTGGTCGCGAGGGGGGGGTCGCGCCCAAAAGGGGTTGGAATGGGTTGGGCTTGGGTTTTGGTTTGCTTTGGGGTTGTTTTGTGGCCCCAAAACATGGTGAGGCACCCCAAATCAGGGCTGACCTTTGGTGTTGACAAGATGGATGGCCCCCCCCAAAAACCGACCTTTTGGAAACAGATGGGTTGCGTTTCGAAACGTTTCGAAGGCTGAACCTTTGGCTTGGTGGGAACAACCCCGGAAAAATCGGTCTTTCCTTTTGGTTTCACTTTGAAAGCAGGTGAACATTGAGCATATCTCTGTTTCGGGGTGGCTTCAAGATATTACACCTGAGTCAATCAAACCCCGGGTGAAGGTGAGCAAGGATAGTCGGATAGCCCCAACCACAAATAGGTTCGGATGTCCGCCGTTTTACTTCTTGACATGGCTTTGGGTAGACTATCTTGATACCAGGGTTTGATCATGACTCGGCTGTTCAGCGGCACGCATTTTTTTTGGGTTGGTGGGTTTCCCAAAATGACGAACCCCCAAAAAGGGTTCCGTATTCTACTGCGGTCACTGAACTTTTTTGCTGGGAGTTTCATCTCCATTTCCTTGTAAAGCAATCCACAAAAGATGCCTCACAGCTATATATATACATACAAATATATTGTATAAGATGTATATCTAGTACTATATATTATATATATGTATAGATTGGTACCCTTTTGCGACAAGGGGCACTTAAACTGGGTCTGATTTGTATTTGAGGAGCCCTTGGCGCACATCATGTGGAGTTATGTCCATCAACCAGTTTTTGAGGATGCGGTGCCTGTTTTGAGGATATCCTGTGTTTGGCCTGTTCAAAGCCACCCAAAGAGGTTTCCCCCTCACAAAAGGACACACCTACTAATTGGTTGATTCCGACCATTCTTTCAACCCAACCTTTTTTTTGCAGCCATCCGTTTTCCCTTGGGATTTTGTGTGGTCTGGAACGAGGCCCCTAGACATTGCAACGGGCAGCTGCGTTCCTTCAGTTTGACCCACCCATCTATTTTGGTTTGGGGGAGTCGAGCATATGGCCCTTCTGGAATTTGGTTCCACGAGTGCTGTTTAAATTTCAGGGTTTGCTGTTGGGACCTCTCTGGAAAACACCAAGGATACTAGGCCAAATAAGGGAACCCCCAATTCTGCAGGAAATAAGGCCAAACAGGCGGACCAACAACAATCCCGTGCTTGAAGGGACTACCAAAAACTGGGCCCTTGGGACAAGCCTATGGCATTTCTTTGCTTCAGCCCAGGTTGAAGCAGCTTCCCTCGAGCCGGCAATCGCTCTTTGATGAGGACGATGCCATGAGCTCAAAAGAAATGGCTGTGGGTCAAAACCCGGTACCCCCAGTGAACGTCCCAATTCTCACTAAAATAGACTAAACTGCGTGGTGCACCTATCCCAAAATGTGATCCCATTGGTTTTGAACCATGGCCAAATGGGTGACGTTGTTGGACATCAGACTTGCCAACAGTCAGGTCCTGTTTTGAGCGCATCCGGTCCTCAGTGGAATACTCTGAGGAACAACTACCATTCGTTCATGCGGGCTCCGTGTGCAGCCCTCAGGCAGAAATTAAACCACCAGGGGACCGCAGGTTGTGGTCCAAGTTTCCGTTTACCCGGGTTCCATTTTGGGACATATTGTTGACCCACAGCCATAATTTGGTTCAGCTTTGCTTCGTTGCTTCTGCATCAACCTGACCAAGGACCTTGTTCAACTCCCTGAAAGTCTGTGAGCAGATGACGGACTTCCTTATCGAGGAGACTGCCATAGCAAGGCATGTTGTGTACCTTGATGGTCTGTTGATCTTTTGGGGTTGCTCTGAAAATTGGCCACCAATGTGAAAACCACTCCATGTTGTCAGCCTCCGGCCAGCGTGTGCAGGATTGCTCCTGCCCCGTTGCACTCTGCCCAGACGTGATGAAGCGTTTGAGGCTCGGAGCTCCACGAAATGCTTGGGAAACAAAAGATCGTTCAAAAGATCGCCGCAATCCAGGCTTCCATTTGCTTAAGAAGATTACCCTCCCACCAAGTACAGGAACTTTGTGTCCTTGCCAATGACTACGAGCGATACAGTGCCAGTCATGCCCGTGGCCTTAACAGTGTTGGTACACTCCAAGTACTGATTAAAGAGCGTGTAACATGGAAGTGCAAGAAGGCCCTTTCCAAGGGGGAAGTCGTCTTTCTACAGGGGTCGGTGCACAAACCCATGTTAGCTGGGAGGGCATTTTCTCCCCAGTTGGTTTTAAAGAAAAATATATCACTACTAGCTTTTATCTTTTTGCTGTGGACTTAAGCAACTGGAAGTATGCGAAAGGGAGTTTCCTCCAGTGGTTTGCACGGCCACCCAAAGGGCCACTTCGGGTGTTGTTGTGACGGGGGCCCCACGCGAAGCGTTTTCTGTTTTTGCTTTTACCGCTGTTTGTATGGCACACTTTCTCCGCAAGAATGGCCACTCCATTGAGGGTTTTGGGGACTGGAAGGGTTGGACCTACAGGACCGCTTTTTTGTGGTACAGCTTGATGCGGGGAAAACAAAACCACATGTTGAGGGGGCAAGTCCTTTGAGACGCCCGGAAGTTTAAAAAAAAAGGTGCCGGCTTCGACTCAAAGCAGCTCTGCCCGTTCGCCAAAAACACGGTTTCCCTTTCGGAAAACGGCCAGTTTAGAGGGATTTGCTCTATGTGTTTGGCAGTGTCCCTGGAAACCGCGGTGGTTCTTTGAAAGTAGGAAATCTATCCATGTTCGGGGGATTCCTCGGATGAGTGTCCGGAGAAGAATCTGAAGACCGTGAATGGTTTCTTTTGGCTTTACATGGGCTCGTTTTCTTTTAAGGAACTCCCCAAATGGTGGGTTATCCGTTTGGGTTCCCTTTAATTACCATCCAAAGAGGCAAACACATCTTTGCATGTTGTTGCGCTGGTCCGTGATTTCGAACTTTGGTCGACATAGTATGGAGTGGTACTGGCTAAGCTAAGTAGTATGATTGTTTGATAGATGTACTCATATTCTAGCAAGATTTGTAAAGTATAGCACATGAGTGTTGGTTGTATATAGGGGTGTTATATTTTTGCCATAGTGTTTGCTATAGTTTTTGCTGTGGTGTTTTTAGGTTAGGACTCTGAATGCCAGTTAGGACTGTGAATGCCATACACACCCCAGGGGTCCTAGCCACCATTGCGCAAGGGGTAGTTCAATTGCTTACCTACTATACACCAGGATGACCTTAGGCACACTTTCGATTGATCTCCGGACAGTATCTTAGACAGAAAGGCATTCAACCAATCCTTTTTTTTGTGGGGTTTCTCAAGAGAGGACCCGGTCCATTTCCTGCAATGGCAAACAGTTGTTGTTCCTTCTGGTTTCCCTGCAACTACCCACCGAAGTTTCGGCTGCTCAGTCCAGCTCCGGGTTTGATAGCGAGGGAGATCTACATCTTCCAGCAGCAGAGCGCCTCCCACTTTCTCCGGGTCTTGTCCTTGCTTTCCGCGGGGGCCCTGACTCCGATGTGCTCAAATGGCCATGGGTCAAAACCCAAATCGTACCCCCCGTGAACATCCCAATCCAACCACTAAAATAGACTAAAATGGGTGGTGCACGCCTTTTGTGGGAAACCAAGAAATGGAACCCTGGTTCGGGTTGAGCCAGCCAAGGGAGTCCCCTGCTTTAAGCACGCGCCAAAAAGTCTGGGTTAAAGTGAAGCTTTTGAACTGTCGAAGTTGCTTTGGAGAGTGAAAGGCCCCTTGAAAAAACAGCCAATTTTGAGGATGTCCTTGGGGCAGACCTCTCTCTCTCTCTCTCTCTCTCGCTCTGGCTTTTGGCAAGGACGAGGCCCTGGTCGGCAGCATGGGATGGTGTCTTGGCAGTCATACCGCCACCGAGCCATTTCGGGGGTTCCCTAGAAAAAGACACACCCAGGCAGTTTAGGAGTTCGACCCGGGCTCATGGGGGTTAGCAAGGCCAACCGGCCTGGTACCATGGATAGCTTTCGGCGTAAAGATTCTGAGCCACGGCCCCCCGGAATCTTGAGACATGCCCATCTTGAGTTGGCTTGGTCAACAATCAAAAATTGTTTTCGGATTGATTTTTGGAGGGACGGTCCCCTTGACACACATGAGTGCCATTGTCTGCCCCCTTGATTCTTTGCCATAGGTTTTTGGTGGACTCCTTTGATACTACCAGATGTTGATCGTGACTCTGTTGAACATGTTGACCAACATCGGCCCATTTTCTTCTATTGGGTTGGATCTTTAGACTTTAACTTTTCGGGAAATCAAGGTGTTTTTCACTAAACACCCCAAAAGTTAAAGACTTTTTGCAGGGGGGTCGTTCCAGCAACCAAGTTTTGGGCTTCCCTTTAGCCGCCATGGGACAGAGAGTTGCCACCCATGGTTATGTCGACCAAAATCGGCCCATTTTGGGCTTCCCTTTGGCCGCCAACAAAGACAGAGAGTTGACATTCACCCGGAGCCTTGGAGGTTGCACAAGCCGTTGGGCATCTCATCCCTCGCACAACGGGAACAAGATGCAGTGCACGAACAGCTTCAAGCGGAGTTCTGCCGTCGAGCTCAGGCCTGTGCTTGTGACGCTTGCGTGCGCCGTAGGTGTGCCAAGTAAAACTGGTTCGTGGAACGCCTAGTAATTTGTTTAAGCCTCCTCTTTACCTGGTGTCCTTTTCTTGACCTGCCTCTGCTTTTTGTTTTAAACCATACTTCTTTTTTGTTTGCAAGCCCCTCTTTCATCATGGGTCAAAATTCAACCACCAGGGGACCGCAGGTGTTAGTCCATGTTTCCTTTTTACCAGGGCTCCATTTTGGGTACCTATTTTTGACCCACAGCCATGTGTTTCCTTTTCTGCAGGGCGGTTAGACCCAAAAAAAGCCGGCGCGGCCGCTTGCAGCGCTTGGCATTGCGCCGCCAACCCTAGTTTTAGATTCCCCCTGAAAGGTTTGGGTTCACGGTCAAACCAACAAAATGGAGGTTGGTTGGTTGGTTGGTTGGTTGGTTGGTTGGTTGGTTGGTTGGTTGGTTGGTTGGTTGGTTGGTTGGTTGGTTGGTTGGTTGGTTGGTTGGTTGGTTGGTTGGTTGGTTGGTTGGTTGGTTGGTTGGTTGGTTGGTTGGTTGGTTGGTTGGTTGGTTGGTTGGTTGGTTGGTTGGTTGGTTGGTTGGTTGGTTGGTTGGTTGGTTGGTTGGTTGGTTGGTTGGTTGGTTGGTTGGTTGGTTGGTTGGTTGGTTGGTTGGTTGGTTGGTTTCCCTTTCGCCAAGCAAAAGGGGAACCCCCGGTCAAAATGATCTACACCATGGATTTTCCGGAGGCTTTGACCCGGATCAACGTGCAGAGGATGGCCAAGGATCGCAAGGAGGCGCATGTGCTGCTCGCATCACCCCAAAGGGTAACTCACTTTGACCTGGCCCCAAAAAGTGATGTTTACCCCACTCAAAGGGGACATTTAGGGAACCCTGGTTTTGCCGGTTTGAACATCCTCGAGAAAACGCTGGTTGGTGTGGGGGGAAACCAGAAAAACACCCAACCATTTCCGGTCCCAATTCTGGGGACGCGAGGTGCCTTTTGCTTGCGCGGGGCAAACATTTGAGTAGCATCCAGAAGGAACCCAAATTTAGTGGTTGCAGAAACTCAAGAATGGTTGGTGGGTACACAAATCTATTTCTGTTCACCAAAGCTTGGACCCCAATAGAAAGACCAGAGAGGTGGTGTTTTTGGGTTGGTCCCTGTGTTTCTTTTGTCCAGACGGAGCCCAACGGAAACCGGCACAATCCGTCGCTTGGTTTGAGGATGATGCCTGCTTTTCAGCGTTGGCCCCCAGACAGGGACGGTGTGTTCGGTTTGCTCCACATAGAACCCTCCCTCCCCCCCTGCCCCCATGCAAGAAGAACGGTGTTCTGATGATTTTACTTCAATCGTCAACCCAAAGGGGTACCAACTCAAAAACAAACGGCCTTATTCGGTATCCGCTTATTGACTTTGCCAAGTCTCTCTTTTTTTTATGTGCTCTCAGTGTTTCCATGTTCTTCGCGTTCCAGGAGTTCGGACGAGTTGTGAGTCGGGATAATCCGATTTCCGCTGTGGTCACCAGGCCATTTGGTTTCAAGCTCCCCACGGAGAGAGCTGGTCAGGAAGCCTTTCCTTTGCTAGACGATGAGGTTTTTTGAAAGGACCATGACTGGATGTGTGTCCAAACAGGGTGACCTCCCCCCTTTTCAACATGGTGGCTTTCCCTTTGTTTCCCGTTAACCTAACCTGAAAAGGGTACCTAAGCTGAAAAAAAGAACAATCCACAGCCACGCAGGGAAGCCCGCAGCCAAGCGGCCAGGCCAATGTGCTTCCACTGGAGCTGGCCAAATGCCCAGAGCGTGAGGAAGCCACGCGCATGCGGATGAGTTTGCATGAGGGGCACGAGGGCGCTTTGAGTACGCGCATTGGGCTTCAAGAGTTTTAGGGGACGCCCAACCAGGTGAATTAGTTTGTTTCCTGGCGGTTTCCCTTCATGCATATTCCAACAAGAGTCGTTGTTTGTTGCCTAAAGGCGCGAACTGGGTTCCCGAAAGACGGCTAAGGATTGGAAACCCTGGTGGTTTCCCTTCAAGAAAATTGTGCAAAAAGAGTCTTTCAATTGTGTGCCGCTCCGCGCTTAGCCATCAGGCGGAGGCGGCTGCTGAGGCAAACATCGGAGCGCGTCGCCGCGGGCTTTTTTTGCCAGTTTGGAGTCGTCTCAAAATGGGGAGGGTCCAAGATGGGTTCGGTTTCCTATTTGGCTCTGTCCTCCTCCCCCCCGCCCGGCTTTCCTTAGGTTTTCCTTTAAACCAACCCCAAGAAGTGTACCCTCAAAAAGACGAGCCCACCTGGCTTCATGACTGCCTCGGCGAGCTCACCGACGCTTTCCTTAAGATCCAGTCCTTATTTGTTTTGGAGCAGGCTCACGTTTTAACCCCCCCCCTCCCCTCCCCCCCCCCCCCGGGTGTTTTTTGGAGAAGGGTCCTTTTGAAACATTATTGGTGGTTATGTGTTGTAATTCTTACCGTGGTTACGGACCCCCCTCTTATTTTGTTGGTGCCCTGCAAGAGGTTAGTTTAAGAGGACGTCAATGGGAAAACCCTGAAATCCTTTTGGGGGTCCCCCGGTTTTGGCACAGCGACCGGAGACTCAAGCTGCCAGCGCAGGCGATCGCTTGGCGATCCGTGCTGGTGGCGTCGCTGCCTTTGTTCGAGGCCAAGGGAAGGAAACTCATGCCATTTTAGGGAATGGACTCATTCCTATCTTGAGCCCCCCCTATATGTTCATCTGTTGGATTGCAAAGAACGATCGGTTGGGCACTTGCTGGTTCTCAGGCAATGCGAAATGGAATGACCCTGAACAAAACTATCCCCATTCTTGGTTTCCTGTGTTCGGGAATCCCCTAACACCGTTTCATTCAACCCACACCCGGAAGGTCATTCCAACAACAACATTCCGTGGGGTGAAGAAGCTGAATTTGGCGAACGATGCCCAGTGGCTTACCCCAGTGGATGAATTTCAGTGGATGACCCTCCCTCCCCCCCCCCCCCACCCGAAACCTTCCCCCCCCCCAACCTTCCCCCTTCCCCCCCCCCCAACCCCTCCCCCCCTCCCCCCCCCCCGGTGCTTTGCCTATTCCACCCACCCCCACAGCCCGGACTCGTCATCCCCACCCATCACCCGCCCGCTCGCTCGCTCGGACTCCTCGCTCGCGTCCGAGCCCTCGGAAGGTCTTGACGATCGGCGCCTGGAGCGCGGCGAAGCACTGCGACCGACTGACCCGGCTCTGCAACTTCTTGAAGGCCGGGGATGGCGGCGTTTGGGCGGCGAAACGCCACCAGCGCTTGTGGTGATTGAGCCAATTTTGGGTGAAGTTGGGTGAAGTTGGGTGAAGAGATTGAGAGTCAAGTTGCGGAATTCTCAGGGGCTCAGAAACGTATGAGTATGAGCTGTTTACTAAGTTGAACACCCAGTTGTCGGCGCCAGCTTGAGACAGATCTGACGATTCCTTGCCGGGATGGCGCGCTCGCTCGTGGGAAGTCCCACTCTTTCCGCTTCGCCTGCAAACACGCGGTGCAGGTGATTTGGCCTCGGCCGGAAGGACAGGAGGCGGGAAGAACGTTTGCTTGTCGGTTCGAAGCTCGCACATGCGCAGGCAAAGCAGGAGAGGGAACTGAGCAAGTACATCTCCAACTTGCAGGAGACGTGCCTGCCTCAAGTTGCGGGCCAAAGCCATCCTTCGACCCTGGATTTGGGTAGAAGCTGGTGGATAAACACCCCAGAAAGTGATTGGGTTGCGCCCCCTATGCGCACCCTACAAGACCTGCAGATTGACATGGCAACATGGAACCCTTTTGGAGGTCCCCCCCTTCTTGGGTTCCACGTGATTTTTTTCGGGCGTCAAAAAAAGAAGAAGATCCAACTGAATTCCTGGGTGTCTTCCCCCTTCTTGGGTTCCACGTGAATTTCGAAATCAACCAAAACAAATTCGACTGAATTCCTGCCTGGATCCCCAGTTACCTTTATTTTCCAGCTACTTTTGCCAAATTTATGGGCTACTAGTGGGTAAAGTGGCCGGAAAAAAGTGGCTACTTGGGGCTCCAGTTGTTTTTCCCCTCTTGTTCCCCTTTTTTGAGATCTGCAGCCTTTCACCTCCCGGAGGTTGCACTTGCTGCCCATCTCCCAGCTTCAGAAGTCGGGACCTTGGCGCTTCAGTCACACAGCTCCTGCAAAACTTGGAGGGCACAGCAGAGAGGGTTTTGTTTCTTCCGCTGCGGCTCAAAAAACCGGAATTCCACAATGGGTTGCCCGATCGGTAAGTGGAAACATGGATCAACACCTACGGTTTGCCCCTGCTGTTTAATTTTGAGCCACACCCAAATCGTTGACAAGGTAAACACGATGGTAAGGACACGATCTTTTACTTCGCAAGTTAACACGATTGTAACCACCACTCTACTTTGTTCCCATTTGATTACAGAGAGAGTAGATGCCGTGGGATGTCGTGGACGATATGTTGCCCTTTCAATATTTTCCGGCATGGATTCGGGGAGGCTCTTGGTTCCCAATCAATTTCTCCTGTTGGTGGTTTCAACATTTTGGGCGAATTTGAAGTGAATTTTTGGGGAAGCACGTCCGCTCATACCAGGCTTTGATTCATTTGCCACCTGCGCTGCTGCACGCGGCCCCGGAGCGCAGGCTTCTGACGGAAGCGGCCACTGTCGCTCCTCGCTGTGCCTGGCTTACGAGAATTGGACCAGATTCGGGTATGTGGCTGTGGGTTTTGGTACCATTTTGGGGTAGGTGCACCACCCATTTTGGTCTATTTTAGTGGGGATTGGGATGTTCACTGGGGGTACTGGCTTTTGACCCATGGCCATGTGTCAAAATAGGGGGACTCCACAGATGGTTATTTTCCCTTTGGGCTTCCCTTTCAAGCCAGCCACTCCTAAGGCGTACAGAGCCTCAAAAACAAGCACACCCGTGCCTGAAGAAGCTGGCCGATGGTGTTTCCGTTTGAGCTTCCTCTTTGGTCGACTTTCTAGGGGTCCGACGCGTGTCACAAAACCCCAAGCGGGGCGAGTATGATTAAGCTCCCAGGGAACTAGTGCAGCCGTTTTGTATGAAGGTTCCTGTATGGACGCCGTGACAGCATGGCCCATGAACAGTATTCAAGCCGATAAAATGGGCCGTTCTCTTTTGCCTGCAGGGGGGGATAGTTTCATGAGCGTTTCATGGGCGTGGAGTTTCATGCGTTTCTATGGGGAAAAGGGGGGGGGGTCATGTTCCGCAGATGCTCGAGTTTAGTATTATTCCATGACCTTGGCACATTTGAGAAGCGCCCAAAGCCCCACAAGAGCCATTGTAGTGAGTGGTTCTCCTTGCTAAGGGGTTAAAGACCTATAAACTTATATACACAACTGCAAATCAACATGCCCAACCTCAATTTATAGAGTCTCCTTTTGCTGGTTCCACATGAATTGAAGCGGAGCAACCCAAATTTGTGAGAATGAGGGCTCATTTCCCACCTCTGTGATAGGGAACGTTCACTTTTAATGAAGATTTGGTGATTTGGAAGGATTCCCACGGGCACGGCAGAAGTGGACATGCAAAACAAACCCCACCTTGGAGTAAACCTTAGCCAAAATCAGCGTGGAACCGGCAACAAAGAAGAGGTTCTACAAATGGTGGGGTTCCAGGTTATGGTGGGTCAGGGCGTTGGGTTCCATTTGGAGCGATGAGCACCGTTGGTTGAGGTGTCTCCGTGGCTTTGGAGCAAGAGCTACAGGAGCTGCAGCGGCAGGCGAAACGCGCGAGCGCTGGCAGTCGATGGCTCCGACGGGTTCGGTTTGGTCGAGGAGTGTGCCACCGGACCTCGAAAGCTACCCGGAGAAATGGGTATGGGTCAAAATGAAACAACCAGTTCCATTTGGCAGGGGAACCCATTTTAAGAAGGAGAGAGAGCTGTCCCCTCTGTTCTCATTTCTCTCGTCCATCGATTACATCTTCCCTTATCCTCGTCCCTTAAGCGTGAGTTCGTGCGTCTCAGAGCTCCTCCTCTCTTCATCACTTCGTTCCTTGACTGTGTGGTAGGAAAGGGAGAATTGATTTTGGGTACATCATTTTGACCCACCAAATGGGAAAGTACCCAGCAGAAGTTTGGGGCAAGATCGCCATTTCGACCGCTCGCATGCTTCGAGCCTGCGGCTCGAGGCGGCTCAGTGTGACGACAGCGCTCGGTCCAAGAAAGGCCGGGCGGAACGCACGACGCGCGCGGCGCGTGCAGGGGTTGACCTCCAAGTCGGGTCGGACTCCAATGTCGCGGGTGTCCTTTTGGGGGAACCCCCTGCATTCCGAGTTTGGCTTTGTTGCATTTTGCTTGGATGTTAGGACTTTAACTTTTTGCCAACTAATGAGTTTTCCAATAAACCACTAAAAGTTAAATTTTTAGCAGGGGAGCAGAAATCAATCGAGTTGGAGCCAAGAACGCCTTTGCGCATCTGCGGCAAGAGTCGGGAAGTCACAGACGTCCGCACGAGCAACTGACAAACTTGCTGGTAGTAGGCACCCACCCAAGTTCTTCCTGAAAACACATGGGCTAAGGCAGCCGATTTTTCCCTTGTCAACCTTCGCTGCGGATGCTCATCAACCCCATGAGGGTTTTAGACCAGAACCACGTCATGGCCGACAAGTTGCGGAGTTTTGACCGGGTAAATGTGCAAAACCCCGAAAGCTTGACTGCTATTGGGTTGGATCCTTAGACTTGAACTTGTTGGGAAATAAAGGTGTTTTCCACTAAACCCAAAAAGTTAAACTTTTTGCAGGGGGGTCAACAGCAACCAAGGAAAGGTAATGCTCTATCTTGGTGGTTGCGACCCAACCCACACCGAATAAGCAGGCGGCTGCACCGCCATTGTGCTTTTGGTTTCCGCACTTGGCTATGTCTGAAATAGAAATCAGAACCCACGAAATGATGATCTTCATTTTTCATTTTCCCTTACCAACCCAAGAAAACAGGAAGAGCCTGCTGCCCGAAAAGGGGCACCGAGTCAAAAAAACCGAACTCCGAGCCGCCGAGTTTTGTTCCCAGCGGGCTTACAGGCTTGGACCGTCTCCGCGACGCTTTCCGAAACTGGGCTCGGACCCCAGATCCGAACGAAATGCCCAGTGTCCAGCGTTCTTGTGTTGAGTGTTCAGTGTTCCACTCGAAAAATGTAATTACCTGGTCGCCCAATGTGCTTGGCCGTGTTAAGTGTTCGGTGTTCCAGTGAGTCCAAAGTTCCAGTGTCATCCAATGTCTTTGCCGATCCAAATTCCACTGCCCAATATCGAACATTTATCGGATGGGAAGGATTGAGGCCACCCGTTCAAGCCCATGCCGCTGTTTTCCTGACCATGCCATTTAAGCCGCGTTTGGCTGCTTGCGCAAATCAAAGTTTTGCGTGTTTTGCTTTCCTTGTTTTCAGAGGGCCAGGGTCTTGTGAAAGGATTTTGCCCAATGGGTCTCGAAGGTAGGATGTCAGCACCCAGCTTTCGCTTGCGCCGCCCCGCTTGGATGCTACCATTGGGTTTCGGGCGAATACGTCGACCCCCAGATGCGAGCCCGGTGGATTCATAGAGACATCGAGCTTGGGACGCCCTCCTCATCAGGCGTCGCGGGGCTTCGCGGGGCTCGCAATGCATCACGCGAGTGCCTTCGCGGACCTTTTTTGGGAGTTCCAATCGAAGCTAGAATCCATCCACCATTCTTCAGGTCGGCCAGGTGATGGCACAGTACTGGCCAGCGCCTCAGCTGTCCAAAACCGCCGCTTGAGCTTCTTTGATTCTTTTGCCTTCCATCTTCCAAAACGGCCAAGCCCGCCTTCCCCCCCCCCCCCCCCCGTTGTTTTGTGGCGGGTGCCACCCGTGCAACCCGAGCCGTTGGATTTGGGAAGGCGGGTTCTGGGAAGCCCGGCGACGCGGGAGATGTTCCTGAGCCTCTGCTGCAGCAAGGCCAGGGCCTCGGGGGTTGAACGGGGTGAGCCGGAAATCCGTTTGGCCGGATCCACGGGCTTTTCTCCAGATAGAAAGCAGCCCAAAACAGGTGTTCGTCTTTGATGTTTCGGGTTTCTAAGGGGGCTGAACTTTTTAGCTTGCTCCTTTGGGGGTTCCTCGATTTCCCAGGGTTTTTAAGCGGCAACAAGCTGACCTTTTGCAGGGGGTCGGATCCGTGTGGTCACGGGAGAAGGTCGCAAAAAGCGGTGAATGTCTCTTGGGAAGTTACAGCCGTTGACGCACACCTGGGGTACAAGTAGCCTGGGCTACTTGCTACTCATATATCTCGGAACATGTAAGGGACAACCTCGCAATCTAGTGGATTGTGCCTGATGGATTTTTTGGATGCCTTGGCTGGCCCATTTTTTTTGCCCTTTTGGTCTCACTTTTGGGCACTAAGTCCCAGGCCATGAATCAGAATCCATTTGTGGGGTGCCTCATTGATTTTGGATCCCCTGGCTGACGGTCCATCACCCTTTTGGTCACTTTTGAGGGACGAAGGCCCAGGCCAAGAATAAGTGGATGGTGTCAACGCTCATGGGTGCATGGCCCTTCTGGTCACTTTGGGATCGGATGGTGTTGAAGTCAGGAGTCCTTGGCTGCGGCCGAGAAGCATCTGGCCAGCGACTTCGAGGCGCGTCGCGTCCAGAGCCAAGCGAGGTTCGGTCGAAAAGGTTCGGGGGTCTTTGGTCCATTCGGGAAGGACATCGGGGGAAGCTCAAGACACAAGAACCGGGGGGCGAACTGTGATTTTCCGGAAACGAGTTTTTTGTTGACCGTGCCTCACATGGCTCCCTTTAGTTTGCTATGGCTCTGAATCAGTCATGTTCCTCTCCGGTTTTTCCCGGCGGAGGTTTGCTGGGGGGTGGGGGCAACCTCCCCCAACAGCGCAGGATTGCGCCAAGATGCATTCATCCTGAGTTCCCCTCAAAAAGAGTTTTTCCCCTAAATGTTTCGGTTGCTTTTGGTTTGTTAGCGATAAAGGGGTCCACAGTTCCAAGAAACTCCTGACGTGTGGGCTCTGTTTTTGGTTTGTGTTCAATTAACCCAAGAAGACTTAGACCCAAGGCTCTTTCTTCTTTTCGGGGAAATCAACCACTCTGGGTGTAAGTCTGTCTCAGGGTGATCGAAACAGGGTACCTCTTTCGCCCTTTTGAGAGACAGGAAAGCCATGTCTCTTTTGACAAACCCGCCTTAAGCAACCATGGCGAACGCGAACGCGAGCATTCCCCTGGGGCATGGCGAACGCGTCGCGAACCAAAGCCCAACCGCTTCGCTCCGGCGCTCGCCAGGGGAAGCTCCAACACCTGGGTTTTCTCTCGGGCCCTGCCGCAGCCTCGGCACAGCTACCCAAACGCCTTGGGCAGAATGATCCATGATCCATGTGTCGTCCTGAAACCAAGCTGGCTGGGTGAAGCGCGGCCATTTTTGTTTGTTTGTTTTGGAGCTCCGACATGTAGCTTTTGGAGCTCCCAATGGCAAAGTGAAAGCAATGAACCATGTGCCCCTGAGTCCAAAAGAGAACCCAAACGCCTCCAATTTCTCAAGAGGGGTGGATCACATGGCAACTACAAACAGAGGGTGTGTCTTTTTCCGGAAAATGGCTTGCATTCCTCCCCCGTTCCTTCCAAAAGACCGCCAGGTTGCGGGTTCCACAAACTGGACACATCCCAAACGTGGGTGATTTCCGATTTTTCAGAGTGTTTTCGAAGGTCCTCTTGGTCAACCAGGCCCTTTGTTTCAAGCACCGACTTGGGGTTCATCCGAATCCCATAATTACTGTGGATGGACGAAATTTTACACCTAAGAAATCCTGGAATGATTCGATTCCCCTGCAATTCCCACTAGGAATGATGATTCCCGTGTAATTCCCAATAAAGAATGATCTCCTGTGGTTTCAAAGTGGTGAACTCCCAACAAACAATGGTTTCCAGTGGTTTCATTTCGTGATGATCATCTTCGTTCATTTCAATCATCACCTTTTGGGACAACGTAAAGTTTAGAGGTTGAGGTTAGGTAACCACTGGGGAAGGTCAACATATTTAAATTCCTGGCTTAAACGTGGTAAGGAACGTGGATTGAAGATGTGGGTGCGAATTCCCAATAAAGAATGGTTTCCTGTGGTTTTGGAATGATTTAATTTTCCTGTAATTCCCAAAAATATAATATGGTCTCCCGTGGTTTCATTTCATGTTGCGACATGGAGTTCGTCCATCAGCAGGCCTCTAGGTCCCTCAGTAGTGCTCTTCACCGTCCCTTTTTTGGGGGAGGGTTCCCCTACTAAAATAGACGATTCAGAAAAAACATGGTACCAACTTATTCTAACCTTTCAAATCTGGAGGACCTAGGCCCCGTCTGAGGCTCGCCGCTCTTCGCGCGTTCGGCGCGTTCCGCTGGTTCGGCTCGAAGCGCGCGGAATGCGAGGCCGAGCCGCTGGCGGATGCCGCGCGACTCTTCCAGCCTGGCGGCGAAGTCCGGGGCATGTGGGCGGCAGCTTTTTTTGGGGGGTGGACCTGGAAACGGCCCGTACACAAATTGCCCTGCCACCATGGGGGTATTGCCACAAAAGAGTGGGGTGATTTGACACTTCTTTTTGGAGGGTTCGAGGTTCCTGGTTCCCCTTTGGAGAGTTTCTGACTTCAATCGACAGGGCTCTCCATTTTGCGGGCTTGCCCATTTGGAGAGAGCCGCTCTGTCTTTGGGAGGTGACCTCCTTCGTACTGGTTTCGAAGGGGACAGAGAAGCCGCGCGAGGTTCTTGGAGTGCTGCTCCGGCAGGCAGACAAAGGCCGGGACATGGAAGCCGAAGCTTCTTCGGCCGCTTTTTTTGGCTGAAAGGGACACGCCGGGAGGCCGACCGCTTTTTGTTGGGCTCCGAGGTTTTCTTTTAAAGGGAAACCCGCAGGAAGTCTCCCACTTCAAGTGCTTTTTTGGGGGGGGTCTTTTCTGAGGCGAACAGGAAGCCGCCCGTTTCAGGTGCGAGGTGGCCCTTTTTAGTGTTACATTGAAAGGGAAACCATGCGGGGTCCCACCATTGGGTGTGTGTGTGTGTGTTTTTCTTGAGGACCGCCCTTTTGGGATTGGTTTAGTGGGCAAACACTTGGAAAGCCAAAAGTTGTTCTTGACACATGGATATGTTGCGCAGGGAGCCACCTCCAAAGTGGTGGACTTGAATTCCACCGAAGTATGATGTGCACCAAAGGGTCCCGAATTGAAATTGGGTGTGTCTCTTGTAGGGGGCACCCCTTTCTGGTCGCCTTGAAATGGAAATCAAAGTCCAGTTGTCATTTTCTGGCCCCTCAACAATGAGACACGCCGTACCACAATTTCGAGCCAGGCTCCGTGCATTTTCTTTCAAAGGTTTTTATATGTTGCAGAAACCAAACACACTTTCGCTTTTCCCCCGTTGTCCGTTACATATATACACATATTATATACTTATAAATAAACATATTATATACACATATAAATATATATATATATATATATATGTATCATACATACATATATATATATATATATATATATACAACGCACCCTGCGGTTTTCGGTCCGCAGGTTTCGGAGCTCTGGCTGACCTTCGGGCAGATGGGCAGCTCCTTCACCCCAGAAGAGCTGACGCAGGCGCGGCGCTCAGCGGCTCAGCGGCTCAGCGCTCATGCCTCGTACGGTGGATGGATCTGCGAAGTGCGCGTTTTTTCCTCAGCGCCCGTTCCTCGTGCGTTTTTTTTTTTTTGAATTACGGGAAAATCAAATCATTCCAAAACCACAGGAGACCATTCTTGATTGGCAATTACAGGGGAATCATCCATTCGAAACCACGGGAAACGGTTGTTTGTTGATATTTGCAAGGGAATCGTATCATTCCAGGGTTTGTTAGGTGGTGCAGGAGTTCGTCCATCCACAGTATGTCCCTCAAGCAGTATGTCCTGAGCAGTGGGTTTTTTGGGACACAAAGCGCTCACAGCATACCCCTCTCTTGTTTTGCTTCTTTTTCGTGGAGGGGGTCTCCCTTCAAAACCACCCACCCAAAAAGTGGGCCATTGATTTGCATGGAAATCCGTTGGTCTGGGGTTCGTTTGTTCGAGTAACTTGCTTTGCCTGCCCCTGAAACCGACCAGTGGGAGAACCCCAAACTCCGGAAGAACCGGAGTAAATTTGGTTGCGCAATCACTTCCCTCCCAGCACCTGGTCGTGAGAGAAGCCCAAAGAGACACGCGCGGATCGTGTCACATCGCAGAGTCCCATTAGAGTCCCCCAGATCAGAAATGGCAAGCGGGGGTGAAGGCGGACTAAACCCGATCGATTTGCCAAGTTGTTGGATTTGAATGAAGTCTACCTCAAAATAGATGATTATAATTTAAGTAGCTAAAAAGAACCTTGCGGTTTTTGAACCCAACCTAGGCGTCGAAGTCCCGGGGACGTCCATCTGAGAAGGAGAAAGGCCTGCAGGCCTGTCGCCCAGTTTCGGAGGGACTTGCCGCAGCTGACTGAGGTTTATGGTCAAAATTGCTGCTGGTCTATGGTCCATGAGGGGGGACAGGGGACTCACGAAATTTCCGGCGTCCTCTCGAGGGGAACACGTCATTTTGATTGGGAATTTAGACAATGGTACGGGGTTCGCAGTTTGGACATCATGACCATGGACAACTTAGGGAGTTTTGCCCATGGCACATAAGACCTTTTTGCCGAAACCGCCAGTTGCTTGGGCAAGAGCCATGGACGCCTCAAAAATGGTTCACACAACCCCCATGCAAAAATCACAGGGTCCCTTTGCCACGGATTCCCGGACATGGGAAGCTCGGAGAACTCTTTTTCCGACCATGCTGCCAGGCCATGGGACTCCTTCCCGTATGGGTTTGGGACCAACATGCTTGGCGTCTTGCTCTCTTTCCCTTCAAAGCCAACTTTTTAAAAGGTGGTTCCCCCCCCAAAAAAAAACAAACACAAGCTCAAGCCGCTGAGTTAGCGGTTCCTTCATGGAGACAAATACTCCCTGGATCCTCAGTCAACCTTGCTTCAGCATGATGTGGAAGCATGTTGGGCAGTTTGTATACCCTCCCAAGTTGTAGCTCAGGAGATACATTAGGGGCCCTCAGAAAGGTTTCCTTTAAGAGTCCATTCAGACTCCTTCCAGGTCCAAGAAGCCTTCCAGGTCCGCGTTTTTGCCTTTGGTGACGGGAGGGATGACCTGATCCGATCCACGAGATCCGAGGCTTTGAAGCTTCGGTTCCAGAAGGCGCTGCTCAGCCTGCACCACCTGGGGCCAGCGGCCTCGATTGAACCCGCCCGCTTCGCGTGGGATCGATCCGAATCGATCCCGTGCCCGTGCCCGGTAAGGCCCACCCGTGCCCGGTTCTTTCAGAAAAAATGGAGGAGGCCGCGCGGTGCTGTTCGGTTTCTCCTATGGCCTTTTGGGGGGAAGCGCGGGATTTTTTTGGTCTGTTGGTCCTTGGGAGCAAGATGACAGTCCGTGAGTTGGGGTTTGGGGTGTTTCCAAGTTGCCGCGGTTCGCAGTCTGTGTAGTCAAATGTGTCTCCTTGAGGCAGAGCACTTGAAGCCGTTTCTCTTTTCGTCCCAAGTGAACATTGTTAAGGCATCTCTGTTGGGTCATCGTTTCTCTTTAAATCACCATTTATAGGGTTATTCTCTCTTAAACCACCAGACAAACACGTTATTATCCCTAAACCACCAAATTGTTTATAGGAGTTTCTCTTTAAGCCACAATATTTCTGAAGCTATTTTTGCGGGATGTCTTCCAAACCACCATGTTTAGTAGGTTATTTTTGAGGCTGTCTTCCTAAAACCAGGCGGCGGTGTCCTCTCACCTTCCTTGAAGCGAGGCTCTTCGCGCCCGCGCCCGGCGGCAGCCAGAAGTGTGGCCCTCAGCGGGACGTTTTTCGAAGTGTTTCCTTTAGTCCGCGAGCTCTCGAGAAAACGCTTTTGGAGAGGCGCTCGTTTAACGTGTGGCGCTCAATTCATGGGCTGACTTTCCAAGAAAACGCTTTTGGGGCACCAGACACGAAACGCTAGGCCATTGGCCTTGGCTGCTGTTGGGCATCAGATCTTTAGACTTTAACTTTTTGGTTGAAATCAAGTTGGGGTGTCCGGACTAAACCCCCAAAAGGTGAAGCTTCTTGCAGGGGGGTCGTTCCAGCAACCAAGTTGGAAACGCTTTTGGAGAGGCGCTTTTTAGGTGGGATTTGGAGACAAACTCAAGAAGACCCCGCGACGAAATAAGAAAGACCCATCAATGGATATGCGGGGGTTGATCAAAAGGACACATGAACATGGGGTGAGCATGGAAACCGCCCGTAAAACGCCTCGTAGGTTCTTCCCCCTGCAGGTTCTCTTTTTTCGTGCTCTGTTGGTACAATCCTACAGGGGTGGTTCCACCGTCATCGCGGTCTTCTTTTCCTTTTTTTAGGTCGTGGGGACTCCAGAGATAGATAGGATGCAAGTTTCAGAGTGGGGTCAGGGGACTTCAGCGAGGCCCAATATTTTTTTCTCCAGATAGCTGAAAGCTTCTCGGGGTTCCAACTTCTAATCAGGAGGGGAAAGTGATTTGTGGGATTGACGGCTGGGTGCTGGGGGGCATGCAGTTTGGGGCGCTGGTGCAGGTGCTGTTTTTACTGGGGGGTCTGGTTGCGAGATTGACGACAGCGTGCAAGGGGGCATGGAGTTTGGGGATTCTTGTGGCAGGTGGTTTTGGGATGTTGTTCGAGGTACTGGTGATGGTGCAGGCGTGTTTCTGCGAGATTGATTGTTTGGGGCGCTCTTTTTTTGGGGGGTGCTGTTAGAGGTGCTGGTGTGCAATCGTTGGCGTGTTCTTCGCTATCTGGGGTCTATGCTGGGGTATGTTTTTTCTCATTCACGTCCGGGGCAAATGAACAAAGTCAGGGTTGTGGGATCAAGGGGTTTCTCCCCACTTCTGTGATACAAGGGAATCCCCCTTTATATGAAGAAAATAGTCGATTGCGGTTTTCACCTTGAAGCTAAGGTTTGGAACCCGGAACTGCCTGTGAATCATGGGTTTGTCTCGCCGAACAATGGTGGACTTTTCTTTTGGTCCCCCTTAACCAAGCAATCAACCAACAAGCAACACACAAGCCAACAAAAAGCCAATGAACAAAAGCCAACAAACCAACACAACCAAACCCAGTCACCAACAAACATCAATGCTCCCCTCAACAAAAAGTCAAACAAGCAAACACACACCAACACAATCCATCCACTCTTTCCCCCGAAAAAAACAGGCCACGGCCTTCGCGAGAAGCAGAAAACCAACGCCCCGGGCCCCGCCGCCTTCGAATCCGGGGGATCGCTCCAGGGGCCTCTCTGGCTGGCGTTTGCGGAAGCGCGCCTTTGGCCGGGCGCCGCCGGCAGTTTGGGGTCGACCGGACGAAAACAAATGCGCGAATGGTGGGATCGATCACCGGAAGTCTCTAATGTTGACCCAGGATTAATAAGCCCATCCCAATATGAGGCGGGTGTTCCCTCCAAAAGTGATGAATCCCCACTTGGGATCCGGGTTAACATTATGGTCCTGAAAAAAAGCGGCAAAAAGCTCTCTTCAAGGGGGGGCAAGTGAGGTAGCTGAAAGTTTCGCTGATTTTGGGGGTAAATTGTGGAGCCTTGAAGCCAGGGCGGTTGGTGGGTTGGTGAAATGGCTGGGCTGGCTGGCCGGCTGGCTGGCCGGCTTGCTTGCTTGCCTGGCGCCTTGCTTGCTTACTTGGCTGCTTGCTTGGCGGCTTGAGGCTTGGTCTGAACACCTCGGCTTACTTGAGGTTTCCCCTTTGCTGCCTGTCCAGATCATAGGTGTCCTTTTCCTTTTGGCAATAGAATAGATGGCGATTCCTGGTTTACCAGGTGGTTTACTCGTCTACCAGGGATATCCATCTATTTCCCCCAAAAGGACACCTATGGGCAACCCAGATCTGTCCAACGGGCCCATGTCAGGCCTGGCTTCGAGATCCGCCCACAGAGGCGCGAACTCGCCAGACTTTCGGGCCAGGGCCAACCGGAAAGCACCAGAAGGCCATTTCTCACTTCCTGAGTTCATGAACTTTGAACTTTTTGCGAAGACCAGTTTTGTGGTAAACATAAAGTTTGGACTATTTTTGGGCCATCCACTCAGCAAGTGAGATTCCTCTCAGAGCTTCCAATTACCACTATTGCAAATTACCAGTAAAAGGTCCACTAAAGCGGTGGGACACACGCAAATGAGCGTGTCTTGTCTTGAAGGGAACCCCGTCTTGTAGCAGTGGAGAGATCAAAAGGGAAGCAGCGCATTTCCCCCCCTACTTACTCGGAGGATTCTATATATATATATATATTTATATACACACAGGTATATATGCATATGGTTATCGCGGATACTGTTTCAAGAAGAGGCTTTAGCGTCCGTCTATTTTTGACACATGCCAGCACACGAGCAGAGCACCTGCAAAATTGGAGGGGCAGTCTCAACGTGAGGTTCGGAAATCAAAACCCGGGTAGATGAAGGTTAGTAAGGGGCAGTCCCAGCCCGAAATAGTTGCGGCCGCCTTCTTAATTCATGAAGCATGGTTCTGGGTCAACCATTTAAATACCGGGTTTTGAGCAAGTGACTCGGGTAGCCTCTCCAGTGCTTGTTCATTAGCGTCCCTCTGCTCGGTGTGGGAGGTGGCCTCCGTTCAAGCGGGTTTTCACTATGACTGGCGGATTGATTGATTTTCGCAAGGAGAGGCAGTTTCCCGCGCCGCGGACACCGCCGCACGTGGAGAAGGAGCCGAAGGGTCGTGTTTTTTCTTCTCTATTTTCTCCTTCTTTCTTTTCTTTTTTTTCTCTCTTTTTTTCTCTTATTTTTTTCGGACGCGTTTATTGGATCATTTGGGAGGGGCCCTCGGTGACGATCCCGAAGCCTTCCATAAAGCCCAGACTCACAACATGTCCGATTTCTGGTGGGGGGAACATGCGATTTTGCCCTGCGGCGCGTGTGTGCGGCGTTTTTCGCGTTTCGTTGCGCCGCGTTTGGATTTCTGCCGATGTTTGTGCCGAGGACCCGCCGCCCACGCCTCCCCCGAGGCCGCGGATTCGCCGGTGGGAATGGCCCCGCTTCTGTGATACCAATCACGAAAGCTAGCTTTAGCTAGCTGAAGTTTCTCCTTGCGTAAGCAAGGTAAGGGGCTCAAATGCCAAAAGATTGATTTTTTCAATTATTTGAGCCGAAAAGATTGAAAAACATCAATTATTTAGACCCCTTGGTGCTACGAACTTTTACATGTTCCACCGATTCAGCTTGTTCATTTGAGACCTCAGTCTTCTCGGTAAACCACCTCGCAAGAATCTTTGCACACGCAATCTGCAGAACCCAGAGGTGCTTTAAGACAGCTTCTGACGCCTCTCGTTGTTTTCATTTTTCAAGGTTTGCCACGCCACCATGTGCGTTTGCGTGTCGCATCCTACGAATCTTGCCGGGCCTCTCGTTGTACACAAGCTACCTATGAATCCACTCTGTCACCGACCCATCTCATGCAACAACTGCTAGCTTTCGTTCACCCGCTCCTCAAGTACAATGCCTTGGCGACCAATTCTCCATAGGGGGAGGTCCCTTGGTCTCAAAAGGGGAGGTTCAATGGTCTCACCATTGAAGAAGGGGCCATTTAGAGGGGAGGTCCCTTGGTGTCACCATCCAAAAGGGAGCTTCCCACAAGCCATTTCAATCCTGGGACTTGGCCAATTTCCTGGGCGCAGCAAATTTCTTCGGCGCTCACTGCGCTCACCGACGCGCCAGGGACAGGGAGGTCGAGGGCCCGGTGGAGCCGCTGGAGCCTGGGAACCGATTCCTCAAGAGGCGGGGGGGGGGGATTGACCGAGACTCGGTGAGCCGTGGGGTTCCTTAGAGTTTTGGACTTCGAACTTGGGGAGGAATCGTAGAAGCTTTAGATTGACCCCATGGGCACTCTTAAAAGCCATCTTCCACAGCTAGGAACAGCCCTTCCAAGGTTTTTCAGATGGCTCGGGCTGGCTTTGAAGGGAAAAAGGCCACCTCCGTCTAATCGTTATGTTTTTCTTGACTCCGTGTTCCGTTTTGCGCAAGTGAAGACTCTCGAACCCGAGGATGTCACTTCTGCAGCTCCGCAGCAGAAGTTTCAGACGCCCGCCCCTTCCGGTCATTGGGCATGGTTCGAAGCCGAAAAAAAAGGGGGTAGCTTTCGCAAGCCCAAGAAGGGCACTCTGAAGAAACGAGCCACGTCTACTTTGGCGCTATCGTTTACAGTTGGCGCCTGTCTTGGCATAATATCTTCAACCCCTTGCGGATCGATGATCTCTGGATTCTTCTTGATGCGAAATTTGGAAACAGAGTTGCTTCGTCCTTCGCGTCGGGTGGCTTTTTGCTGCTTTCGGGGTTTGTCAAGAGCGAGGCCTCGTGCCCGGCGCGCCGGGTGGCATTTGCGTGTATGTGTCTGTGTCTGTGTCTGTCTGTGTCTGTGTCTGTGTGTCTGTGTGTCTGTCTGTCTCTGTGTGTGTGTGTGTGTGTGTGTGTCTGTGTCTGTGTCTGTGTCTGTGTCTGTGTCTGTGTCTGTGTCTGTGTCTGTGTCTGTGTCTGTGTCTGTGTGTCTTTGTCTTTGTGTGCCTGTGTGTCTGCGTGTCTGTGTGTTCGTTTGTCTGTGTGTCTGTGTGTGTTTGTGTGTCTGTGTCTGTGTCCGTGTCTGTGCCTGTGTCTGCGTCTGTGTCTGTGTCTGTGTTTGTGTGTGTTTGTGTTTGTGTGTCTGTGTCTGTGTTTGTGTTTGTGTGTCTGTGTCCGTGTCTGTGCCTGTGTCTGCGTCTGTGTCTGTGTCTGTGTTTGTGTGTGTTTGTGTTTGTGTGTCTGTGTCTGTGTTTGTGTTTGTGTGTCTGTGTCCGTGTCTGTGCCTGTGTCTGCGTCTGCGTGTCTGTGTTTGTGTGTGTTTGTGTTTGTGTGTCTGTGTCTGTGTCTGTGTCTGTGTCCGTGTCTGTGTCTGTGCCTGTGCCTGTGTCTGCGTCTGTGTTTGTGTTTGTGTGTCTGTGTCTGTGTCTGTGTCTGTGTCTGTGTCTGTGCCTGTGTCTGCGTCCGTTTGTGTTTGTGTTCGTGTTTGTGTTTTTGTTTGTGTGTCTGTGTCTGTGTCTGTGTTTGTGTGTGTGTGTGTGTGTGTTTGTGTTTGTGTGTCTGTGTCTGTGTTTGTGTGTCTGTGTCTGTGTCTGTGTCTGTGTCTGTGTCTGTGTCTGTGTCTGTGTGTCTGTGTCTGTGTCTGGGTCTGTGTGTGTGTGTGTGTGTGTCTGTGTGTGTGTGTGTGCGTGTCTGTGTTTGTGTTTGTGTTTGTGTTTGTGTCTGCGTGTCTGTGTTTCTGAGTCTCTGTCTTAGTGTCTCTGTGTCCGTGCTTGTGTGCGCTTGTGGGCGCTTGTGGGCGCTTGTTGGTGTGTGTGTGTGGTCTGTGCTTGCGTGCTTGCCAGTGTGCGCTTCCGTGGAAGCATGTGCAAGCGCTTGCGTGGCGTGTCCGGGTTGCACGCCCAGCACGCCGGGCGTAGTCGACCAGGGCTCTGAAAGCCGAGCTGAGAGGGTTAAATGTATACGCATGAATGCCCATGGGTGCGATGTTGTGATCCAAAAGCGCCGGGGTCCGGGTTGACAATCCCTCTGATTCGGTTGCTGAAAGTTAGCGCGAAAACATTCAAGCAGCAGGTTGGGACACTCCACAAATCAACGAGCTTGGCGTGCTTTGATGAGTTGGCTTACAAACGCCGTTTTGGCCAAAAAGCCCCACACGAGCAATGGTTCCCTATTTTGACTAGGTCCCCCAGTAGTGCCCTTTTACCCTTTTTTGGGGGAGGGTTCCCCTAAATAGACTACAGAAAGAAGTTGGTACCAACTTCTTCTAACCTCTCCACTCAAGGACCTACTTTGACGCGCCCTCGCAAAAACGAGGGCCCCGTGCCTTGCAGCGCGCAGGCTGCCGTTCCCTCGTCGTGTGGAGTCTCCCTACCGAGAAGATGAGCCTGGGAACTGAGCGGAAGGAGGGGAGATTGGGCATCACCGCGCGAGAAACAAGGCCGGGTGAGCAAAAAAACAAGAGCCGCGGCCATCGCGAGTTCTTTGCGGGTTTGATCTTGTTTCTGATGGGGACATTGGTGGTGTCTGCACTTTAGGCACCGTGCTTGGGTTTCCTTTTAGCCATCCATCCCTACCCCACTTTTGTGTGTGTGTGTTTGTTTTTTCTATCAGACAAACCGCGCAAAGGGTCCCAAAACACACCCATTTTGCGACCCTCTCGCAGACACAACAAAAACACCACGATTTCCGGCGAGTGAACCAGCTGCGCCGCACTTTCCGAGGTACCGGGTGGAGAAGAAGCGGAAGAGTGAGCGCATCTTTTTCGGGTGAATTCGCGGGGAATTCTGGGGATTGCTAAGTTACAGCTTGGGGGATATCACCAGGGCTCCCGATATTGCCCTGAAAAAAGGGTGGCGTTTGGAAACGCCATTTCAAGGCCAGTTTCTTGTTAGCGGGAGGGAAATATGGGGAGCCCCTAGCGTTTCACTGCGACTGGTCTGGGCAGTCGCAGTCTGGGCCGTGGCGGTCTGGGGCAAAAGGCGGGAGCACATGCAACTTGGCTTTTGGCGCACGTGTGGCTATGAATCTCAATGGAGAACCCCCTGAAAAGTGGTTGGTGGACACAAATCCCCGCCTAAATGATGTCCACCAAGAGGTTCCTAATCAAAATTCATACCCATGTCATGGTCGATGGGCACAACACCTTTCGGGTTTGATGAATGTGGCAGGCTACGTTGTGGCATGCATGCTCAATTGGGAGCAGCTCTTCTGTGATGGAGACCAACAAACAACCTTTGACTGGAGATATGGGATGGTCAAATTGGACGCACCTGCAATTCATGCTTGCTTTTCAGAGTTCGGACTACTTGTTTTTTTTTCTGCAATTCGTAGTTTGGGCATTTCCAGATGCGCCTGGCTTTTCAACCTTGACGTTCCATGAATACCAAATGTGCATGCCTTCAAAGTTCAATCTCCAAACACACAATTTCAAACATGCGAAAGAGCTTGTGTTGCTTCCCTTTTTCCCGCAAGCAACTTTGCTTCTACAGGTGCCCCTTTTGAAACTTGTATCTCCGTGCTCGTTCGGTATGTGCTGGTAGTCAATTCTTAGAAGCACAACTGGCAAAGCTTTTGCTGAAATTGGACCCTTTTACATTTGTTTGTTTTGGAAAAACCACATTGATTGTTCTTGGTACCCTTTGGTGAATCGGGCACCGACATGAACACGAGCCATTGGGAAGTCTATGAAAGAGAAGCCCAAGGGCTCCCAATGGCCCAAAAAGAACAAACTCCCAACAGGGCTCCCCTATGAATTGGGTGGCTCAAAATAAAACGGCTGGGGTTACGCAGGTTTTAGTCTTTGTTCCCATATGCCAGGTGCTATTTTGGGTATTCCATTTTTGAGCCACAGCCCATTGTTGCGAAGGGAAAAGAAGGGTTGTGGGATCAAGGGGTTGTTCCCCACTTCTGTGATGAGGGAATCTCAGAAGTGGATTCCATTTCCTACAGCCCTGAGAAAAGAAAAAGGCAGCATGTGTCTCCGCCTCGTGGCTCTAGCCTTTGTGGGGGTACAAGGGCTGTGCGGTCTCGCCCATTGGCACGGGCCCCGATTTTCGTAGGGGGAAGCGCCATCCTTAACGGGGGGTGGGGGGGGAGGGGGGGAGGCGGTCCATGGCCCCGTACTCCCTGCATTTGGGCATGGGTCAAAATAAAACCACCAGGAGTTGGACCCCAGGAATTTCGTTTTTTTTATTTACCAGGGCAACTCATTTTGGAGTTACCATATTTTTGACCCACTGCCATTTTTTTTTGGGGTTTCAAACGTGGCGCCTTTGGCCCGTGGGTGTTTTGCAGTGGAGTCCACATGGAACCTACAAGCAAAATCTGGAGGGGATTGCCCATGGAAAATGAAAGAACCCTCGGTTCTGGGCGTTTTAAACCAAACGAAACAGGGGCGTAGTGGTTGCGTTTGTTTGTCGAGGAGACCCTCTACCCGTCTACAATTTCCCGCAGTTTCGCTGGTAACAGATCTACTGGTGTGCATTTTGAAGGGAACGGTGGCGCTTTTGTTGGGTGGCTTCAAAGGGATGAGTGTTGCTTTGCCATTCTGACACAACCCCATTTTTGTTCGCTATTTTAACGCCTCCGGCTCAGGCCGCCGACATTACAGGCTTCTTTCTTATTTGCGTCCCTTTGGAATTGTGCCCTTGCCCGCTTCCCCTCTAAGACTTTTGCCCCCCTTTCCCTGTTGAGATCCATTCCCCCTTTCCCCCTAAGTCCCTTTCTCCCTCTGAGATTGTTTCCCTTTTCCTCCCTAAGATGTTTTCCCCCCTCTCCCTGTTGAGATCCTTTCCCCCCTTTCCCCCCTAAGGCCTCTTCCCCCCTGAGATCTTCTCCCTTTTCCTCCCTTTCCCCCACTTTCCCCCCTAAGGCCTTTTCCCCCCCTGGGATCTTTTACCTTTCCTCCCTGAGATCTTTCCCCCCCTTTCCCTGTTAAGATCCTTTCCCCCCTTTCCCTGTTGAGATCCCTTCCCCCTTTCCCCTAAGGCCTTTCCAGATCTTCTCCCTTTGCCTTCCTAAGATTGTTTCCCCTCTTTCCCTGTTGAGATCCTTCCCACCCTTTCCCCCCTAAGTCCTTTCCCCCCCTGAGAGCTTCTCCCTTTTCCTTCCTAAGATCTTTCCCCCCTTTCCAAGTTGGCCTTTTTTCCCCCAGATCTTCTCCCTTTCCTCCCTAAGATTTTTTCCACCCCTTTCCCTGTTGAGATCATTGCTCCCCTTTCCCCCCTAAGGCCTTTGCCCCCAGATCTTCTCCCTTTCCTCCCTAAGATCTTTCCCCCCCCCCTTTCCCTGCTGAGATCCTTTCCCCCCTTTCCCCCCTAAGGCCTTTGCCCCCCCAAGATCTTCTGCCTTTTCCTCCCTAAGATCCTTTGCCCCCTTTCCCTGTTGAGATCCTTTCCCCCTTTCCCCCCTAAGGCCTTTCCCCCCCTGAGATCTTCTCCCTTTTCCTCCCTTTCACCCCCTTTGCCCCCTAAGGCCTTTTCCCCCCCTGAGATCTTTTCCCTTTCCTCCCTGAGATCTTTCCCCCCCCTTTCCCTGTTGAGATCCTTTCCCCCCTTTCCCCCCTAAGGCCTTTCCCCCCGCTGAGATCTTCTCCCTATTCCTCCCTAAGATCCTTTGCCCCCTTTCCCTGTTGAGATCCTTTCCCCCCTTTCCCCTAAGGCCTTTCCAGATCTTCTCCCTTTGCCTTCCTAAGATTGTTTCCCCCCTTTCCCTGCTGAGATCCTTCCCACCCTTTCCCCCCTAAGGCCTTTCCCCCCCTGAGAGCTTCTCCCTTTTCCTTCCTTAGGTCTTTCCCCCCCTTTCCCTGTTGGCCTTTTTTCCCCCAGATCTTCTCCCTTTCCTCCCTAAGATCTTTCCCCCCCCTTTCCCTGCTGAGATCCTTTCCCCCCTTTCCCCCCTAAGGCGTTTTCCCCCCCAAGATCTTCTCCCTTTTTCTCCCTAAGATCCTTTGCCCCCTTTCCCTGTTGAGATCCTTTCCCCCCTTTCCCCCCTAAGGCCTTTCCCCCCCTGAGATCTTCTCCCTTGTCCTCCCCAAGATCTTTTCCCTCGGTTGAGATCCTTTCCCTTTTCCCCCCCGAGGTCTTCTCCCTTTTCCTCCCTAGCATCTTCTCCCACCTTTCCCTGTTGAGCTTTCCCCCCTTTCCCCCCTAAGGCCTTTTGAGATCTTCTCCCTTTTCCTCCCTAAGATCCTTTGCCCCCTTTCCCTGTTGAGATCCTTTCCCCCTTTCCCCCCTAAGGCCTTTCCCCCCCTGAGATCTTAAGGATCTTTTCGCTTTTCGATCCTTTCCCCCTTTCCCCCCTAAAGCCTTTTCCCCTCCTGAGATCATCTCCCCTTTCCTCCCTAAGATGTTTTCCCCCCTTTCCCTGTTGAGATCCTTTCCCCCCTTTCCCCCCTACGGTCTTTTTTCCCCTGAGATCTTCTCCCTTTTCCTCCCCAAGATCTTTTCCCACCTTTCTTTATTGAGATCCTTTCCCCCCTGTCCCCCCTAAGGCCTTTTCCCACCCTGAGTTCTTCTCCCTTTTCCTCCCTAAGATCTTTTCCCCCCTTTCCCGCTTAAGATCCTTTCCCCCGTTTCCCCCCTAAGGCCTTTTCCTCCCAAGATCTCCACCCTTCTCTTCCCAAAGTCTTTTTCCCCCTTTCCCGTTTGAGATCCTGTCCCCCCATTGCCCTAGGCCTGTTCCCCCCGAGAAAGATTTCCATTTTCCTCCCAAAGGTCTTTTCCCCCCCCGAAGGCATTCTTTCCCCAGATCTTTTCCCTTTCCTCCCTGAGATCTTTCCCCCCCTTTCTCTGTTGAGATCCTTTCCCCCCTTTCCCCCCTTCATTTCCAGATGTTCCTTCACCAGCATGGGCAACATCCCCAGCATTACTTGCATCATCTGCATCCTTGGCAGGCGCTGATGCGGATGATGCAGGTGATGCTGGCGATGTGCCGCTGGAGCTGCAGGTAAGGAGCATTTCTTATGTCCAACACGCCGTCTGTTGTCGGCGGATGTCCCGAAACCTGAGGCGGGGTTTTATTCTGCATTGGTAGACATGGTGCCCTAGATTGAAGCCATACCTGAGAGTCTGAGAGGCCATGTGCGCAGGTGGCCACGCACTTTCAGTTCTTTACACGGGTGTGGCAAGTTGGAATACGTGGGCCTTTGGTGGACATCCGGATTCGGGGAGACAAATGTCCAGAAGCCTTTTTTGAAGTTCCAACCAAAAGTCAAAATTCAATGTCCAGAAGCTTTTTGTGAGGTGGTTCCAGCAAAAAGTTAGAATTGAGAGCCACATTCTGGGTGGATCCTATTTTTTACCCGGTGGTTCCTCCCAGCGTGCCCAGGCCTCGCACTGCGAAGCCGTTGGCAGCAAGATCCATGTCTGAGAAGGACCAATGGGACGTCATCCCTAGCGTTCCACTTGCCCCCATTGAAAGGAAAGGTTGCCCCCAATTTGGATGATGACAATACTTAGTCAAACAATTGGCCGTTTTATGAACCCCCCATGCATCAACAATGGTGGTTTGAAGCCCAGGGCAATGGGAGTCGAAGGCTTTTTGCTTCTCCGCGCTTCCTTTTGTTTGGGGGTCCCGCGGTCCCATGGGTTTCGGGTTGCGCGGTTTGGGAAACCGGATGAACCCGTCCTGCTCGGGGATTCTCCCACCCAAAGTGATACACCCCCCCACTAAAAGGGGACACCGCTCTAGTACTATGTAGTCAACGGCGGGGTTTAATCCGGGGGTTCCCATTTGCGGTTTGCCCCCCTTGGAACACCTGGCTTTGGGCAACCACCTGCCGCCTTCCCCCTTTCCCCCCGGGTGGGGGGGCGCGGCTCAAGAGCGGGCCCGGAAGACCTTTCTGTTGTATCACAGAAGTGGATTCCATTTCCCACAGGTCCAGGTGGAGCTTTGCACTAGACCTCGCTTTTTCCCCAATGTCCACCTTATGGGGTCGCCTTTGCCAGATGGGCGCTCCAGACTGATTTGGAGCGTCCAGTGGGGATGCGATCGGGGCGTATCCGGCCATGCCACCTCAGTGGTTGGTGGACCTTTTCCGCGAAATTCTGATGTCAGCCATTTCTGGATGGTCTCACCCCGTTGTGTGGTATCAACTCCTTTGTTTTGGTGCATAGTCTTTTGGGTGGCTCCCCAGATTTTCCTCCGGAACATCACCCCAAAAGGAAGCCATCGCCGTTTTGATGGACAGTGAATTCCCAACATAAGGGTATGGGTCAAAATCAACCTGCCAGGGGCCCGAAGGCTTCAGTCTTTGGGTCCGTTCCATTTTGGGTACGCATTTTTGACCCGCAGCCATAAGATGGAGAAGCAAACAAATAGTTCTGCACCCATGCGGAGGAGACAGGACAACAAAAGATATTGAGTGCAGATTCATGCATAGGAGGAGGAGAAGAAGGGGGACAAGGGGGACAAGGACAAGAGATCAATGATGTCCCCAGAAGGCGACAAAGCGGTGGCTTCCGCGTCGGCTACACCGATGAGCGGTGATGCCAGCTCGTTTGTCCAGGGCCGCACACGTTTGTTTCTTTTTTTTGCATGGGACAGACGTGAGCAATTGAATTGCCTTGAAGATGGTTGATATTGCAACCCACAAGTTGCGGGGCCCCACAAGTAACAGGGGCGATTTCAGCCATGTTCACTTCTCATGTCTCCGCCTTAAAATGGGATTTCGCCCATCTTCACTACGCGCCCTGCCCTTCCCGAACCCCGAACCCCGCGCGCGTCCCGAAGCCCAGCTCGGGCCGCTCGCGCGATCCGCGCCGCGCGCCTCCGCCAGGTGCGGAGACCCCGGAGAAGGACGCGAGCAAGGTGAAGGGCTCCAGCGTCAAAGAGTCCAAAGGCACCAAGGCCCCGGCCTCGATGGAAGCTCCGAGGTGCTGACAATTCTCATGGCGCGAAATCGGTGAGGTGAGACATGGGAATGAACCCCGTTTTGGGAAGTTTTGCGAAGAAAGGGGAACACACACCAGGTGGATGGTTTTTGTCGGGGTCCTTCCATTTCTCGTTCCAGAGCAGCTGCCCGGGATTGCGCGGTCTCCCGGTCTCGCCGGGCAGGTGGGTTGAGGACATGGAGTGGAGGGACCCGAGCCCATGTGCTTTTTGCGGATTCTTTTTGCCCGTTGCTCATATGGGTATGGCTCAAAATTAAAGAGCTGGGGTTATATACGCGGGTTTGTGTCTTTGGTTCCATTTACCAAGGTGCCATTTTGGTACCGGTTTTTTGAGCCACAGCCATATTTGGCTACCCTCAGGCACATGGTTGGTGGGCTGTTTTTTACATGACTGGCAGTCACGTAACGAACCCCCTGAAACAGAGAATCTGGACAATCATTGGAAGGGATTTTTCATGGCTTCTGGAGACATGACCAGGACTCACAGATTTTCTTTTTTAACCACAGCGCATGAGGAGTTTGAGCCGCGGTCGATCCGACTGAGTCCGAAGTCTACAAGGACCCTAACGTCACGGGCGCAGCCGAGGAGAGGCCAAGCAATTGATTCTGTTCGGCTCCATCGTGTGTGTGTGTGTGTGTGTGTTTTTCTTAAATGGTAGCCTTGGGTTCGGCGGTTTACCGGGCAACCGCCCGCCCAACTTCGGTGTTTCTCGAACTTGGGGAAGGCGCGAAGGTTTCCCTTGCCCCGGCCTTCATCCAACTTGGGCCCTTCGGTCGCCAGGAGGTGTTGCCCGAGGATTCCGAGGAGGTCCATCAAGCCACGCCCATTTCCAAGGCGCCCTACTCGGCGCGCGTCAGCTGGTCGCCTTTTCCCCAGCTGGTTGGAAGGGAGCCGACGCCAGGGAGCCGGGGGTATCCAAGTTTGCTTTTACACAGGAAGCCTTTGGGAGCTAGCAGGAGTTCTGCCAAGGCATGGTGGTTGAGGGCACCAAAACGTTTTTGCCAGGGAAAACCAGCAGTTTGGGGCGGTTCCGATTCCTATTTAGTTTCTGAAGGGTTCATGTTGATACGCTCACCAGTTGATTCTGCAAAAGGGCCTATGAGCAAAAGCATGAGTCGGTTCGTCTGGCAGGGGTTTTATATTCGAGGATGACTTTGATCGGAATGCTCAGTTCCACGCCGGCTTGCAACTCCACGTGTTCTTGGCCCATCCAGATGGTGCCTTGTGGGTACCTTCCCGATCTCGACATGAACCAGGGTTTCATTTTTTTGAGCCAGGTGGCGCCCTGAAATAACTGGATAGCCTACATCAAATGAATCAAACAGATGAGTTGCGAGTTCTGGTGCGGAGGGAAAGCGCCTTCGTCGTCGCCCAATTTTGGGCCACCTTACGTCTTTTGGAGCCAACCCCGCCTTCAAGTTTAGGCCCAGATCTGGGTTCCAAACAAGCCCGGCCAAAAAAACACCCATATGGATGTGTCTGTTTTGATGGAGCCCCATGTTCGGTGGTTTGAAGGGGAAACTAACAGGAACACCACTGACCACCGTTTCCCCCTCTCTCTCTCTCTCTTTTTTTCTTCTCTTTTTCCGGGGGGGGGGGGGGGCGAACATTTTTGGAAGGGGAGACTAAAAGGAAAAGCTCGTTTTTTTTGTTTTTTTTTTTCATTTGTTTTTGGAGGGGGAGGGGGGTTCCCCTAGCCATGTCTTCCGCGGGCTCGGAACCTGGATCGAACGAAAAACCGTTTGTGTTTTTTCCCGCCGCGCAGGCGGGCCTGGAGACGCCCCTCACCGACGAGAAGAAGAAGAGCGGCTGGGCCGACAAGAAGAAGTTCGCGGCCAAGTTTGCCGACAAGCGCGGGAAGGACCCGAGAGTCTGCACGTTTTTTGTTGTTTTTTCTTCGGATAGGGTGGGAGATTGTATTTTGCGGATTTGGGGTAGGAGTCATTTCATGGCAACCTTGTTGCTTGGGGCAAGTTTAGTGGTTTTGGTGAGTTAGGGGAACCTCCAGCGCACTCCCGAGCCTGTTTGTTTGACCTTCATTTGACTCGTTTGGGCCCAAGCACCAGGATGGGGGTTCGCGCGTGGAGCATGTTTTTCGATTTGAGGTTTCACCTTCCGTGAGTGGCCCAAAAAGCATCCAAAGGGATAGAAGAGTTTTCCGTACTTGTGAGTTAACTCCGACTCTTAGAAACACATGTTCAATTTCATTCAGGGGGTTCTCGCTCAGCTGCCCGAGTTTCCGACTCATGTGGGGGTGTTTTGTAGGGCACCCCCAAAATGGGATTCCGTTTTGGGTTTGAAAGGGTTTGGTTTCCCTTTCATATCTTCCAAAGAAGTACCAAACTCCAAAGCACGCACCCATGCGAGCAGCGCCGGAGCCCCATTGGCCACTGCAACAGGTGGTTCTACTTGGTCTTGTGGTACTCGCTGGTTGGTTTTACATGGGAAGCCACGAGGCCAAGGAGTTTTTAAGTCTTCCGAGCTCAGGAGAGGAAGAAGGACCTGAAGGGAGCGAAGGCCAAGGACAACAAGGACAACAAGGGCCTCAAGAACAAGAACCCGAAGAACAAGAAGCCCAACAAGGGCAAGAAGCCTAACAAGCCCAACAAGACCCTTGGCTCTTAAGACTTTTGTGCCGAAGATGGTGGTTTGGGGTGCCGTTGTTTGAGTGTTTTCCCCTCTTTTGCGATGGCTTCAAAGGGAATTCAAAAGGACAACTCGAATTTTAGGGGCCCCCTTTCGACACATATCCACTGGAATCTCCGATCGTCAACTTCGGGTTGGCCACGTATTTTCAACCACGCACCCGCAAGCAGTTGAAACAAAAAGAGAGAGTTTGGGGCCAATGCCACGCCCGCAGCTTTTTGCCAAGGACCAACAAGCCCAACAAGAGGGCCAACAAGGGCCAAGCCAACAAGGCGAGCACTAGGAAAGGCGACAAGAAGAAGTTGGACAAGGACAAGGCGGGAGAGCAGTGGCCAGAGACGGCATACCAATTTGGTGGCGATCGATTTGAATTTCAATTTTGGCTCTCCCTTGCAAGTGGCTGGACACAAATCCGCGCTCTCACTGGTCAAGCCAGTCTTCGCAGTCTAAAGGGTTCAGCGGAGAATGCTGCGAAGGCTGCGACGCGGCAGTTGCTGGCGCTTATCTGCGCAGGCGAAGACCGACAAGGAAAACACAGACAAGAAGAATGAGAAGGACAGCAGGTGGGGGTTGTCAAACATCGTGCCCCCTTTTTGAACCCCATCGCTTTTTGACACCTTGTCAGTCCAAATAGGGTCAACCACAACAAAACAGGTGCGTCCAAAAAGGGGGTGGCCATTCCCATTTCTTTTCTCCGACAGGTACTCCTTTTCTTGTTCTTTTCTTTGTCATTTGGCCATCCCAAATTATGGTTGCAACCTTTCCCCCAGCAACCCACAACTGGGAAAATGGTTTTTCAATGTTTTCACTCATTTGATCATCCGCAAGTATGGTTGCAACCGTTTCCCATTTATTTTCGTCATCCCAAAATTGGTTGCGGACTTTTTCCCCCAGACCCCCACCCATAGGAAGTTTTTTTTCATCACACATTGGTTGCAACCGTTTCCTCAGACCCCCACAACTGGGCAAATGATTTTTATGGTCGCAACCTTCTCCCATTCATGGGAAGATGGGTGTTAAATATCATCCCACAATTGGTTGCGTGATTTTGTTTCCCCCAGCCCCCCACCCATGGAAAGTTACATATGTGTGTATCTATATATATATATATATGTATATATATGTTTTAACACTAATTTGATCATCCCACATTGGTCGCAACCTTTTCCCCAGAGCCCACCACCCATAGGAAAGGTGTGATGTTTTCCGCGAGGTACAAGAAGCCCGGGAAGCGTCAGAAGGACGGGACGGACCTGGAGGGCGAGGTGACCCCTGTGACGGTAGACAAGCGAAAGGACCGAGGACGGAAGGGCATCAAGCTGAACCAGGTGAAGAAGCACAAGGCTCGATCCGAAGGATCCCTCCCGGTGCTTCTTTTTTTTGGTGGAAGAGGGTGGGTTGTGTTTTTGTTTCTTTTTCCCCTGGGCTTTTTTGATCCCCCCTTTTGTTTGGTCGAAGAGGGTGGGTTGTGTTTTTGTTTCGATCCCCCCGGTGCTTTTTTTTGGTCCAAGCGGGTGGGTTGTGTTTTTTTGTTTGTTTCTCTTTTTGGTCGAAGAACACTTTTTTTTTTTGTGTGTGTGTGTGTGTGTGTCCAAGAAAGAGGAGTGGATCCCTTTTTGACCCGTTTTGGGATACAGCAATAGTTTTTGGTTTTTCTTCCGGTGTGTCGGTCGAAGAGAGCCGATTGGATCCCTTATGGCTGCGTTTTGCAGTGAAGAAACGAAGGTCGACTCCTTTGGATAAACCTGGCTTTCGGCTTTTGTTTTGTGTGTGTCGAATACAACCAAGGGCCCCCAAAACTATGGCAGGTTGTTGCACCCCCCCAGGTTGTTCAAGCGGAGAAACCTTCCTTTTCGTGGTTTCGGGGTCGGGGCGTCAAGAGGGCATTGACCCACAGGTCAAAGAAAAAGCCAATGCCCTCTTAAAACACCGCAATGTGGGTGGTTCAATCAAGACGGTCTCAAAATGGTAGACCCCCCACCCTGACTTGTTTTTCCCCTTTAGTTGAATTTAGTTGTGTTTAAAAAACAACATCAACTAAAGAAGGGTGTGGGTGGTTTAATCAAAACGGACGTGGTTGGTGAATCACCTTGTGTTTTTTCCTGCAAAACACCATCCAAAGGAGCAGCTCAAAATTGGGGATCCCCAGAAATAGGTTTTGTCCCCCCGTGGCTTCCTGGAGCTTCCCTCCCAAAGGAACCTCGACCCAATTTTCTGCGAAAGCCACCGGGGGATCCTGCGGTTCCTTTCTTGTTCTGCGTTTAAACGATCCCAAATGGGGAACTCTCAAGAAAGATCAGGAAGAATCGGGTGAAGCCACGCGGCGGAATTGGCCCGAAATCCGTTTTGATTGAACCACCCATATTGGGGCCCGGTGCGTTTTGATTTGCTACCCTGTTTTGGTTGATGTTTGAACACAACTGTGTAACTGAAGGGAAAACAAAAAACAAGTCAGGTAGGGGGGAGGGAGGTCCACCATTTTGAGAAAACCAAAACCTTGGTCTACCATTTTCAGAAAAACAACTAATCGTCTACCATTTTGAGGAAAAAAACATAAACATCGTTCTCCATTTTGGGAACAAAACACCTTGGTCGTCACCTCCCCGTGTTTTTCCTTGCCGCGGCGCAAACCCGTCGCCTTCGTCTTTTTTTCCCTCCCGGCGGAAAAAGCGCGCGCGCCTCTTTCTGCGGCGGCTCCGCTTGTCCGCGAGGCCAAGCCCGCGAGCTCCCGGCGCGCGGGCTGCATCTTCCCGGTGGCGCGGATCCACCGCTTCCTGAAGTCGTGCGCTGAGGGCGAGCGCTCGAGGGTGGCGGGCGCTGGGCGGGCTTGCGGGCGGGCTTGCGGGCGGGCGGAGTTTTTTTTGGGGGAAAGGAGGGGGTCCGGTTCCGAAAGGTTGGTTCCCAGCGCTCCGGGTCCTTAGGTGTTTGGCGGTTTTGGGGTTTAGGTGGAGGTTGCCATTTATTCGAAAGGTGAAGCTTTTTCTCAGTGGCGACAGCCAGGAAGTGACGAGCCCGGGGTGTTGGTTGAATGAACCGGCAGCGTAGGTTTTGCTGAGAACAAGCATTCTCGAGGGCTGCGCAACTCGTCATTGTTTGTGGCGAGCTCACCGATTCGAGGGTAAAGGAGCGAAAGCCATGGTAAGGATCCTTTACTTGGGGATTCCTTATCTTTTAGGTTTTGGAATTATTGTAAGATTGGAAAAGCAATCGGTCCATTTCGCATGGCCCAAACGGGTGTCTTTTGGTAAACCCCCTACGAGCCGTTTTTTGGGCCCGAGATCCATTTTTGCAAACTTCCAGGTGTTGGTATTTCAAGGGAAACCAAAACAAAACCCTTGCCGTTCTAGCAGGGCTTGGTTTTGGATTGCCTTGAAATGCAAAAGGGCGTCCACTATTTGAGAAACACTCTTATCCACTCCACACTCTTATCCACTCCCGAACAGTCAGTCGGCACCCTTTGAGTAAATCCACCCCTGCGTTTGATGTGTGTGGGGGTCGCCTGTGCTTTCCAGTCGACTCTTTCAGAGAGCACTATCAAAAAACTGTCATGATGAGGTTCTGTCAAAATGTCCAGTGGATAGTACAATCGGAAGCACAGAGGGGACCCACAACTTGGATTGCCATGCTACTTCCAAATTCTACATGAAGGGGCAGGATAGATACTTAGTGACTGCGGTTGGAACCCACTTGATCAATTGAGGGCAACCATGGTAGCCGTGGTCACTATCCGTTCACCTGACGTCCACTGCCCCTTGAAGTGAATATGTTGAAGCAATACCCCTGGTTGGATCTTGGACCTTAAACTTTTTGGTTGAACGTGTGAATCTTCCCACCAGCCCGCAAAGAGAAAGAGTCAAGCACTTTTTGCAGGGTTCAGGGGGCTTTTTTGCCACCAAGTTGGACAGTAGGCGAGTCTCCCGGTCAGACAAGACATGGAGCAGACTCCGAACATTGCAGTACCCCGTTCTCGTGGGATTTGAGAGTACTCCGTTCTCGTGGTTGTGAAGGGCACCCCGTTCTCGTGGTTTTGAAGCGCACCCGGTTCTTGTGGATTTTTGAGAGCAACCTGTTCTTGTAGTTCTAAAGGGACACCAAAAGGAAAGCCACCAAGAGGGGGGTTGGAGCCGTGAGCTCAAAACGCCTAAAGCCCCATTGCTCAGGGCAAAAACGCCGGTCGCCGCGCCCGAAACCCGAAACCGCCGCCCTCCCGAAACCCGCGACCGGTGCGCCGGTCGCCGTTGGCGTCCGAGCGCAGGTACGCCACCTCCAAGTGCCGCGTGGGCGGCTCTGCGGGCATCTTCACGGCGGCCGTCATGGAGTACCTGGCCGCGGAGGCGGGGCGGAAGGAAGCGGAAGGAAGCGGTCGGGGTTTGATTCGGGCGCTGAGTTGTTTTTTTAATCCCGAGGGTACCATTTCTCGGGTTGGTTCAAAGGGAAGCCAAAAAGAACACTTCGAAAAGCCTCAATTTTGGGGGGTTCTCCTATGTTGAGAAGCCTCATTTTTTTTTCCGGGCCCAAATGGCAATGAGGTTCAACAGGAAACCCCTTGAAAGTGGGTGTCGAAATTTTTCGGGGGGGGGCTTGTTGAAGATCCGCCTTCGGAATCGCGGGGACCGCCTTTTTGACGTGCTTCGCCGGTCCCGTAGTGTCCCAACAAACTCAAAGGGATATTGGGCCTTTGGGGCCTCGCGGCTGAGGACCCGACTTTAGGTGTTGGATGGGACCCGGAAGCTGCCCTCAATGGATACTTGCCTGACAATGTTTCAGGGATCTCCCATGTTGCGGAACAAGTGCACTTCTGCGAGGGTTCACCTCCTTTTTAGCCTCCATTTTAGCGGATGTCATGGGGTGCTTCTCCCTCGCCCCTCCCGGACAGCGCTAAGGCCCTGCAAAAGGCCCCAAGGACAACACTCAAAGTGTTCGTTCTTGAGACCCTAAAGAAGGCCATCCGAGACACCTCCAACCCGGCCCCGAACCACCCATGAGAAGAAGCGCAGGCTGATTTCGTGTGGGGGGCGCTGTGGTGACCAACTTGAAAAAGGGAAAAACATCTCAAAGCGGTAGACCCCCCTCATTCACTTAGTTTTGTTCGCTTTAGTTGTTCTGTCAACCAGCCCCAAACAAGGGTAGCAACTCAATAAAAGACACACGCCCCAATGTCGGCAGCCCGAAAACGCTGCACAGATTCGCCTGTGAGGTGCTGGAACTGGCCGGGAACGTGTGCGCGGACCGCGCATGCCGTTGGGAGATGGCTGTGAACCCCTCAAACTTGGTTGGGCAATCCCCATTGAAATGCAGTCCATCAAGGGAAGTTTCGTTTGGTTTCCCTTAACCCCTCAGGTTTTATATGTGCACGATATATATATATATATAATACACAGTATACATACATAAATATCAGCAGTTCCTTAAGTGGTGGTTCCCTTAAATACATCACGCCCAGGTGTGTCAACACCAGAACTCGAGAACCCCTCCCAAAGATTGCAATGAGTCCAATGTGAGCTGCAAGTTTGCTTGCTTCCGTCAACTGATTGACCCATGGGTGGCTCGTATTTGTTTCTGGGTACCCCATTTTTGTTTGATGGTTGTAAAAAGGAAACCAAGAGGACACAACCCCCTTTTTGAGGGGGTCCCCAAAAAAGACAACCTCCCCCGGTGTCCGTTTGTTCTAAGGGTTGATTCCCCATTCTTTCCAACCATCGTTCTTTTCGATAACCGGCCGTTTCCCTAAGTTTCCGGAGGTTTTCTAGAAAGAAGGACCCCTGGCAAGAATGGGGAAGGTAGCACTAGACTTGTAGGTGGGTGAAACGGGGTTAGGAAGCCAATGGGATGATTCTCTCAAAACGTTGGTGTGGAACGTCTCAGCTCGGTTTGGGTTCATTTCCCGAACGATATGGCCATGGGTCAAAACCAATGGTACCATTTTTGGGGTAGGTGCACCACCCATTTTAGTCTATTTTAGTAGGGAATTGGGATGTTCACTGGGGGTACGGGCTTTTGACCCATGGCTATATGAGGTTCGGTCAAACTTACTGGCAGTCTATGGATAGTTTGGGAAGGATATGAAAACCAGGCGACGAGCCCCAATCTTTCCATGCGCTGAAGTGGACACTATCATACTTTTGGCCGTGGTTCATGCAGAAGCTGGGGTGTGCGTTGGTGCCCTTGTTTTGGTTTACGAGGTTCACCCACATGTGGCTCAAAATCAAACCAGCAGGGGCAAACTGCAGGTTTCGGTCCGTTCCACTTACCGATCGGGCAAGCCATTTTGGAATTCCGGTTTTTGGAGCCACAGCCCCCGTTTTCCTTTTTACTCTTGGATGGGTCCAACTGCCGAGCCATAGGACTACCACTTGAAGCGCATCACGCCCCGGCACTTGCAGATCGCCATCCGGGGCGATGAGGAGCTCGCCAACCTCGTGAAGGCGATCTGGATGGAAAGCATTCTTCCATGTGGCCGCAATGAATATTCTTGTTGTTTATTTCTCCTGTTGGTTTTAAAGGGACTCGGTTTATCACTGCTGGACTTTTTTTATTATAATTTCTCCAGGGATCTTATCCAAATAGAAGATTTGGCTTTGTCGCCTTTTTTTGGGGGGAGTTGGGACCCTCGCTCCCACGTTGCCATGGAGCCGGGGAAATGGTCCCCACAAGAGAAACATGATCTTCCAGGTACACTCCAAGCCGAAGGGAGGGTGCCCTTTTTGGGGTAGGTTTTTAGGGGAGTCAAATAGGAAAACAACCAGCAACTTGGGGAGTCCAAGTTTCCGTTCTGACGCATACGCCACATGCGCAAACCGCATCTCCGGTGGTTGCTTTTGGTTTCTCTTGAACCCCGAAGAGTATCCTGCTAAAGCATGAACATATGCAATCTGACTGTCTTTTAGTGTATGACGTGAACCCCTGACTAAAACAGGGTTGGGGTTTGACATGGAATCCAGGTTTGTGCAACTGTACCCTGAACAAGTTGCGTTTTTTCGAGGGGATTGAAGATTGGACGCCCAACATATATTGGGGACAACCCATTTCAAAGGATATTCTCCTGGTGATTTTCATGGAACCCCAAAAGAACCCCCTCAATTTCAGGGATCGGATGGTTCACCAAGGGGAGAGGGCCTTTCGGAACGCCTTCCCTTCGGCTTCCGCGGCTTAACGGTGCGCCCTCAAGAAGACCCGCGGACCCGCGTAATTACACGTGTCTCTTGCATGCTTGGTCCGCGCGCTTCGAGTGCGGACCGATGTTTTGTTGTTTTTTTTTGGCGAGGCAACGATTGCCGGGGGCGGTGTGGTGCCGAACATCAACCGGAACTTGTTTCCGAACATCCGTCTCAGAGAGGAGGAGCTGTACAAGGCCGCGTTTGAGCGACTAGAGAGGAGAGAGAGGAAGATAAGACCACCCCGAATGGAAAAGTGTGTGTGTGTATATCTATAACTATATGTGTATGTGTATGTGTATGTGTGTGTGTCTTTGTCACTTTCTTTTGGCGGGTATCGTTTTTTGCGGGTTTGGTTTTAGGGGAAACCAACAGGACACCGTTGCCAGCTAGTTTTTTTCTGGGGGGGAGCAGGTTCCCCTGTTTGAAGACAAACCCAACTGGGGGAGGAAGGGTGACCCCTCAAATTCAGGGTGACTAGAACAAAAACACCGAAGATTTGTTCAATGTTGACCTCGGATGATGGAGTGTGTCGCCAAAATGTGAAGCCTCTCTCCTCTCCAAAACGAGACAATTTCTGCTAAGTTATCTGGGGTTATTCATCCTGCGTGCCCGCTGCAAGCACAAGGCGTTACTGGAAACACACGGCATGACACGAAACGACACGACCCAACCACGACACGCCACGGGACACCACGGGATACCACGGGACACGACGCGACGACGCGACGCGACACAAGTAAAGCCCTCGTTGATGCGGGCTAGTCAGTGGCAGTCCCAACCAGAAATTTGTTGAAGCCGCCCTTTTGAACATGAATTGGGGTAGACTCATGTAGTGCAGGGGATAGATTGTGACTCACCTGAGAAACAGCCTCTGTCGTTGGCTGGCAAAGGGCGACGTGTGAGCAAGCCCAGCGATGACACTTGATTGATTGTTGCCGAGGAGCTTGGATACTTCAAGCATGGCAACTCAACCAGAGAAGCAGAACGCGTTTCTGGCAACTAGAGGTGACCTAGTCAATTAAGCTGGGATGCTGAGCTCAATGGGAATCTGACTAAGTAACGACTGTGGGGAGCTCCGCAGATGTCTCGATTGGCAAGGGATCCGTGAGGACTCGGGGGCTCTCTGGATAGCTCTTTCAAAAGCAGCAAACAGGACTTTGGCAAGAGCAGGATCCAAATACCTAAATATCTACATATCCAAAGAATCCGTTTTATCTAATTAATGTCTATTTTATTTTTGAAGGATCCAACTATCTGAGCTGTGGTGATTCCTCACCTTGGAACCCACCAGAGGGTCCCTGATCATCCCAACCGCATGGGACCCCCAAGCCCAGAGGAGTTAGCATACTCAAAAGACCACCCATGTGGTTGGCTATGAAATGTGGAACCTCGAACCTTCGGGTTCTTCACCTTGGAACCCCGGAACTCCTCAAGATCAACAAGCAAAACAAGTAAACAAGTTAGTTGATATCAACCGGAGTATTTTTCAAAAGAAAGAACAAAAAAAGGAAAAAGGAAAAACATAACAATCAATAAATGAATAAGTAAATCAGGGAAAGACTTATGTGAAACTACAACCATGGTTCGTGGCCCCGAAGGGTTAACCGTTTATTCCCGGGTTCTTTTGTGCAAGCGAGACAACCATTGCAACTGAGCGGATGTGCCATTTTTTTCAGCGGGACCCCCGAAAACGGTGGCTTTGCTGTTGGTTTCTCCCTTAAAGCCGCAAAAAGGGGGACTCTCCCGAAAGAGGCACTTTCCCAGTTGTATCCGGCTCAGACCAAGCCGTCCACCCGCCGGTCTCGGCACGTGGACCCTGGACAGGAGTCAGGCGGGAAATAAAGAGCCGACCGGGTGTGATATATCCTATTGAGTTGGTATTCTTGGGCTGGGATGCGCTTCAAATACTTGTATTTCAGCATCATGAAAACTATTACACTCCCTCACACAAACATGGAAGCTCCCAGAAGGCCGATCCTGTAAATGGGAACCAAGTCTTCCATTTCGGGGTCCTGGGAGCTTCCATGGTCAGCAAGAGGGTATAACATCGCCACAGCACATGTGTATTTCACTTGCGTAGGCCAGGCGGATTCGCGGAAAGCGGGCCAGTTAGCAAGCCAGCAATTTTTCAGGGGGGCACTTAGCAAGTTGACAAGGTGCAAGAAGATCAGAACGGCACAACTGAATCTGTCTCTCAATCATACCCGCTATCATGCACTGCCGATGCCTCAGCTGAGACACTGCTCCACTTGTGGGGTTATCTCCGAATTGGGCTACCCAGAGCAGCAAATTACTCAAGTCCCAGTTACCCACCCCACGGAAGCTGTGCAAAGCCGCCCAGTGCTGGGCAAGGTTGACCGGAAAGCCCAGCGACGCATGTCTTTGCATCACGTCAAGCTGACGGGGCTTGGAACAAAAAGGACTCATTCAGCCTTTGCATTTGGGGCAAACCGGGGCATTCAAGCCGTCACGCATGGATGTCCAATCGTCATAGCAGCAACCACGGAAACTGGCGCAGCGATGTAGCCGGAGAAAACTGAAGCGCGTAGCCACGGCTGTTGCCGTTGTGTGGTCCTGGATTCTTGAGAGAAAACCCGCGTTGCTTTTGTTCCCCAATAATAATATGACTTCAATGACTTCAAAGAGCCTGTGTTCCACAGAGAATTTGTGAAATTTCTTGAGATTCAAGTGACATTAAATGCGGCGTTGTCGGCTGAAACACCACGCCCAAGGTTGTCTTTTTAGAGGTTGTTTGAGGGTTCCCTCGTTTTTCTCCCGCAGCACAAATGTAACAACCGGCCCTCAGGTTGCATCAACAAAAGGGAGTCTGCCCCCCCCCCCCCCCCCAAGCACTGTATATATATGAGCATCCCAACAAATCATCGGACTTGACTTGGTGGCCATGGTGGCCCTTAGCTTTTGAGCCTTGTGTTTAGTGGTTTCCATTTAACCCACTAAAAGTTCGTCGCTTTTGGTAGGGGATCAGAGACGGGCAGCCCAGAGGTGCCCAGGTGCCCAGGGAAGCGGCTTCGAGATGCCGCCAGGTACGCGCCAGATGTCGCCCAGGACGTCGCCCCTGGCGTCCTCCACGCCTGCCGGGGAGTATTGATCGGGCGAGTGGATCGCTGGCTTCTTATGGCCGGGACGCACCCGGAGGCGCTGAAGTCATGTAAACCACCGACTTGAAGAAAGCATGGGCCCACTTGCTTCAGATGTTTGTATTGTTGGTTTCAAGTAGCAAACAACGAAGCAACACATTTGGCGCCAGCTTCCTTTTGCTCTGTCCTGGAGCCGAAAAACGTCCATTTCCGTCCCGCGCTCTCTCCGGGGTGTCCTCAGGCCGGGCACAGGATTACTTGTGCGGTGTACACGTTTCATCCTTTCGAATTTATCGGCGGCTGCAGCCGCCAAATGCCGCGTCACGCCTCCCGAAAAAGGATTGAAGTTCGAGCGCTTGACGGGGCCACGGCGAAGCATGGGGTGGGGCTTGTTTGATTGGGCAAGCCGTGGGCATCTTTCCCTTGGGCCATTCCAAAATGAGCGTTTTTCTGGGGGGGGGGGGCCAGCCCAAAGCTTCGGGCTTCTTCGGAATCTACGCCTGGCATGTCTCAAGGTGGCGCACAGAGAGGCGCCGGCATTGAAAGAATTCATGGGAGTTGCTTCAGGGAAAGAAGAGATCACCCCATTTCAGGCCATTGGAACGCGCAAAGTGCGTTACGTGCCACGTGGACCTTTCGTAGCATGGATGCAGCCTTCCCAGGAACCCTTTGTTGCCCGCCCTTCGAGAGTTCCTTGCAAAAGGCGGATGTGTTTGAGTAAGGGGAAAGGCGCCGCAACTAGGTTCCCCAGTAGTGCCCTTTTACCCTTTTTTGGGGGAGGGTCCCCTACTAAAATAGACTACAGAAAAAAGGGTACCCGTATCTCTCTACTGGAGGACCTGGGCAATGTGTTTGTGTGCACTTGGGCGAACGAGACAACTAGAAAGGCAGCAACAAAGGGCAGGGCTACCCAGACACAGCCAACCAGCATGTAGCTTACGAAAATCTCGCGCCCATTGCCGCAATGCAGCGAATACGGAGGGCCGGGAGCTCAACGCGTTAGCGTTAGCTCGGCTCAGGTTTTGTGTTTGGTCCAATGTCCCAACAATTTTTATGAGAATGTGTCGTGTTTTGAGGGTACCCTGTTTGGGTTGGTAGGGAAATTAGAAGGTAACCCAACATTTTGGGGGTTCCCCTATTTTGAGTCAACCCCATGGATGTCTTGGAATTTGGGAAGCCCCAACACAATCAAAAAGGGGGTTTCCCTAAAATGCAGACACGCTCACACATGGGGCCAGGTGCTTGAGAAGCAGGTGGTTTTGGGATGTGTCTTGTCAGGATGTTTGTCTTTATGGTTTCTAGGTCCCCCAGTAGTGCCCTTTTACCCTTTGTTGGGGGAGGGGAAACCCCTACTAAAATAGACTACAGCAAAAGGGAGCCCCTATTCTAACCTCTCTACTGGAGGACCAAACGGTTTCCTTTTTACCAGGCCGCCCGAAAGCCAGAAGCCGAAGCGTCGGGATCTGATACCCGTAGGAGGCCAGTTTTGTTTTTGGGGCTGTTGGTTTCCACCCACTTCATCGACACCAGGGGTATCCATCAGCCCCTTGAGCTTGGGGGTTTGTAGTGGGTGCTGAGATTGGGTGTGTCTTTCTTTGGGGGCAATGGCCACTTTTTGGATGTTTTTTTTTGGAAACCAAGAGGACACCCATTTGCATGTTGGGGCCACCTGGGAATTCGCTGATTCGTTTGGGGGGGTGGAAAGCATTCCACCCCTTTCCAGGAGCTTCCACATCGTTCATGCCACAGGGTTTTCCCCGCCGAAAATGGGAAAAACTGTCTTCAATAGACGTTGGGTCTGTGGTCTGTTTGGGCTCGGCCGCCTGGGGAAACCAAGCCCGACGTCCTTGTCGGGAATCAAATCCTACGACAGCCGCACCGCAAGGAGTGGTCAGGTTTGAGTGAAGCTCACCGAGAAAGGACCATCCCGCTGAACTTGCGCGACCGGGAGGACGGGTCCTTTCCGGGCCGCGGATGTCGCCGCCATTTCGCCGCAGGATGAAAAAAGGGGATACTGAAAAGGGGATCCCCCTCACTTTGGACAAAAAGCCACGGAAACGCCACCAGAGGTTTCTTTTTAAAAAGGATGCCAGCTGTATTCAGGTCCCCCCTAAACCCTAAACCAAAAACTGGACCCGGTACAATGGTTTTCTGGTTTGGATTTCCAAGACGCCAAGTTTGAAAGATACCAAAGGGGTCCGGGCTCGACAGAAAACTTTCTGGTGACATGAAAGCTTGAGGCGTTAAACCGCGCACGGCTTAGAGCTCACGTTCCCGATATTTCCTCTGGTAGCTTGACCTGGGCCAATTTAAAGTGAGCTTCCCATTTTGGTACGACGTTTAAAGGGGGAAATCTACGGACCCCGAGATCAGCCACGTCTCTTTTCCGCATTTTCCCCTATGTCGTGGAAGCGGCTTCTTCTGTGTTTTTTTGTTTGGTGTGTGTGTTTTTGCGATTTATCTCTCAGGAGGTAACGGGCTACTGTGACAACACGGTGGTGACCTCCAAGTACACGATCTTCAACTTCGCCTCGAGCTTAGACCTTTTTCCCCCGATCGCAGGCCGAGCCACGCGTGCGGCGGTTGGATGCGGCGCGATGCCACGCGCAAGCTGACGTAACCTCCATTTGCTTAAGAATATGTCTTGTTTTCCCCTGTTGGTTGTAAAGGGAATCTATTGCTACTGGAAATATTTTCATTTTTTCCAGGGGTCTTAACCAAATGGAAGATAAGCTAGAACGGATGGAGTTTCCTTTCTGGTTCTTCTCAGAGCTTAGGGTGCACCTGGCATTCCGGGATTCCATCCATAGGACACGCCTCCGCGTTTTTTTTTTGCTTTGGCTTTGTGTCGAGGTGCCCAAAAATGTGTGGGAGCAGCTGCACAAAGCGGCCAACAGCTACTTCCTCCTGATTTCCGTGATCATGTTCCTTGGCAGCTTGGCAAGTCGAACCAGATCAAGCACAGATTGCACCGGGGATTCTGAATAATACGTCTCCCTTTTTCAGGTGGTGCAATTCTGGCTTCGCATTTTAACCCCGGGCCTCAAAAGTGGTGGGGATGCAAGGTCCCATCTAAATGATGTCCACCAAAAACTCCCGGATGAAAACTCACATCCACATGGGTGTGAATGTTTAATTGGGACCCCCTTGAACATCATGTCCGCGGGGATTTATGTCCAAGAGCACACTTTCGAGGGGGGTTCCCTCGTTGGTCATCTCCCCTTTGTGCCAAAAACTTTTGGGGATCTTTGTGGCGAGGGTCTCCATCGTAAGGCTCTGGGCTTTGGGGGCAGCTTCCAGGGAGGGTTCCAGAAGGGTTCCGGGCTGTTGGGGATTCCACCTCTCCGTCGTCTGTTTTTTGTCCCGGGTACCCGGCTTTGAGGTGGTGTTCAAGGAAACCACCGGGAACACCGGTCTGTTCTGACACACACACACATGCACACAGACAGACACAAGTGACACACATGAAGAGGGACAAAGACACAGCGGCCGTGTTGTTTTTTGTTGCGTTCTCGAGCTCCCAACCTTTCTTTTGGACGTAGGTTGTGGGGTTGGCTGCAGGGTCCTTGGATCCATCCAATGTTGCGCCAAGTCTCAAGCACGGCTTTTTTGAAACACACTTTGCAACCAGCCCGCGAAAACTGCGGTTGAAACTGAAGGCAGCACTCTCTTTCAAGAAAGTCGCCAAGCTGTATTTTACTTATATTCTACCGCACCTGCTTGTGTTGATGGCACGAGTGGGAAAGGAGGCCTTTCATGGCAGCAGGCAACTACACTCCGCTCTTCCATGGCTTCATCCAGTTCTACTCCACCTTCCTGGCCTTGCTCATCATGATGACGGCCAGCGCCGTCATCGCAGCCTTGGACGACAAGCGGCGCCACGAGGCGGATAAGAAGACCAACAGCCAGACCGCGCATCGGATTCTGCTGACGGACACCTGCAGCTCGGAAGATGTGAGGCGCGAAAGGGGCAAAAGTTGGTTTTCAACGGCGCTCCAAAGTTTTGTTCGTGACCCTTCACAAAGACATATGGGTGAAATCAGGGGCGCACTTTTGAAAGAAATCCCACGTGCTGTTTTCGGTACATTTGCTACCGCTGTTCCACAAGGCGGGGATTCCAGGTGTTTGTTTGTATGCCTTTATGTTTAGACCTCCGTCTTTGAGTGTACCCCCTGTTTAGGTTTACCTGAGTGGACACCAACAACTGCAAAACGCAGCACATTCTTGGGGTCTTCCCCCCGCCAAAAAAAAAGAAGAAGAAGACCAGAAGAAGAAGAAAAGCAAACAAACACACACAGGAAAAGTCTGGTGCAGAATGTATCCGCCCTTGTTGGCATCCCTCCAGGTGGGCGGACGTGGTGGTGGGGGACATTTTGATCATCGAGGGCGAGGGCGAGTTCCCGGCGGACCTGGTGGTCTTGGCCTCCTCCTCGGAGGCAAGAGATGGGGTCAGGGCTAGGGCTCGAAATCGGAGGGCGCCCTTCTTCTTTTATGGTTTTCTTTTGTGTGTGTTTCTTTTTTTTGGGGGGGGGGGCGGTGCTTCCTTTTTGGCATTCTTTTTTGTTTTGAATGTGTTTTCTTCTTTTTTTTCTGTGGGGGGGGGGGTCTTCCTTGTTAATGTTCCTCTAAAAACCACAAAAGGATACCGAGACTCAAGAAGCCAAGTACAGCGACTATGGCCTCTTTTTGAGTTGGTACTCTTTTTGGGTTTTGTAAACACCCAAAGGAAGCAAGGTTAGGGATTCCTCTGTCAGACAGGTGCTGTCGTCAAGACTTAGTTGTGCACGGGGTGAGATGGATGGGCACCATCGGAATGTAGATCTTCGTAAGTTTTTTAAAAGTACCGTTTGAAAGCAAACAAATGGGAAGGTAGTCTCTAACCAAACCAAACCAAACCACCAAGCCCCCCAACACCAGGTTCCTCTGGGAACGGATTGAAATTCAGAATTCCTTCTGCTTGTCTGGGAGGGAGCCCCACCCCGAAGAAAAACTTGGATACCATACCCCACCTACATCTCTGCATAATGAAATGGTGGCTCGATGCTCCAAATGCTCTCGTTGGGAACAAAGTTAGTGGGAGGGCGGTTGGTCCCCAAAATGTGTCAAACTACGTGGACCTCAACCATGGCGGTCGTGTTCCCTTCAAACCAGCCTTAAATAGGGTACCAACTCAAAATCAGACACGCCCCTTTTGTGCCGCGGTGAAACTTTCGTCATGGTCATCCCTAAACATCTCCCCTGTCAATGGAGAATTGAGTTACTGGGATGCCTGTTTATTGGTATCACTGCACAGAAGTGGCTCAGAAGTGGACAATTCTAATAGGATCTGCCTGGAAGCTGGAGGTATATGTTCTTGGCTGGAGGGGTTCCCTTATTTCCCCTTTGGGAACTCTAGTTGATCTTGATTTACTGTTTTTTTTTCGGGGATTGGAGTCTCATTGCAACTTTTCTGAAGCTTCCGTGGTTTCCAGTCTGAAAGTCACAGCCATTCTGCCCATGTCCGAATTCCCACTTGGGATAACTTTGGAGGTTTCCTTTGAACCAAACTGAAAATGGTACCTCAAAAACAACGAACCCAACCCAACCAACCCAACCAACCCAAAGAATAAAACATAAACAAAAAACAATCCAACATCAAACCCAACCAACCCCCGAAATGCCAAAACAACCTATTCAGCCAAATAATCCGAACCGACCCAATTGACCCGACCAAGCCGACCAAGCCGACCAAGCCAACCAAGCCAACGAAGCCAAAAGGGGCAAACACCTACCCCACAAAACTTCCCCTTCGCAAAGAAAAAGGCAAACACACAACCAACCAACCAACCAACCAACCCAGCCAGCCAGCCAGCCAACCAAACAACCAACCAACCAAACAAACAAACAAACAAATTCAAACAAACAAACAAACACCCCCCCTTCCCTACCAAAAAAACACAACAACAAAGCAGAATAAAGACAAACAACAAAACAAGTCAAACAAACAAAAAAAAACACAAAACAAAAAACACACCAAGCAAGAAGCCAAAAAAAAGCAAAAACAATCAAACAAACAACTAAAACAGCGGGAGGCGGGGGGGTGCTACGTGTACACGGCCAACCTGGACGGTGAGAGCAACCTCAAGCTCAAGGAGTCCACTGCCTGCACCCACCAGGCGCGAGACGGCGCGTGGTCCTGAACTGCCTATTGGGTAACGGATCTTTAGGCTTTAACTTTTTGGTTGAAATGAAGGGGGTTACACTAAACTCACAAAAATGTGTTCACTTTTTGCAGAGGGGTCAACAGCAACAAAGGCTCCGTTTGTTTTTTTCTTATAGACATCCAGTAAACAAAAAGAGATTCATAGGTTGAGTGATGGTTTCCGTTCTTTTTTGTTAATACAACCAAAAAAAGGTTTCATGGAAGTTGATGTTTCTTTCTTCCTGTTTTTTGAGGGTATGTTATCTCTCATATAAATCCAATAAACAAATTGATTCATAGGTTCATTGATGGCTTTCTCTGGTTTTCTGTTGAGGGGCACTACTTAAAAAAAAATAAAAAAAATGTTTTTTTTGTTTTTGTGCGGGTTGGTTTGAAAGGAAAACCGAAAGGGAAAACAAACCATTTGAGACACACCCGTATGGTTTTTGTCTTTTGAGCGGCAGATTCGAAGGACAAACACACACACACACGCAGCCATTCGACTGGGGAATCTTGGTGGCTCCCGGCCATCCCCTGAGCTTTTCACCTTTTTGGTTTAGTGGGGACTTTTTGTAAAACCCCACTAAAAGTTAAACTGTTAGCAGGGCATCAGAAAGCGGACATCCCAGTGGTAAAACCCTTTGGGTAAGGGGGGGGGGTGCTTGACGAGGTCCAAACCAAGAACGAGCTTCGGGCCTGGCAACCCGCTTGGGCTTCTTTGTGCGGCTCCGGTTTCATGGAATCGGATGGTACGCCCGCCTTTCACCAGCCGGCTCGCTCTTTTTCTGTGTCCATTTGCACCTTTTTCTGGCCAGACTAAAGGGAGTTGCCCCAAACTGGGTACCCTCAGAAAAACAGAAATGAACAAATATCTCCCCTTTGGCCAGCCAAACGAGGCTCGGCAAGCTTCAAGACCCGCACCATGTTGGACCTGGTTGGTTTCAAACGGAAACCAAAAGCAGAATGACCAAACCTCCAACTAAGGGCTTACCTGATGATAGAAACCAGCTACGGCATTCTGTTCTTTAAGAAATAGGCCAAATGCTCAACAAATTGGTTGCCCTGGAACCAGACACACCCATTTTCTTCGGGTCAAATGCTCCAGGAAACCCCTGACTTTGGAGGGGATTTGGCTTAGAATTTCCCGTAGAATTTCCTGCTGGTTTCTATGAGTCTCGAAAAACGAAAAATCCACCGCGAGGCGCTGTGTGGCAACGCGGGCACGGACCGCCCGCTGCTGGACCAGGCGGTAGCACGGCTCAGAAGTTTGGAGGGCGAGGCGCCGCTGGAAAGGGGCCGGACGTTGGACGTGCTCGCCCTGTGGGCGGTGTTCGTTACCAAAGACGGTGTTATGTATTTATTATCGTGTTATTTTTATATGTATCTTTGTTGTATGTATTGATTTATTCATTTGTTAGCTCATTTACGTATTTACTTATTTGTTTATTATTATTGTTGATCCATCAATTCATTTATTCATTTATTCATTTATTCATTATTTTCTATCACATATTTACTCATTAATACCCATTTAGGTACAGTTCATATGTTGAATTAACTTCTTCATTGATGCATGCATTTACCTGTTGGTTTATTTATTTTTTAGGCATTATGTTGTTGCGTTGCTTATTTGTCATAATTTCGTGCATTGCTGTTTAAATGCATTATAATATACTTATTTAGTTATTCATTGAGTTGTCCATTTGCTTATGTATGTATTTTTGTTTATTTGTGTACTTTGTTTGTTTTGTATTCATGTATTTATTCACTTATGTTCATTTATTGTTTATTTGGTTTTATTCATTCACTTACGTAGTTACTTGTTTATTTGCTTATTTATTTATGCATTTATTGATCTATGTGTTTTGTGTTTGTTTGTGTTTTTCATTCATTCATTTATGTTTGTGTTCATAGATTCATTCATGTAGTGTAGTGATTTATGTTGTCACTTATGTATGTATGTGTTGATGTTTAATTGTTTGTAGTTGCTTCTTTGATTTATTGATTCATTCATTTGTTCGTTCCTTCATTCATTCGTTCGTTCGTTCATTAATTCATTACTTCCATTCCATTCATTCTATTTCTTTCCATGCCACTCCTTGCCATTTCACCCCATTCCATTCCATCCCGGCTTGGCAGGTGGTGGCGGAGCCGCCCAAGAAGTCCATCCACAGCTTCAAGGGTTTCATAGAGATGGGCTCCTCAAAGGAGCCTCTGGAGGCAGGTGGTGGGAGGGGTGGCACCCGGCCGTGGGTGAGGCGGCCGTTTTTGGTTGGGGTTTGTTTTTGCTCGTTGTTTGTCTCTTTTGTTCGACCTACCCCGTTGAACCTGGTTTGCCCGGAAGAAAAAGAGGTAACATGGAGGTCAAGATAACAGGTGTGGGGGGTTAAAAAAACAGTCGCTGCCCTGCAAAAACGATCGAGCACCCCACGGAAATTCAGAGAAGGAGCTCAAAACGTGGTACAGCAGGAGATTCCTCTATGGGTGGGTCATTTTTGAGCGTGCCCAACTGGTTTGGTTTGGGCCCAAATCCCTGAAAGATGTTAGCGTTGGGGATGAAAACCCGTTCGAGCTAAGGGGGGGATACAACAAAATCCAGCGTGTTGTTACCACAGCAGGCTATGAATTTCAAAACGGAACTTGCCTCCCCCTCAAATATGGTTTGACCTGAATATACGCCGCTTTCTGCCCGCCAGCTTGGGTCGCTTGCAAGTCATACATACCGTCAGCCAAAGTGCCAATCCTTTTTCCCATGGAAATCTATAGGACTCTTGAGATGGCCCACTTTCAGGAACACTCTGATTGGTGGTTTGGGAGTGGTGGTTCGGATTTGGATTTGAACCCTGGCTCTTGTAGAAAATTAATGGGGCTTCCCACCCCCTAACCTCCAAACCACGAAACTGCAGGGAAGCTGACACTTTTATCCACAGTACCAAGGTCGGGTTTAATGCCACGTGCCACGAATCTAGCTGGCTCTCAGTAGGGAACAACATTCCGGGTTTTGAAATTGAGCCATTTCGGGATTCCCTTCAAAGAAAGCCAACTCGGGGATCGTCTTTTGGCACTCATTTCAACTCATTCCCTTCCTATTGCACCAAGGTTCGGGGCCAATCGGTTGGACGTTTTATCCTCTGCCTCGTAACTCATGCCCTGCCGATCGCGCCGCCGCGTGCGCCCTGAAGAATCGCTTCAGGCAAAGAACCTCCTGCTGCGCGGCACGGTGCTGAAGAACACCTCCTGGATCATAGGGCTGGTGGTCTACACCGGCCAGGACCTCCCCTGCGGGTGACTGGGGGTTCGGAAATTCGGGGTCTTCGTCCCGTAGACCGGAACGGGAGAGGGAGAGGTGCCCCGCACGGTGGGTTTTGGTAAAGGGAGTGGGCGCCTCGAAACGGCTGGTATCCTTTTGGCGTCCCTTTACCGGCCGAAAAACAGGTGCCATCAAAAGCACACCCCTTTTGAGACACGTTTGGGGTTGTTTGAAGGGGGAACCCACGAAAAGCAACTTCTTTGGGTTCGCTGATGTAAAACGCGCCCATGTGGGTCAAATGAGGAGAATCAACCATGGCGGTGTTGCTTTTCCTTTGGGAGATAGTCCATGTTTCCCTTTTTGGGGGGGTGAGTTCCCTTTTGGTGGGGTGTTGTTGACAGGGAAAGAGAGACGATTTGTGAGGTTCCCGCAGTAGGGAGCCCAATCTTTTTGGATAGTGTAACACTTTCGCGTGTCAACCTTCGGTGGTTTTAAGACCCTCAACCTTTGGGTCGGATTAAGGTGGAGTCCCTCTGACCACTTCATTATTTGTAAGAGGAGGTTGTCAGCCGTTGCCGTTAATACTGCTTTAAGCCAGCAACCAAACCCGGAAAGTCGCTTCCAAGGGGAACACGTCATTATTTGAACAAGGGTACATCAACAGGGCCGTTCAAACCATGATTCAAAACCCAAAAACCAATCATACAGGAAACCAACACCTGTTGTTCTTTCTCGTTTCGTCGGTGAATTGCCCCGCGTTTTGTTTTTTGTGTTGTTTCTCTCACCGATGGCTGCATAGGTTATGGAGTTCTTAAGGGAGGGGGGTGTTACGGGGGGGGGGGGGTAAATTTGAGTAAATGGGCGTGGACTAGGGAGCCTTAGGGAGGCCTAGGGTTCAAATCCTGAATCCAGCTCAGCCCTCATCCTGCTTAGCCGCTTGCCCGCCCACTAAGCTCTTCGCAAAACACTCGGTCCTTTGCGTGTTTTCTAGCAACCCAATTGAAGCTGATTAGTTGTTCTTGGCCCGCTTGCTAGGACTAGGGAGCCCTAGGGAGCCTTAGGGAAGCTTAGGCAAGCTTCGGGAAGCTTAGGGAAGCTTAGGGAAGCCTCGGGAAGGGGAAGGGGGAGCCTTCGGGAAGCTTAGGGAATAGGGTTTTGAGGGGTTCCGAAAAACCCCGGTAAACCCTGTACTTGGGGCTCACTTTGGGGAACTCACTTTGAAAAGCCCTGGTGCCAACGACCTTAAATCTTGGAAGGCTGGGGAGCTTAAGGGAGGCTAAGAATCTTTTAGGGGCCTTTAGGGGTCCTTGGGGAGGGAGCGCTAGGGCTTGCTAAGGAGCTCTTAGGAAGTGCCAGGGAGTCTTGGGGGTTAAAAATTACCCCCCCCCCACTAACGCCCCCCTCCCTTAAGAACTCCATAAATAGGGGTCTTTTTTGCCACCTTTGGTGGAAAAATGATCGACCCCCTTGTAGTGAGGGATTCCTTTTTGAGGGGGTCGCCCATTTTCTCACAAAGGTAACAAAAAAAACCCTGGATGGCTGGCGGAGGACTCCCGGATGGTGAGGAACTCCCGAGCGCCCAAGGCGAAGTACGCCAACATCGAGAAGGTGATCAACAGGTCGCTGGTGGGGGGGGGAGTGGGGGAGGGTGGTCTGTCGTTTCTAAGGTTGGACTACTCAAACTGGCTTCGGATTCAGCTTTCCTTGTGGTTTCCCTGCCGCCAAACAATTGGGTGGTTCCCTCCAAATAGACGAGACATCCCCGGGTCTGTCGTTCAGGAACTCCCCAAAGTGGAGCACCGGCTTTCCTTGGGGGTTCTTGGTAGTTTCTCAGTTTTTGTTTTGACTTGGAGACCCCTCAAACAGGTTATGTACGTTATGTAGGTGTCCCTTGACGGGTGGTTTGGGTTGCTGTTTTGGATTTGAACCCATGGTGCTTGTGTCCTCCGGACAGGTTGCACGGCTCGGGAATTGCGGGCTGTCCAACTCCACTGGAGCAATGAGGGGACCCTTTGGGCCCAAAAGAACTTGTTTTGAGGCCAGACCAACAGGGCCAACCGACCTTCATTCATCACACACGGAACCTCACAGAATCCCGGTTTGGACCATCTTCTTGTACAGGGGGCCATGTTTTGGCGTGGGTTCCATGGATCCGTGGGTTCCATGGGCATCTCCTCCACCGGGCTTGCGGCGGGAGCCCGGATTATTTCCGAGACCAGGTCCATGCTGGTGGTGGTGGGCGCGCAGTGCCTCATCTCGCTGATCAGCGACATACTTTACGTCTGCACCCGCGAGAGGCGGGGCCCGGCGGGGGGGGGGTCCGGTGGGGGAGGGGGGTTCGTTGCCAATCGGAGGTTTGGCCCTTGGATGGGAACCTCAAGGGTTTGGGGCCAGAACTCAATGGCTTAAATGTTTCTTGTTTGCCCGGGAGGTCGGAAGTTGGGGATGTGCGGAATTTTCTGCTTAGCGGTTTGAAGAAAGACAAGGGTGCGAGTCTGGGGAAAACAATGGAAGCCAAGCAATGGAAACGATGTTGGTTTTGTGCACGGGTGATAAACATGGGAACCGGAGTTGATGAATGCAGATGAACATGGAACCTCAACATCTCTCATTTATAGCATTTCTATTAAAGGGATTTTGCTGCCCACGTCTTTGGTGCGCAACGCACAGCAATCCAAGCCGGACAAAGGGGAAATATTTGGGTAGCCATTGGTGGTTTGGAGTGGGGGATTTGAAGCATCCACCAGTCCGAACCAATTAGAGGGACGCTGTTTTATGGCCCTGAATTTTAATGGGGGACCAACTCAAAAGTGATTGGTGGACATGAATCCCCACCGAATTCTGATGTCCACCAACAAGTCCCACCCTTGTGTCTCCACGGCAATAAGCAGGGGTTTGCGGGTTCCCCCCGAAAACAGAAGTACCAACAGGGGCTGTTTGAACCATTGGTTGAAACATGTTGAAACCCTGGTTGACTCCCCCCCTTATTTCCGCGCGTACGCTTGCTGGGTGGCCTGGAGGTTCTACAACCTCTGGTACCTGTTTCCTGGAGGCCAGTCCCAGTCCATCCTGCTCCCGGAGTGGATCGGCTACTGGCTCACCTTCTTTGTGCCCCTCGGCTCGATCGGAGCGCGGAGCGCTGCGCCTTGCGACGGGCGACGGGCGCGCACGGCGCACACGGCGCGCACGGCGCGCCGGGCTTTCGTGGTTTGTTTGAGGCGCAGGTGACTCAGCAGATCAGGCGACCTCTACTTGGATGGGTGGCTGTCACTCACAAATATCTTCTCACAACAGCGCTGAAAGCCAAGGGTGTCTCTGCCCAGATGGGCTCTAAAAATGGTTTGGAGCAGCTTTCTCTGGGGCTGAGGATATTTTATTTGGGCTTACACGAGGCTCGGGGTGTTCCCCTTCTCAGGTTGGTTCGAAGGGAAAGGACAACCGAAGCGGATTTTGGGGCCCAACGCCCTATTTTTCATTCCCCGCCAGGGCCGCAAGTTTGTCCTTGGTTGGGGCGGGGGGGTGGTGTGTAGGGTCCCTCATCAAAGCTCCCCCGCCTTTTAAAGCGAGAAGGCGAAACAAGAAAACGAAAGCCGCCCGTGCCGAGCTTGAATCGAATCATCGTCCGTGAGGCTCTACTCGAATTTGATGCCCATCTCTTTGTACTTCACCATGGAGGCAGGGCTTGGGGAACGAAGTTTCAGAGCCTTGGACCTCGGGCAGCGGATTTAAATTGACCAGTTTGGAGGGTGAGACGCGGCGACGTAGCACTTCGCGGCGTTCTCAAGAAGCTGGGCGCTGTTTTGGTTGGTTTCAAGGGAAGGCCAAAGAAAACTAAAAAAATGTCTTATGGCCCCCTTTGTTGAGAACCCCTCCCTCCATATGGGGCAACCATGTAGCTCCCCAGTGATGTGCCACCCAGCAGCCGCGGCCGCGCGACATGCAGGTCTGCAATGCTGCTCAGGCCGCCGTTGGGGGCATTGGGGAGGATGTGTGGCAATTGTTTTTTGCTCCAAATGGTTGGTTTCGCGGTTGCACAGTCGCCTATCGTCGGGCCTTGCGATGAAACTTTCAGCAGGTTTCCCTCAGCTGTAGAGGAGTCTCCCCCCCTTCTTGGGTTCCATAGGTTTCCTTGTAAATTCTCAGGGGAGTAGCTTTGATTTTCCGCTTGAACGCCGCCCAAACGCGAGGCTTATGATGGGCAATCAGCCAAAGTTCTATGAATGTCCGAACATTTTTAAAAAAAACATGTTTTTAAAAGAGCACACCATGAGATACAAGCCTAAAATGCAACGAGTTCCCACACGAGTCCAGGCGTACTTCATCAAAAGTGATTTGCAGATGTACGACGAGGCTGGGCTTGGGCCGCAGTCTTGACCCGACTGAAAACAACTCGGGTGCTGATTTGTTTTGGGACTCGGCAGATCCACAAATTTCGGGGAGCTGAACACCCCCTTGAGAAACACGGAAATTAGACTCTGATCCACAAATTGTTTGGGGACTGAACAACTAGAGGGACTCCAAAGATCCGGAAAAAAAGGGGGACCGAACAACCCTTTTTCAACATAGAAATGAGGCCCTGGCTGGGACTCCGATGGCTGCATTGGGAGACTGAACAACCCCTTTTTCAGCATGAGCAATGAGACCTCAACATGGCGGAAGCCTGTCAGCTTTTAGAAAAGAGGGATCCGGTTCCAGGCGTGGGGTCACTCCGAAAAACCTGGAGGTGTCAAAACAAGGGGGACCTTCTTCCAAGAAAAGTATGTTTTTGCTTTTGGTGTCCCATTCAAACCACCCCCAGCCCCTGTAGAAAGACAACTTTCCTCTTGGAAAGGGCCTTTTTGCACTTCCATGTGGGTGTGGCTCAAAATTTAAGAGCCAGGATTACGCAGGGTTTGGTCTTTGTTTCCATTCACCTGGGGGCCATTTTGGGTACGTCTTGTTGAGCCACAGCCATGTTAGTTGGGAGGGTACCAACTCACTGCAAACAAAAAGCGCACCGCACACATCTTCGAAGGTTCAGGACACCGCGGCCAACGCGCGCACCACGCGGCTCGGTGAAACGGCAAGCAGGTAGAGTTTGGCTCGTCGTCGCGTGAGGTGAAACGCGGCATGCGTATGTTTTTGGGTGGTTTTACCGTTGGTTTTCCTTTACTTCCACTTGCTGAAATGAATAGATTTTCTTATTTTCCCCTGTTTGTTTGAAAGGGAATCGATTTCACTACTGGACATATGTTTATGTTTTCCAGGAGTCTTAGCCAAATGGAAGCTTAAAAACACAAGAAACCCTGAAAAGAAAACACACCCTGAGTAAAAGGGGACCCCCTATGTTGGTGGTAGTCCCTTTGATATTTTCCTCTAAGACCACACAAAAAAAAAAAAAACACGGCTACCAACTCGAAAGAAGACGCGAAGGTACCCTTGCCACCATGGCACCTAAGTCCAATTTAGGCCATTTTCCCAGAAACATCTTCCATGTGGAGGCCACAGGTGCCAGGGAATAGATATGGTGCGGGCCAAATAAATACTATTTGGTTTCTCCTACTACTTTTTGCTTTCAACATGGCCCAACCGCATAACTGTTTGGCCCTCGATACAGAATACAGAACGAAGGGATTGGGGAACGGTTCCCGAGAAACCAGCCGGAGAAATGTTCAAGGGACCGGGCGCTTTCCCCCCAGTTGAAAGCTTTGGGGTCGCCCAAGGCTCCGGGGTCCGGGGACCCCGGCCCTGAGGTTTTCGGTTCCACCAGGGTTTCACGGGTAAACCGCGAGCACTAAGCCGCATGCTGTTGGGGATATCACCTGGGCTGATGTTGTTTGCCGGGATTTGTTGACCTTCCTGAAGAACCGCCTTAGTTGGTGGAACCCCTTAGTTGCTGTTGGAATTGGATTTTTGAGTTTCTGGCAAAAGGGGCTTCCCACCGGGCTCCAAACTGGGCTCCAAACCGCTGGTTTCGATGAGGGTTGGGGTTGTCTCACAACATCGGACTCGGAGCCTCAGAATTGGCGGGTTTCGCTTTTGGGTTCTTTTCTAGAACCACCTGAAAACGGGGTACCAAGCCCCACAGCAGGGTACCAGCTCGGAAACTGGACGAACAGAACTCCATGTGAATCATGTCCGGGTCCCCAAAACTTGGTGGCTCCAGGCCATCCGGTTCCTAGCCTGTTAGCTTTTTAATGTTTCGTGGTAGTTTCCATTTCACCCACGAAAAGTTAGTCGCTTTTAGTGGGGGATCAGAAAACGGGCAGCCCAGAAAACCGCTCAAAGAATTGGCGCGCCAACCCCTTGACTTCGCAGCTCAGGAATCTCTGCCACGAGTTGGGCCAGGTCTCCTACGTCTTCTCGGACAAGACCGGCACGTCGGCTCGGCCTCGGTTTTTTCGCCTCGAGGTGAGATTTGGGCCGTAATCTTTTGAGTTGGTCACTGCGGTTAAGGGGTGGTTCTTCACAGACACACACACACAAGTTATTGCTGTGCTTTTTTATTTGGCCACCCCCAAACTCCCTAAAGGTCGAGCACTCAGTGCTCAGAGACCCGGATTCTGCATTTTTTTTGGGGTCGGCATTCTGCCTAGCCGTGGTTATTTGAGCCTGGCCGCGAAAAACGAATTAATCGCCAGGCTAACGCAGAACGTGATGGAGCTGAAGCGGCTCTCGGTGGCAGGCGGATTTCGGGAGGGGGCACATGCCTGACCGGTGTGACGAATGTGGCCGCTCCCCCGTGTTGGAACCTTCGGAAGCAAATGGCCATGGGTCAAAACCCCGTACCCCCAGTGAACATCGGATTCAATCCCCACCAAAATAGACTAAACTGGGTCGTGAATTCACCTATCCGGTTTTGAACCATGGGCCAAATGGCTTTTCCGTTAAGCGTACGAACTGTGAGACCAGGGTGAGATCTGGATGTGCCTTTTTGGTGGAGCTGCCGATTGCGGTTGGCTTGCAAGGGAGCCGCCAAACTGGCCTTGGGTGTTTGAAAAATGCGGACCCTCTTTGTGTGATGATTTGAATGGGCGACCGGAAGGAAGCGACCAGTAGAATAAACAACAATAGTAGCGGTTTCCCTTATACTGGTGTCAATTTGATATCCGGCTATTCTGAACAACCCGTACTGAAAGGACATAGATAGCCAAGTTGCGTGTCCTTTCTTCCAAGCTATTTTCCCTTGCACCAGTCACAGTTGATAGAAAAACTCCAAAACGAACAATCCGCAACTGTGGTATGCCTTCAAAAACGGGGGACCCACAAAAAGGAGTTCGTTTCTCCTTGGGTTTCCCCGGGTGAGAACCAAAAACGGTACCAACTTAATGGGAACCCCGCCGCTTCTTTTTGGCCAGGCGCCATCTATGGCGAGACCGGAGAGGCTCGTTCGCTTCACAGGTCTCCCTGTCGCCCAGGAAAACCTCGGCAAAGAGCAACAATACATATGGAACCATACCCACTTTGAAATGAATTGTGGTGGTCAAAACCGTTTTGGTACCGATCCCATTTTGGGGTAGGTGAATTCACCACCCATTTTAGGCTTCCTATTTTAGTGGTTGGATTGAATCGGAGGTTCACTGGGGGTATCGGTATGGGCCTTTGACCCATGGCCATCTTGCTCCTTCAGGGGGCCTCGGCAAACAGTTGGCTTCCTTTTGCTTTGGCTTCGAAGCAAACGGATGTACAATTTTTCCTGACCACCCGATGGGTGTCCTGAGTTCCCGAACTTTAAAACGTTTTGGCAAGACCATTGGAGTGGTAAACAAAGAGTATCCACTCCAGGGCTGTGGGGAATGGAATCCACTTCTGTGATACAACCGAAATACAACAGAAAGGGCTTCCCAAAGACTATTTTGTTAATATATTCAGGGGGATTCCCTTGTGTCACAGAAGTTGGAGAAACCCCTTGATCCCACCGAGTGGTCAACCACAACCCTGAAATCCACTCAGGATGTGAGACAAGTGGTCGCCGTTCGGTGGGGAAAAACCAGCTCCCAGCGCCGCTGCACCAGGAGCCTGGCTTCCAGGGCAAGCTTGCCATGGCTCGAGCGAGGCGTCCGAGTGGCATGCGCACTGCTTGTTGCTTGCTGCTTGTTGTTTGCTTTTTTCGGTTCCTTGTTTCTTGTTTCCTGTTTGCTTCTTCTTGGTTGGTTGTTTGGTTGGTTGGTAGGTGGGTGGGTAGGTGGGAAGGTGGGTGTTGGTGTTGGTGTTGGCGTTGGTGTTGGTGTTGGTTTTGCTGCTGCTGCTGCTGCTGCTGCTGCTGCTGCTGCTGCTGCTGCTGCTGCTGCTGCTGCTGCTGCTGCTGCTGCTGCTGCTGCTGCTGCTGCTGCTGCTGCTGCTGTCGTTGTCGTCGTCTTTGTTGTCGTCGTCTTCGAAGTCGTTTTCGGTGTAGTTGTTGTTCCCTCTGAACTGACGTTGACGCGCGAACACATCATTCTCTTGTCCAATAGCACCCGTCCTCGCAGGTGCATTTTCGTTGGCAGGTGCGCGGTTTCAACCCCGCCGCAGGATTCGGCAGGCTCCTGGCGGCTGGGTCTTGTGGCCATGGACACTGTGCTGCTGCGGGGTCGCGAAGGGCATTCCGCTCGTGGGGCGCACCCGCTCAGCTGCACATGCCGAAGCACACCCGCTCAGGTGTGCCTGCTCAGAGCTGCACACACGCCTGCCAAATCGCAAGCGCATAGATTGGGGTTATGATTTATGGCTACGGCTTAGCTTATCGAACAAATCATACTGATTGTGATTGTGGCAAGACGAATTCCTGCCTATAGGTGACGGGGTGCCATTTCTGCCAATGCCTGCGATTGCGCAGCCACAACCCAGGGCGGCGCTCGGGCGCATGTCAACGTCGGGCCCGCTCGTTTTTTTCGTTGCTTTTTGCTACTGCTGCCGCTCTGATTGTTGTTTCAGTACCCTCCCACCAGCTAACATGGGTTTGTGCACAGACCCCTGTAGAAAGACTACTTTCCTCTTGGAAAGAGCCTTTTTGCACTTCCATTTGTTGGTTGGTGGGGTAATTGTTTGTTGGTTCCGGCCACTTCTAGCTGGTGCTGGGGGCTTCAGCAAAGAGTCAGATTTGGTGGCTGACAAGCCAGGGGTCGCTGCACAATGCGACCAGTCGCAGCTCCCTCCTGTTTGCCAGCGCCAGTTCCAGCTTCCACTGTGGGCGCATGCGTTTCTCTCTTTTTTCTGAGGTCATCTTTGTTTCGGCTTGTTTTGGGGGGGCCGCCACAGGGAAAAACCACACGCCGCGCATGTTGGGAAGTTACGGAAATCCCGAGCTTCCAGTGCGATGAGGCAGATGAGCGCGGACAAAGCGGCCGCCATCGATGCTGTGCTGGAGGCCGGTCTCACGCCATCCAGAGAACAGGCCGTTCCGAGGGCTCCTAAACGAAGAATTTCGTCACAAAGATAGGAGATGCTTCAGCAGTTTCCCTAAGCCAGGGGCCAAAGTTCATAAAAATCCCTGGCTCAGATCGAATGGGATTGCTCCCTTGGATTTGAATCTGTTGTTCCTCAAGCCAAATGGCCATGGGGATCCCATTTTGGAGTGGATGAACATCCATCTGATTTCCACCGTGTTTTTGATGTTCACCAGGAGAGCGGTTTGACCCACCGCCAAATTGGGGTTAGTGTTCCATTGGCCTTCCAAGCCACCCAGCCAGCCATAAGGCGCCGTAAAGCGCACCAAACAGAAAGCCCCAAGGACCGATCTGAGTTTGGATTGGTCAACGACACATCATCTGTCGAAAAAAGAAAAAGAGGAACCAACATCACTCAGGTGATTAAAGCAAAAAAAAAAAAGACGCTCAGGTGACTAATAATAATCATAAACAAACGGACCATGGGACTTTCAAGCTTTGCCTTTCCTGCTGGTGGGTTTCTTTGTGGCTTCCCTTGACGCTCGAGGAAAGTTCCTTTGCTTCCCTTCCATGTCTGGTTTCCCTGCCTTTGGCAGGAGGTGCAGAGTGGGAGGAACAGGTGAGGTTCGGTCAAAATCTCTGGTCCATGGTCCATTTGCTTCCATTTATATATATATATAGGTTTGGGGCTCCGATACATGGGGGATTTCTCCACACACAGCGGGCAGCGAAATGAACTTTTCCCCGTGTTTTGGGGCAACCCTGCCGTATATTTTTTCGGCATGGCTCAGGTCTTGGCAGTTTCGCACACCGTGGTGTGCACCAAAGACCGAAATGGCAAGCTCAAGTACGAGGCGCGTTTCTCGGCGTTTCGCTGAGCTTGCGAAATGCGCATGGGTCAACAAATGGTGTGTGTTTGTTTGTGGGGGATGCACAAAATGGTGGTTTGTCCTTTTGGTTTCTCTTTAAAACCACAGAAATGGAGGGTATCCTCAAGCAAGACAGACCCACATGGAGGTTGAGAAGCCGAGTTCCAGCTTTCTCCCCATGCTCTACCAAAACACTCGCAGAAGATTGGAAAAACCGAACACGAGTGTACCCTCAAAAAAGACACCCAAGTATGGCCTTGTTTTCCTTTAGGAACCTTCGCTTGAGTGCCGCCGCAGTTGCACTTCCCGTAAAAAGGGGCCCGCTCCCTCTTTCCCCCCGGCCGCCCCCAAATGTCTCATGGGCTGATCGGGGTTTTGCTCCGCCAGCAGAGTTCTCAAATCGAGGCGCGGACCTCGAACGCGCTTCCGCGCGCTTGCCGGTTTTCAGGCGGAGAGCCCCGATGAGTTCGCGCTGGTCGAGGCCGGTGGCTCAGTTGATGCGCAGAAATTCGAACATGGGCGACGTTTTTTTTTTTGGAAGGGACTCCTCCAAAATGGGCCGAGATCGCCAAGTTGCCGGGTTTTTCCAGACACTCATTTAAGCTTTGCCTTGACAACAGTCACGGTTTCCCTGAAAGCCCATAGGGGACTCGCAAGAAAGCAGACCCCCAAGAATGATTCTTCCAGGTTTTTTTATGGTTTCCCCTCCGTCTCTTCCTCGTTTTGAGTGGCAATGTGATAGGTCAAACCACCCTACTGGTCACAAGGGAACCCCCCAAACCTAGCTGAACCCGTTTGAAGAGGCCAAGGCAAGTGGCGTCCACAACGGGATGGACCTTTCCGAATGCGCTGGTTTGCTGTTGGTGAGCCCCTTTCTCCTACCAGAAAAAAAACTTTTCTCAAAACACACGAGCCCACACTTTGGGTCGGCGCGTTGATGTTTCCGGGTTTTGGTTGGTGAGTTGAGCCCCCGGGGTCAGCATTTTGGCCCAGCACGTTGGTTTGCGAAGGAGAAACCGCCACGCCACCTTTCAGGCCCTCAATTGCTGGTTTCGATGGGTTTGGATTGAACCCCACCTCTTGTAGAGTAATAGGACACCGGCAAACCAAGCCCCAAACCTCTTGTAGAGTAACAGGGTCCCTACATTTCCCTTGTGGTTTTAGACGGGGAAATATAGGGAGCCCTGACTGAACCACCAAACCGAAGAGAATCTCCGCCCGCCGCCGGGGCTCGGTCAGGCTATGGCCGGGCTCGGCTGGAGCTTCACCGGGCGCACCAACCAGGGGCTCACCGTGCAGGCGCTCGGTCGCCGCGCGGTTTTCGCACAGCGCGCGGTTTTCCGGCGTTGTTTTTGTTCTTCCCCTATTTTCTTTTCTTCTCCGGTTTCGTGGGCGTCGCGTTTTGATTCTTCTTGTTTTTTTTCCTGCCGCGTTTTCGTGGCGCTTTTTTGTTTGGGGGTTAGTGTTATTTTTCTTTCTTTACTTTTTTCTCCGGGTTTTGTGTTTCGTGGCGCGCCGGTGGATGTTCTTTTTTTCTTCTTTGGGCGCGTCGGCAAAGCACCCGCTAAGGTGAGAAGAGAAGCCGTTCCTTTTGGAGGGGGACGCCTTTCCGCGGTTCTTGGGGGGTCCCTAGGTTGGAATGGGAAAACATCCGTGGGAGCCTGTGGGGGTTTGGGGACATTTGAGGCCATGTCCCTCCCAAACGGATGGGGCCGGGGGGCGGAGGGGCTGGCAGGTGGCGACAGATCCGGGCAGCAGAACCTATGAGCTCTTAGCCTCTGACTTAGTACCTGTTGAGCGCTTGAGGCTTGCCAGCGAGGGGTTTTTTGCCCCCAGCAGCTGTGGCGTTTGTAGGGGTCACCGTGGTTTTCAGGTCCAGAAATGGACAAATGCCATATTTGGGTGTTTGAGGGTACCCCTCTTTTGCCCAGCTGCGACTGTGTTTAGGGTAAGCTGGGCAAAGTGTAATCTTGTTGCCCCCATCAACTGTGGCCGTTTTTTGGGGTTGATTGCGTCTGGTCTAGACAGGTTTTTGCAAGGGAAACCGAGGAGACATCGCATGCCGGCCTTCAGGTGGGGTTTCTCCCCACTTCTGTGATACAAGGGACTCCCCCTTTATATGAAGAAGATAGTCTTTGGGGTTAGGCCCTTTCTGTTGTATCACAGAAGTGGATTCCATTCCCCACAGCCCTGAGCCCGAATGATTGGAAGCGGCCTGTTGGAGGGCGCAGCATATTTTGGTCCCCAGGAGAGCGGCGCTGTCACGGAATATCCCCTCCCCCCATGGAAGCGGAATCGCTTCCAGTTTCGGTGTCCTACATGTCCAGGGCGCAGGTTGGGAGGTTTTCTCCAGGCCCCACGAAACGTGGTTGCTGTCTTTGGACTCTCGATAAAGCCACCAAACACAGGCGTGTTTCCCATGTTGAGAAACCTAGAGATGGGATGTGAAAGGAAGGGAGGCCACAAGGACGCATCACCAATCACCGACCCCCGGATTTTGAGAATCCATGCCCGTGTCAGAGAGGTTTGACGCAAAAAAAGCGCGGAGCCACGGGACAAAACAAATCCGGGGATCTGTGCTCAGGGCCTCAACGCCTTCACTTCCGCGAGGCGGCTGCTTGGGGCAGGGAGAAGGGCAGGGACAGCTGCTGAAGCCAAGCTGTTGTCGTGCCCTTTCAGCAAGCAAGAATCACAGAGAGACAGAGATTTCTGGAATCTTGAGGTGTGCCCTGATTTTTGTTCTCCTGAGATGGATCGCACAGACATGGCCATGGGTCATAACCTGTGCCGATCCCATTTTGGGGCGGATAAACACCCATGTACCACCTATTTTGATGTTCACCAGGGGTAGAGGATTTTGACCCACAGCCACATTTCTAGAGCCTAGAGGTGGTGTTTTGATGTTCTCGCTTTCAGATCCTTTTGTTGGCACAGAGCGACGGATCCAGGAAGCGGCAGTCTGTGGTGGTGCGGCGGCCTTCCGGGGAGGCCGGGAGGAGCCGATGCACGCTCCCAGGATGGACTTTCCGTATCTGGTGGCCTCCATGTTCTCTTGAAACGCCTTGCGGGAGGGTTGTGTGGCCAAAAGAACTGTTTTGGGAACCTGAGGGAGCATGTGGCCTCTCAGCCAACTTTTGGGACGCTACGAAGGGGGGAAGGAGGGGAAGGAGGGGAAGGAGGGGAGGGGGGGAACGAAAGAGGTTTTTTTCCCCGCCAACCAAACCATCCAACGTTTTCGCGGGAAGGGCGGGTTCCGGGCTTCCGTGCCAAAATTCGGGACTCGCGCAGGGCTTTTGTTCGCGGGAAATCTGAAACACCGGGTTTGAATTCAATGAATGATGCTCATGATATTCAACCAATAATTGTTTGTAGTGTAAATAGATCGATTTGCATACCATGTGTGTATCTTATATATACATTATGATATAAATATATATATATGGATAGAAATGTAGATCATAGGGGGGGGAGTGACCATATATATATATACATATATATATATATATATGTATACATCTATATATATGTATATATATATATATATATATATTTATAAGTGGATGGGGGTCCCAGGTGGTGTTGCTCGTCAAGGGTGCGGACGATGTGATGCAGAAGCTCGCGGACCGCAAGCAGCCCTTCCCGGAGGACTGCCCTTCGTTTCGCGCGTTTCTTGCCGCGGCGCGCTCGGCGCGCTCGGCGTTTTTGGCTGGACGCTTTTTTGCAGGGCGCCTGAAAAGATAAAGAAGCCCTGCAAACACAAAAAACATGTAACCCTCTTTTTCTTGCGGCAGAGACATTCTTTTTTTTGCAACCAGTTGAAACATGTTGCTGTTTTCCGCCAAGATAGAGGGAAATCCCACCATTTACAAGGCAATGTTCAGGCGTATAATGTAAGGATCCCTGTTTATTGGGTAACGGATCTTTAGACTTTTTAACTTGTTGGTTGAAATCAAGTTGTGTTTTCCACTCAACCCCCCAAGCAGTTAAACACTTTTTGCAGGGGGCGGGTCGTTCCAGCAACCAAGCTTGTTGGTGTTTGAGAAGGCGAGCCTTCGAATGGGCGCGTTGAATGGACAGGGCAGGGGTGAAAATTGAGGGCTTCGCAATTTGGCGGAGCCATCTTCTTGAGTATGGTTGCTGTTGACCCCGGATGAATGAACCCCTTATTGTTAATATGGGGGTGTCCCTGGTTTTAGCGGGGTATTTCATCACTTTTGGAGGGGCCCCCACCTGGTTGGTAAACATTGCAAAGTTGAGGCACCGGCCACACCCCTCTTCTTGGGGGTTCTGTGGGGGCTTTTTGGGGTATGCGCCTTGGGGCTTGTTGCTGCTCGGGGGGGTTCCTGGGCTTCGTTGCTGTCTGCGGGCTGCGAAGCGGGGCTTCTTGTGTAGAGTTCCTTTCGAACATGCTCGAGATGGGTGGTTTCCAGAAACAGAAAGGAATCAACAAGACACACTGTTCAGCTACAACCTCCAAAGCCAAGGACAGCCAAGGACAATCGCAAACACAGCCAAGCAACCGCTGGGGAACTGTTCAAGACCAGGAGATGGGGGTGGGGCACCGCTTAGTGGAAGTCAGGTACTTTTTTGAGGCGATATTTTATGGATGGGTGGAAGTCGGGAGTTGCAGTCAAAAAAAAAAGGGGAAACGTGAGGAGCCTCTGCAGATCCATCGAAACCAATTCCAAACCGCCAAGCAAGTTCAAATCTCAGTTGGGAATCTCGGAGCCCCGTTGGATGGTTTCAAGATTCAATGCGGCCCGCCAAAGGCTTCAGCTAATCTCAGTTGGGCACCCTCAACATTTTCTTTGGTGGCACGAAAAGCCTGGAAAAGAGTCACATCCAAGTTAGGAATCTCATTTTTTTCTTTGGTCTCAAGAAAGCCTGGCTTTAAGCCACCTGAAGGCATCCGCACGTCTTTTTTCTTCGCTTCCGCTTTCGGTGCGCAGGAGCACTTGCAAGTCTTCGCCAAGCAGGGCTTGCGGACCTTGGTCATGGGCCGCCGGCGCATCTACGAGGAGGAGCTGCGAAGGTGGCAGGCGGGCGGAAGTTTGGTGCGACCTGGGGCCAGTTGGAAGTGACTGGTTGAGGTCCCAGGTACCTTCCAATCGCTGAAACGTAGATTTTTCCCCTGCTGGTTTTAAAGGGAATCTGCTGGAAATATGTTTATTGTTTCCCCAGTAGTGCCCTTTTACCGTTCCTTTTTTGGTTGGGAGGGTTCCCCTACTAAAATAGACTACAGAAAAAAGGTAAAAAAGGGTACCCGTATTCTAACCTCTCTACTGGAGGACCTAGTTGAGGTCCCAGGTATTCTTCCATTTGCTGATTTTTATTATTATTTTTTTAATACATATTATTATGTTCCCCTGCTGGTTTTAAAGGGAAGCCATCACATCTTTTGTAGACTGAACATGGGTCTGTGGCAGAATAGAGTTCCAGGTATTGTTCAGCATCTCCTCTTGGCTTTAAGGACTTGGGCGGGTCGAGTTGGGTGTATGTCAAAATAGGGCCCAGAAACAGGTGGTGTTCCGTTTGGCCTGCCTTTAAACCGGCCTGAACAGGGTTTTCCCCAGCCGCGTTTCGTTTGGTTTGTTTTCAACCACCCCAACCAAGGGTACCCTGAAAAACACTCAGACATATTTTTTCCTCAAATGATTGGTATTTAAAGGGAAACCAAAAGGAAACTAGCCATTCTAGGGGACTGATTTTTACTGTGATTTCCACTTTGAGAAGCACCCTGCTCTTTGCATGTTGCTCAGTCTTTCTTTTTTGGTTTGGTTCTTTTCATTGTTAGTGCGCTGCCAAACAGTTGTCTCTTCTTTTTGCTACCACACCGAGGTTTTGGACGACTCCAATTTGGGCATGGGTCCAAATCAAACGAACTGGGGACCGCATGCGTCCATTTACCAGGGCAACCCGTTATTCTAGGGGCACCTTCTCCATTCTTTCCATACTTGTTGGTTTTTGAAGGACTTCATTACTACTGGACATATTTTTTTTTCCCAGGGATCTTAACCAAATGGACGCAGGGCAACCCATTCTGAGCTTCGGTCCCGCCCTGTTGGTTTGTTTTGGGGGACATCGATAGGCGGACTTCGCGAAAGCCCAGAACTCCATGGAGGACCGGCGGAGGTCTCGCGGGCCGAAAACACATCGAGAACGGCGAGCGCGGCGGAAAAAGACTGTCAGTTGTTTTTTCCCCCCACTGCGTGTCCCCCCTTTGAAACCAACGGAAAGAGACTTCCCTCAAATTTGATATCATTTGTTTGTTTGTTTTGTTTCTATATTTTTGGTTTGTTTGTTTGTGTGTGGGTGTTTTGAGTTGGTCCCCCTTTTCGGGGTTGGTTTACAGGGAAACCAAAGGAACATTTGTTGCTTTTTGTTGCTGCTCAGTGAGCAGATAGTCAAGCATTTGGATTGCCAGTGGGCCTGAGGCAGGTTGTGTTTCTATCACCACGTACAAACATCTACACCCATGTTCACAACCATTCGCAAAATCGTGTACAACTTAATGCGGAAAACAATTTTACATCCATTCACAAAACCAATTGAGTCCATCTACAACCATTTCCATCCCTTCACAAAACCATCTAATAGGCTACTTGCTCCCTGAGTTCCTGGAGGTTCAACTTTGTGAGAAGACCATGTTAGACGTAAACAACAAGTTTGACTTCTTTTGTTGGCCAATCCACTCAGGAAGCGAGTCTATGCCCCTTTTTTCCAAACCACCTGTGGTTTAGGGTTTGGGATCGAAACAGAAGGCAAAAGCGGAAGACAAGTAGGTTGAACCCAAGGTTTGGTCTCGCCCGCGTATTTGAGTTCCAAGCCGAAAAATCAGTGTGGATCTCCGCCCCCAGAATTCTTGATATTTTTTTTGGGAAGACCACTTTGGCACAAGGTTTTGAATCCATTTCCAAGTCAACCAGTTCCAACCGGTTCTCACCACTGCCACCCATTTCTAGCATTTAAACAACCATTTTTTTCGACTCTCGACCGGTTTGAACCATTCTCATCCAGTTCCGTGCACAGAACCATTCCTGTATTGCCGAGTTGAGGCCTTTTTCCTTTTTTCCCGGCGCGATCAAGCCTAAACAACAGGACAACCAGCAGTCGGGGCAGTCAAGATGCCTCTGGCGAGTTTGGCTTTATGGCTTTATGGCTATTTGGCTCTTTGGGCTTTGATGACTTTTTGGGAAAGAATCAGGACATGGCATTCTCCATTGGAACAAAAAGGGAAACGCTGGATTTCAAAACGCATGCAAAGAGGACTGGGCCACTGTTTGGTGTGAAATGGGATTGTCCGTTGGCTCCACAAGGGTATAAACAAAACCCATTTGCCCAACTTCGGAAGGGTTCAACTCCCAAAAGGAAGCTCCAAAAGACGGCCTTTTCCGCGGTTTCCGGGTTTTTTCAAGTCGTTAGGTCCACCGTCACCGTTGGACAGCTTTCCATTGGTCGACCGTCCAGTTGGGCCGGGCGAACCGGGGGCCCGGAAACCCGCGAGGACCGCGAGGCCGCCCTGGCGGAGGTGGCGGACCGGATCGAGAGGCGCCGGGCTGGGACGGTTTTCCGAGTCCCGCGCCGCGCGGATGGCGTCCCTCGCGGCGTTTTTTTTCTCCTTTTTTTTTGCTTTTTGCCAAGGGATGGTAGGACTGTGGCTTTTTGATCCAACGAATTTGGTTTTTTTTGCGTATTAAACCACTAAAAGTGATAAACTTTTGGCTGGGGAGCAGAAAGCAGCCAAGTTTTTTATGGGAAACACCGAGGCGAACACAGCGGTTTCCATGGCAACAAGTGCCAAGAAACAGGGGTCAATGGGAAAAAAACCGAGCCGAAAAGAGAGAGTTCCCTTCAAAGAAAAGGCAATTTGCTGGTGTCGCATGAAAAAGGATCGCCACTTTTTGGAGGTTGCAAAAAGGGAACTGGAGGAAACCCTGCAGAAGGGTAGCTGACAAAAGCATGCACCCCTTGACTTTTTCGGGTCTATGTGGAGTTTTGTTTGGAAGGCCCGTCAGACAGCGCAACTTGGCGATCGAGGGAGTCTTCGCTCATTTGTTGGACGCTCCCATCTGAGCCCCTGCCTTTCCTGCCGCATGCGCAGAATCCGTGGGAACGGACCGTGAGTCGCCAGTTTCTGCTCCGTAGGTCCTTGGAGGTTGTGGGAATCACCGGCATTGAGGACAAGCTGCAGGCAGGGAAAGGTGATCTCATCGAATTTTTGGCGCAGAGTTCGAGAGAGATGGATGTGGGTCAGAAAGTGCACCTCCATTTTAGGACCTATTTTGGTAGGGATTGGGATGTTCACTGGGACGGGGTTCTGAGACCCATGGCCATATGTCATCAGATTTCATCAGATCTTCATCAGATTTCATCAGATGTTCATCAGATTTTCATCAGATTTTCATCATATTTTCATCAGATTTTCATAGATTGCATCAGATTGCACCAGATTGCATACGATTCCGTCAGATTCCAGATGTTTGGGAATGCCACTTTGATGGAATCCGATTCCATTGGGTTCCAGCGGATTTCCCACGAAGTTCCATCAGCTTTCGGTGGATTTCGTCAGACTCCAGATTCAGATCTTGGATGGAAGAGTGTGGTTGGCGAGTCTAATCCACCGATGGCAACTCCAGATTTTGATTTTGGATGCAATGCGCTCCCCTTGGACAAGGCTCCTTAAAAGATACATTTTGCCGGTGTATAGTGTAAAGATCCCTGTATTGGGTAACGGATCTTTAGACTTTTTAACTTTTTGGTTGAAATAAAGGTGGGTTTTCCACTAAACCCCCAAAAAGTCATTCACTTTTTGCAGGGGGGTCGTTCCAGCAACCAAGCTTTTTGGTCGGTGCCAGCCGTGCTTTCCATCAGCTTTCCGGTGCCAGCTGTGCTTCTTGTCCTTGTGCGCAGGTGGGCGTCGAGGATGCCATCGTCAAGATTCGACAGGCGAGAGAGCTTGCTGCAGAGCCGTGGTGGAAGCTGGTGACGATGGGAACATTCAAAGAAACAAAGAAACAAAGAAAACCAGTTCACACAACCAAAATAACGAAAGCAGACAAAACAGCCAAAACAACCAAAACAACCAAAGCAAAGAAACAAAGAAACAAAGAAAGGGAGACACACATCAGATCAACCAAAGAACAAGAGCCAACCAAGCGACAAACCAAACCCAAACACAATCTCCAGAAACCACGCAACAACACTGGCAAGCAGGTACACCCCGGCTTTCGGTGGGTTTTCCAAGGGCCGAAATTTCCGCCATCCGACGGTCCGCAAACCATCGCCATCCGAAAAAATGGTTCGCCTCACGGAGAAAACCCCCGGCGCCTTCCTGAAGGAGCTGAAGGGGATCTCTCACGGGGAGGTTGGCAGGAACGGTTTCCAGAGCAATTTCTTCGTTTTGGACATAAAAAAAATGGGATTTCCCCAAATTCCCGGAATCCAAGCAACACTGTCTGGCATCCTTTTGGAAACCAACCAAAGAAGTGCCCCCCCCCCCCCCCCTCCCCCAAAAAAAACACAGTGCACTGACTTTCTTTCAGGAACCAGCAAAGCAAATGAGCGAGCAACGGAGCAAATGGGGGCTGATCCCTATTCCTGGCCTCCAAACCACGGGCAACTTTTTCTCATGTGGTTGAAATATCATCTTTTGATCAACCCCCAACTGGCGAATATTCCTTCCCTCCCAAGCATGTGTACCTTTTACCTTTTCCGAAATAATTATCATCTTTTGATCCACTCCCAATATTCCTTCCCTCCACACCATGGGTTAGCTTTTCCTCATGCAGCGCGTGGCAGGGTTTCCCCGCGCGCCATCCCTTGGCTTTGACCGCTTGGCTCCTCTTCGCAGGCCGGCGTCAAGCTCTGGGTGCTCACCGGCGAGCCGAGCTGAGAGATGCGCGAAGTTTTTCGTGAAACCCTGGAATGGTTTCTCTTCCCCTGTCACCAACAAACCTCGTGGTTTTTTAGTCATGGTTTCAAAGTGGCGCGAAATGGATTTCGCAGGTTTTTTTTTCCATTCACGGGGTTGTCACGCTTTACTCGGGGTAGTCGGGCCTTTTTTTCCATCCACGAATTAGTCACGCTTTACTCGGAGTCGGGCCCCTTTGTAAGGAGTGTAGACAACCGTGATAAGGACTCCTCAAAACAGCTATGTAGACAACCGTGATCATGGCCCACACAGCCATGCCCCTCAAGGCGCTCTCTTCGCCGTTGGTGTTAGGAGTTTGGGGTCTGTGGATCGGATTTGTTTCCACATGGTTCCCTCGGGCCAACTCGAGCTCCTGACTTGGGCTGGGGAACTTCTATAGCTTGCCTGGCTCTGGGTCGAACTTTGGCACGCCTCAGGGTACTTTTCAGCCAAACTACCCATAGACTTGAAGGATTGGTTTTGAAATTTGAAAGAATACTACATGGTTCTTGGGCCCCCATAGACTTGAACATTTGTCTGGGGTTCGGCTTTAAGATCGAGCCGCGGCGGGGGCGGGTTCTCTGGTTTCCTTGGGGCTCCGGCAGCTGGCCGGTCAACCATGAACCCCCGAGTCTGTAGGACAAAACAACCTGGACCCTCAATACCCTTCAAAAGGAACATATATCCCCCCGGCAAGTTCGGGCAATCTACGATTTGTTCAAGCAGCTCCACGGTCCAGGAAGAAAAGTTGTGGTCTGGCTCAGGTGTTTGTTCAATGTGCTTCTAGTTGCAACAGCCGCGTGAGTTTTTGTTCGTTTGCGCCGGGCCAAGGACAAGTTGGAAACGGCCAAGAACATCGGGTTCAGCACTCGTGTTCTAAGCGCCGGCCTCGGGTGGATCCACGCCTCTGGAATGCCAGGTGGGGAGGATCCCTGTGCAAACCAGTGGGTTTGGGACGCTCCTTTTCAGGAACCTAAAAAGGGCCATGCAGAAAAACGTTCCAGTTTCGGTCTATTTTAGTCCTTCTGGGTCAGCCCAGAAAAGGAGGCTTTCTTTTGGCTTCCCTTTAAATCTGCCCCTCAAAATGGTACCACCCTCCAACAAGCCACATGCCCAGGCCCTGAGATGACCATCCTCATTCTGGACATCGACACAGCGTTCCAGGCGAGCCGCGCCCTGTTGGTCTTCCGGGAAAAGCACAAACACAGGCCCCGCAATTTGGGGGAACCACCCACTCTGCATCCAAGAGTTGCTTTTGCACATCCAGGGGGAACAGTTGCACTCTCCGACGATTCGCGGCATTCTGGGCGAAATAAGAACCAACTACCTTATACCTTGGCACCCCAAAACCCCACCCCAGGAAAAAATATATATATATATATATATATAAATATAAAAAAGAAAACACCTCCAAGGCCTTGCTCCCCCGGCCCGATCCTGCGCAAGCCATGGCTCGCAGGCCAGGATGGCCGCCACGGAGAGGGAGGCAGCAGAGGCGGGGCCCTATGTGTCGTTTCCTTTTGGTGTCCCTTCAAACCAAGCCAAAGAAAAAACCGGGCACCATCCAGAAAAACACCAATGCAGAAAAACAACAACTCCTTCGTAAAACGACCAATTCCCACCCATGTGGGGGCAACGCGCCGGATGGCTCGACTCTTTGGAGGCGGCTGAGAAGGGCCTCACGGTGGCGCTGGTCGTCACGGGCCGCGCGCTGGAGGAACCGGCCGCCCGAGGGTCCGAGGGTCGCGGGTGGTTCCCAGCCACTGGGGAAGGGGTCCATAAAACCAGGGCAAGCCATTTTGGGGTTGCCCGATCTTTTTTTTTGACCCACAACCCACTGCCCTGATTTTTGGGGCGCGTGATGCCAACACTCACTGATGAAGGAGGTACTTGCCATGGTTAAAGCCGGGTTATTTGGAGCATGTTCTCAGAATTGGAGGTGGGAACAGGGACAAATCTGACTGGGTGTTTCCGTTAAGAATTGCGGGAGGGTCCAAAATGCGGCCCCCTCTTCTTGCAAAACGGGTTCCCCGCGTTCTTTGACGGGAAGCTGCTTGTTGGATGGCTTGGGTTACATATTAATTTGCTGAAACTCCAAGTACCTCCTTTTGGGAAACTCAGGTTTTTGGAGTTTCATGCGGGGAGGTTCACTTGTTCCGAAAGGACCTCTCCACCAAAAAAAGCCACCTAAAGCGGTCCAAAGAACGGCATCTTGTTTTCTTATGCATGTTCTATCAGGGGAGTGGCAGTGACTTGGGCGAGAGGACCTTTGCACCAAAAGCCCCCCGTTGGGTCCAAAGAACTTGTTTTATGAGCGCCAAGCCCTGAGCAAGATGTTTCCGCAGAGATCGGTGCAAGTCTCCTGTTTGAGGACAGGTTTGGGGCTCGTTTTCAGGACAGACAAGAAACCTACCCGTTGAAAAGCATGCTGCGCAGCCGAACAGGGGGGGGGGGTTCAGAGGACCTCGATTGCACAGACCCATTTTGGAAGACTGCTGTGCCGGTGCAACCATGTTTGGTGGAAGGATACCTGTTCCTGATGCCTTGTTTCTCCCAAACATGCGGTGCAGGATCATGACTGGCACGTTTCTATAGTCAACTCAAGCTGTTCGGGGTGTTCAAGCCTGGATTGGCAGTTTGAGTTTTAGTATCGAGGGAATCAAACCAGGAAAGATCATAGACGTGGTGAGGCTTTGTGATGTCATAGTTGTATCTGTCCCTTTTGGTCAAATCAGTATTCTTTGCATGGTTTCGAGTAGACCAGTTTCACATCAGGTTTTGATTGTGACCCACGTGATTCACCTTACACGTAGGTGATTTGCATTGGTGGTTTGGGGACTTAGTATCCCATTTTTCTATTGACTTGTTGAAAACAAAAGGAAGAGAGCATTCCCAAACTTGCAACCCGCCCATCTTTCCAATGGAAGCTGACTGGAGGGATCTGGAAGAACCACCAAGTTGGTAATGTGCAACAAAGGGGTGCCCCGCAATGACCGCTTTCCTTTTAAGGTTTCCCTTTAACCGAACCTAGACAAGGGTACCCTCAACACACAACACCAAGTAGGGCTAAGGCGAACCCAAGGCTTCCTAGCTTGGGCGGCGCTAGTTGGCTGGATTTTGGACCTTCAACTTGTCTGTTGGACGTTTGTACTTTCCCCTTCTCCCCTTGTGGAGATGAGCTGACAGGTTAGAAGGCATGTGGCGGTGTTGCCGCAAAGGCATCCAATTCCAAAGGGGTTACTAGGGTATAGTGGGGACTAACCCCAGTTGCGCCAGTGAGAACCTTGCCTTGCAACCTCCCCAGTTTCAACCATCCACTATATATAATATATAATGTACAATAAGCAAATTATAATATGTACTATAGAATATGCAATATACAGTCACCCCACTTACGCCAGGCAGGTTGCCCCAGTTGGTTTGCCTGCCGGAAGTTGGTTGAACCGCCCTTCGGCCATCCAGGAAGTCCTGCGGGTGCCACTCGACGCCAGGAGCTGCCGATCGCCCGTGACTCTTGGGGCAGGTTTGAACCCGTGGTGAGCATAGGTGTCCTTTGTGGTTGTTTTGGGGGAAAAGTCATGGCGATTCCTGGTTTAGCTGGTGGTTTCATCATCTTTGGTTTCATCATCTTTGGTCGTTTTGGGGGAAACAATCATGGCGATTCCTGGTTTAGCTGGTGGTTTCATCATCTTTGGTTTCATCATCTTTGGTCGTTTTGGGGGAAACAATCATGGCGATTCCTGGTTTAGCTGGTGGTTTCATCATCTTTGGTTTCATCATCTTTGGTCGTTTTGGGGGAAACAATCATGGCGATTCCTGGTTTAGCTGGTGGTTTCATCATCTTTGGTTTCATCATCTTTGGTCGTTTTGGGGGAAACAATCATGGCGATTCCTGGTTTAGCTGGTGGTTTCATCATCTTTGGTTTCATCATCTTTGGTCGTTTTGGGGGAAACAATCATGGCGATTCCTGGTTTAGCTGGTGGTTTCATATTGGCGATTCCTGGTTTAGCTGGTGGTTTCATCATCTACCAGGGCAATCCAGCTATTTGCCCTAAAAGGACACCTATGGTGCTGAGTCTCGGACTGGACTGGCAACCGTTACGGGGATGTAAATGGAATGATAACTGGGTAAATGCATGTACATGGGTGACTGGGTAAATTCATGTTAACTGGAAAGTGGTAACTAGGTAGACGGATGTAGCAATGTAAATGTTGTTCAGTCACACACGTCTGCATATGGATTTCAACCTCCAGAAAATCCCCATTTTCCCCACACCCTTTACACCCCCTCGCTTCGCTTTGCCTGGCGCGGGAATCCGTCAGGAATGGCACGGCGGAGGGAATCCACCAGCAGGTCTTCCTTAAGGCCCGGCGAACTCGCGTGCGCATTGAATTTGGTTGTTTGTGCAGTTTGCCGAGTTATTTCCCCCTTTGCAGGGTTGTGGGATCAAGGGGTTTCTGCCCACTTCTGTGATACAAGGGAATCCCCCTTTATTTTAACAAAATAGTCTTTGGGAATCCCCCATTTGCTTAAGAATATGTTTTTTCCCTTGTTGGTTTTAAAAGGAGTTCATCACTACTGTTTTTTTTGGGGGGGCCTTAGCCAAATGGAAGTTGTTTGCGCAGGTTGCCGAGTTATTTCCCCCTTCGGGTTGGTCTGGAGTCATCACCTTTTGCCAGTTTAAAGTGAGTGTCTTCTTGGAAGGGTGATGGTACCACGTTCTTGCCCCCACCTTCTTTGGCCCTCAAGGCAGGGGGGCTGAAAAATCCAAGGGTGAAGCGCATACTCGTGACTTCCGTGAATCTTGCGTTTGTGTTTATGTTGTCACTCATGTGGTGGCATGAAGCCACTGGGCATGGACAAAATTCCCGTTGGCACTAGTTGTTCCTGCTCTTGCTGATTGCAACAATCATATATGTTGGTTTGGTTTGCTGTGCGTTGTGTTAATGCTTATGTTAATCATCATCTTTGTCATCTTCATCTTCATCATCATCATCAGCATTTTCTTCTTCTTTTGAATTTTCTTCTCTTCTTTCATCTTGTTTTTCCGCTGAACCCAATTAAGACAGGAACTAAGGGGATCATGAGGCCACCATGGGGGGGGCGGAATCGTGCTATCTACATTCACCCAGCAACCAAACAACAAAACGAGGGTCCCCCCAGCTTGAGGACACCCCGCTCTCTTGTCCTAAAAAGCATGGAACTCTCGAATGCAGGTCTCTTCAGGAGGAGGTTCCTCTGGCAAATGAGGGTGTGTGTTTTGGGGAATTTCGTTTGGGTTGGTTTGGAAGAGACGCCGAAAAGAAAGGAATCATGTTGGCCGTAGCCCTGTTTGGAGACACCCCCATGAGATCCTGTAACGCCCCCGCCCACCGTATCCAGAAGCACTGATGAGTGCAGTGCAAATCCCCGATTCATAGCCAATGAGCCCTTAGATGCCCTTAGCTTCTGGGTGGTTTGAAATGATCTTGGACTTGTGAGAACATAGAAAGCTGGCTTTCAAGTGGGCTTGCATGCCTCTTTGCATTTCATAGGTGCTGTGAAAAGGCCAGGGATGGTCTTTGAGGTATCTTCCCTGGCGGGTTTCAACAGACATCAATTGGTTTATGTTGCCACTTCCGAGTGGCGGCGATAAATCTAAGTGGGTATGGTCAAAATTAAACCACCAGGAATTGGACCGCAGGCTTTAGTCTATGTTTCCATTTACCAGGGTTCCATTTGGGTACCTATTTTTCACCCATACCCAAGTGACGAGGCAATCGCGGGGATGGGAATCAACCACTTTGGCATCACAGGTTTCGCAGGGTTGTTTTGTTCATGGCTGGCCGGTTTTTGTTGATCTGCGAAGACCTTTCTGCCACAACCGCAGATTGCCGCG